GACTCTGCTCGTCAACGAGCAGATCTGGTGGACTGTATATATATGTGTAGGAACACAACCCTTATGGTTCGTGTTCAACCTCGTCAATTAAGTTTGTCATTGGATCTCAACCAACCTTCGAGCTAGACAGATTGCCTGTACCACTCATCGTTACCCCAAGCCGTCGTTAGGTGTTTCACCCAGGCGACTTACCCCTACTGTTCCAGAGCCAGAGTTCATCCTCGAGAACCAATCGAATAGTGCTTACGAGCTTTGCTTAAAGTACGACTTCAACACTTGGTGATGCTATGATAGAGTTGTGCAGTCAACACCATGATTGGTAGCAATTTTCTGGTAGCAAAGTTTGTTGCCAGAATTCAAATGATTAATCTGCCTGATTGCATCATTTATTCCAGGCATGGTTGTTGTATTGCAATATGTCAAAGTATAGGTGTAGCTTATGGTGATTGGGCGGCACGCAAACACGGGCGGCACGCGCACAGACACAGTAGTGGCTGCGCTAATCTCGATGTAGTCATCCGGACAAGTGCGTGCGCCAAGTCAGTATCCGAATCCTGCTTCAGTGTCTGCCAGAAACGGCAGCCAATTTGCCGTCTGAACGGTTTATAGAGTATAGAATGTGGTCAATTTTGGTGGTAAAGCCGTCGCGAACAGACTTTTGGCACCCGACTGTAGGTGCCCGAGAGTAATACCACCGGCGAACCACATCAGCTCCTCAAGCGCCACCAAAATAAGGCCCCGGGACAAGTGTATTCGGGGATCACTTTGATGCCCGGGAGTACCATGAAAGGATAATCTTAGATTGTTCGTCAACCGACAGCGCAGGACCGTGAGTACCCACGAGGCACAGCAAGTGAAACACAGATAAAGGGATGAACTCAACAAAGAATGAATAGAAAACCCGTCCCTGTTCGCTCTTACAGTCTTCACAGTGCAATGATGATCTCTGCAAACCTGCTCAGCTTTTTCTGTCTCGCCGGGATCCCACTACTGTCGCAGGCTCAGCAGAATCAACAAGCGCCACTCAAAGAACATCAACCTGAACTTGTTATCCCTCTGACGGTAAGGCCCGCTTCGTGTGGTGTACCAGAGTATGTACTAATGCAGGTCCAGCTGAGCGATGAGAGAACCTACTCTCTCAAGTCCGCACTCGCCGGTGCGAGGCAGCTTTCTTTGAAGGCAATCGAAAAGATTGAGAGCTACGGCGAGATCAACTCTCACCCACAGACTGTCTCGATCAACATTCCGCTCAACCCTGCCCAGTCAGGCACCATAGCTCTCGGTCCTGTGGCATCGAACACCCTTCGCGTTCAGCAGGAACTTAAGTGGGTGGAAACCCGTACGCCTGGCGAGAATGTACCAATAACCCTTATTGGCATTCGCAAAGGCGCCATGGTATCCATGGACGCATATACGGCCCGCCTAGCGCTGGAGACACCCTACATATCTCTCCCACGCGAGATCTACGACATCCTCATCCAAGCAACCAACCCTACACCCTACCAGCACGGTAAGGGCTACGACGATGTCGTGGACTGTGGTGCGTTGGAGAGGTACCCGGATCTGGTACTTGGGCTGGAACCTGAGACTGATGAGGAGAAAGATGACGAGGACATTGTGGATAGGGAGATCGTGATCACACCAAAGCAGTATGTTCTGAAGACCGAGGAGGGGCAATGTATACTTCTGGCCCAGCGAGTCTATCAGCTCGGTCGTGAGGAGGTGGTCCTTGGGTGGGCAGCAGTGAGGGGTAGAGACGTTGTGCTAGACTGGGTCAACAAGAGAACAGGTTTTGGAAGGTAAAGCTTGAGTTTTTGAGCATGCGAGTTATGGCTGTATCATCACATACATATATACTACTTTCTTGTACATATTTACAATGACCAAGGATGTTGCATCGATTCCATTCAGCCTCACAGTGTAGCACGCGCAAGCTAATCAGGGGCTTTGGGCGCTCAAGTGAGGGCGAGCCGTCGTGTTTCAGACCTGCCAAACATTCTTGCAGACCTCACCTGCACATCATACAAGCTTCTTGCTCCCTTTCAAGGTTTGTGTAATTATTGACGACATAAGCTGCAGCGGATACACGGCGCGTGCGGGTCTCCACAGCTTGCCACAGCTCGCCGTACAGTTTGCCCAAGACGCGAGCAGCCTCCCAACAATACGCCGACGCCAAATAGCAACTGCGCAATGTAAACACCAAGAGCTGCTCGTGTGCATCACTTTTCTGCAGTCGGTACCCGAGGGAATCTACGCTGCAGCTGTCAAAGTGTCGTCAGCGACTGCCGGTCGCAATTGCTCGGCGTTGCTGTCATTTCCTGGCTCTTGTCTTCGGATACCAAGCGCTGTTGTTGTTTCAGTCACTTTCCTTTTACTCACCCACGACCTCTTTGATTTAATTTCGCGCATTCATTCAACGAGGCTGTGCAGCAGGAAGGCGAACGCGCAATCGCGCTGCAAACCAGACTCTCGTCAAGAGAGCGTTGCTGTCAATCATTGGGAGGTTGCCCCTGACCAAGGCTGGGCGCATGCAAAGCGCGCCTCTCACCATTCATATCCCGGGCCTTGGCCGCTTGGCCTTCACATCCCGCTGCGCTTGCCTGCCACCCGCCAACACCGCAGGACTTGGCTTAGAGCCCGCCAGGCAAGACGATGAGGGTTGGCAGTTCCACATGTAGGATTTCGGGGGTTACCAAGACATTGGTGCTCCTGCTTCAAATAACTTCACTCTCGGATTCCGTTCCCTTTCTCTCAATGCCTTTTGTTTGACCGTCTTCAACCAGACCCGTTCCTCTTTACCAGTCACTCGTTAGACTCAATTGCGCCTTAAGTCTTTTAATTCCTCTTCCCTTTCTACGGTCAACATCATGAAGCTCGTTGTTCTCTCCGCGCTCGGCGCAGCCATCAGCCCAGCATTTGCCAGCGTTATCGCTCGCCAGTCCAAGGGGAACCTTCCTCCGGTCACAGTCCGCGGTAACGCCTTCTTCGCCGGCGATGAGCGTTTCTACGTTCGCGGTGTTGCCTACCAGCCAGGTTTGTTATTCTGACTCAGAACTGGAAGACAACAGTCGTTGATTTTTAATAGGAGGTGCGGCTGATGCAAAGGACCCACTGCTCGACCTTGAGGGCCTGAAGCGCGATGTTGCCAACTTCAAGTCGCTGGGAATCAACACAATCCGTGTCTACACGATTGACAACTCCAAGAACCACGACGAGGGTATGAAGATGCTCGACGATGCCGGTATCTACCTGGCTCTCGATGCCAATACGCCCGACTACTCCCTCAACCGTGAGACAAACGCCACTCTCCACCGCTCGTACAACGACGTCTACCTGCAGTCCGTCTTTGCTACGATCGAGACGTTCCACAACTACAATAACCTCCTTCTCTTCTTCTCCGGTAACGAGGTCATCAACGAGCGCAACAACACCGGCGCCGCCACCTACATCAAGGCCGTTACCCGCGACATGAAGCGCTTCATTGGCAACAAGTCTCCCCGCACCATACCAGTCGGTTACTCCGCTGCCGATGTCTCTGAAAACATTGAGCAGCAAGCCCTGTTCTTTAACTGCGGTTCCGACGACGAGCGCTCCGACTTCTTCGCCTTCAACGACTACTCCTGGTGCGACCCTTCGTCCTTCACCCAGTCCGGCTGGGACAAGAAAGTCGAGCTTTACAAGGACTACAGCAAGCCCATCTTCCTCTCCGAATACGGCTGCATCACCAACCGCCGTGACTGGGGCGAGGTTGCCGCTCTCTACTCCACCAATATGACCGGTGTCTACTCTGGTGGTCTTGCCTACGAGTACACCGTCGAGCCCAACGGCTACGGTCTTGTCGAAGTCGGTTCCAACGGCGCCATCGAACCCAACGCCGACTTCGAGCGCCTCAAGAAGGCCTTCGAGGCCACCGACAACCCGTCCGGCGATGGCGGCTACAAGTCCAGCGGCTCTGCTTCTGAGTGCCCTGCCGAGTCTGAAGATTGGGAGGTCGCCACTACCGCTCTGCCTGCCATGCCCGCCAACGCTGAGAAGTACATGGACGGCGATGTCGGCACTGGCCCTGGTCTTGATGGCGATGGCTCCCACTTCGCTGGTGAGCCCTCCGAGTCCACTGCAACTGCTGGTTCTAGTAGCCCCACTCGCTCCGCCAGCTCAAGTAGCAGCAGTAGCAGTGGTAGCTCTACCGGTGCAGCTGCCGGTATGGAGGTCCCTCTTAAGATGATGGGTGTTGTTGGTGCTGGTGTCCTCTTCGGCGCTGCGCTATTGTTCTAGATGCATCATGCGTGAGTGTCAAAGGAAGGGACAAGGAGGATCTGAGCAGAAAATACCCGTAAGATATGATAGAGATGTGCTTCACTGTGTTGGGAGTTCTCTTTAATCTGTAATCAATGCATGTAGCCATTCGGATTTGTTACACAGTCTTCTCATAGTCAATCATTGCGCGGCGTAAGTGCTGTTTATGTTTGACTTTCTTGCACGTTGTCAATAGTGGTGCTGATGTGGTAGTATGCTGTTGGGTCGGCACGAAGCATCCTCACCGATCACAGATCTCGCGACAACTTGATTGAGGCTAACTTAGCAATTTCGATTAGCTATGTCATGCGATTGACCAATCAGAATTGTTTCGCCACAAACACTGTTCAGGTAGACTGAAGACGAACTTCGGTACCAACTTCCGAAATGCTCGTCGCAACCCATCTGCCCTCCAGAGAAACGAAAGGTTTACAATGGCAGCACAATATCGACCATTGCGTTCAGCGCCGCTAGCGGTCGGACATCATCAAGCGCAACCGACAGATTTACAGCCGAAGGCAAGAGATCGTGCGTCTTTGGTTGTCAACCTTACAGGGAGAAAAGACGTAAAGTATATACTGCTGTATACGTATACTAACAAGCAACGCTAACAAAATATGCCTGCCAGTGTTCAGGAGAATTCCCGGAATGCAGAGAATGCTGCAAGAGATTAGTAAAATGCATCTACGAAGCGGCACCAGAACAGAGGCGAATGGCGTCTCTGAGGAACAACAATGAGCACATGAAGACCGAACTTGACACAATGATGGAGCTCTATTGGCTTGCATCATTACCTAACCCAGCTTTGCAAAAACATGCCTGACCACATGCAGGTAACTGCAGACTCAGCCAAAGGACGAAGTAGGCGAGGCTCTTTCAGCTATCCAAACCGGTGCAAATCCGAGTCAGGTTATGGAAGCTATAAAGAGTCGCGCGAGCTTGTCTGATGCAACGCCTAACTCGGTTTCGACGCTTGAGGCCAATGTACAGACTGAGCCCCGTGAAAGTCTTGGTCGAGGACCTTCCAGTAGCAGCGGGCAGTCTTCGCAGAGCGCATCGTCAGCCTTCAGTTATGGGTCCCAGACATCCTTGGAACCTTCAGCTTTTCAGTTGCCCACTAACGGAAAGTCAATCGAAATGTCAAGAACATCGAAAGCCTAGGAAAAGGTGCTCAAGCCTTCTTCTTGTGCACAGGCTACATCTTCCATATCTATGATCAGGATGAAGCACAGAAAATGCTTGACGACATCCGGCCACACCTCGAAAACGCAGGCACAAGTTGGTTATAGCTCATCTTTTAGGGATCGATACCATCGCATCTAAAGCCATCGCTCTGCACGGATACTTCAGCTGCAATTGGACGAACAAGACATCTCTCAGAGATGTTGGAACTGCGAGTATGTTTGACCCATCAAAACCCCTTCGCTATGATATGACATTGATTGATTCTCAGCATACATGTCATGCCTCATCTTACACAGCTCCACAACTACCCGCAACCGACCTGGCAAAAGGAGCTATCGCATGCCCGATCATGTCTCGGCGTCCTCGAATACTGCGCAAAAGCCGCCAAAGTCGCCAAACGCTTCGCAGAAATACCACGAGACTACTACAACACCCTCGCAGCCCAGATCCGCCAGGCGATAATATTACCATCAAGGACGCGCCCGAGAACTCTGATTACCTCTTCACTGTTCCTTCGACATCGCATTCCCATCTTGCCCGAGCATCGCAGGATCTGCTGAAACGCGTCAGCTGCCTGTTTGATTCTCCTTCTGACCTGCATGATGAGGGCACACTTAAGGCAGGCCTAGGCACCTATGTTAGTCTGCCGTTCAATCGAGGTCCGGCTGAGAGTGCGAACAGCTGATCGGCTGTTGAGATGGCGTTGTCAGGGATGCCGACAGGCGAGTTTATGGGTTCGTCGCAGCCGCATGGATGGATTGTGTTTCTGAATTTGAATACGATGTGATGTTCACTGAAAAGTTTGCATCTCGAGGTTCAGCGACAACGGTTTGCTACATAGCAGCACTGGCTATTTGAAACTGCTCTGAAAAGGGTCGCTACACTAGTAGCCGTAATAAGGCGAGCAAGTGCAACACGCTGAATAGCTCTGTATCGAAAGTTTGGTTGTCTTGAACCCCACAAACTCAACGTCATGGCTACCTCCCGCGAGATCACCATCCCCAACCTTGTCAACAAGATGCACCGCGTCCAACAAACCAAAGATAAGCGCCTCCTCGCCACAAATAAAGAAGTTCGCATCGCGCGTGCAGAAAAACAAGCTCTCGAGACCCAAGTCCGCGCTGTGGGTGAGCAAAAGCAAGACCTTGACTGCCAAGTCCAGCTCGCGCAGGAAATCTTTGGCCACCGTTCGACCATAGTCTCACTAAATTTCCAGACTCCACGACGACAGGTGTAATGGTCAATCGCATACCGCGATCGAGAGTTACACGTTCGTTGGTGGCTAATCTCGGTTCATATGATGATTATTCGTTCGTTGGGGTAGTCAGTCTCGCTCTGTATGGCAGTTAGTCGTCATTACGCTTGCGGCAGTCAGTCGCAATTCTCGAGGGGCGGTCAGTCCCTCGCCGTGGCAAGCAACCTTGTTAGTCCTGTCTCGCGCCGGTCTGCAGGGTCGATTGTCGTGTACTTGCTATTTGCAATTTCCGCAGGTCTGTAGTGGGACGAGTCAACAACAAGTTCTGCGGACAATCTTTTTCGTTAAGCTCGGTGCTTTCGAGGCTGGGTTTGAAGAAGAAGAAGAAGAAGAAGAAGACACGCTCAACATTATGTGTGTCTCAGGCCTTCTGATTGGCGCCGTATAGTTCATTTTTCACCAAAAACGATTATCACGCATGCTTCGGCGTCATTGTGTTGCCGACTCAGCCTCCCATCTCTCTCATCAGGTCCCAGGTAGTCCGGCTCTTGCGCGTTGCGATTCCGTTCAATATGCTACCAACACTATTCTGGAGCACCAACCTACCCATGTCAACAAGACGCATTGTACCTTGAGTTTAGACTGGCTGTTGACAGAGGCCTGCATTGTTCAGAACCACAATCGGTCAGCTCGAGTTGAGGTGTTTCTTGGACACAAGACTTACCAGCATCTGCCCAACGACGCTAAAGCAAACCCTAGCACCCCGGAACCAAAAACTTCTGCTCTGCAATTCCAACCTCCCGCCTCCCACCTCTGCCTCACGTCTGCAAAAAGAAAATCTCGCAAGACGCATCTACCTACATCTCTTTCTCTCCTCTACATTCATTGTCTGGTGTTTTGCAGGCCCATGGCAGCTTGTAGCTGCAAAAAGATCGACACCTGTGTGATTCGAACACACGCTCCCGAAGGAAATGCCTGACTATGGATAGCAGGGCATCGCGTTAACCACTCCGCCAAAGTGCCATGATTGGTTGTGATTGATTGTTGAGAGGACAGTAAATGTTTGATTTATATAGCAGACAAAATAAGGTTAGAAGGGAGCAGGGAGTAAGAGAATGGATACAACATCAAATGACGATGTGGGCTCAGAATCTCGACAGCTCAGCTGCATGCTTGATTTCACGAAGCGGGGTGAAGAGAAGACGGGAGGATGCATTAGCGAGCAGCATGAACGTTAGCAGCACGCCGCGGCCACATTCTAATTCACCCAAGCAATCAGTTGATCTTCTATACTTTAAATGCTGCGACGCGACAGCAAGTTCCTACTGTTCTGAACATGTTGAGCTGCAATCGTCAATAAGCAAACATCACTGATTAAGGTGGTGTGGAAGAATACATAACCGCCCCGTCCCGTCCAAGCTTCAAAGTACGCGCCCTCAAACGAGCAACAAAATGAGCAATGTCTTACGTACCCCAAACTGCAATTTGCGCCGCCCAACCCCCCATCGCGCCCTCCTGCCACATTCGCACCTCCAAACCACCCAATCAGCACAACCGCGACATCGGTCCTCACAGTCACCAGCATCTTATCTGATGATCTGATAAAAATTTCGCCATCATATCCAATCATAGCCTTTCGCAGGACGACCCCGCTCGCACCATCGCCGACTGCACCCGAATGATCTCCACCCAATATTTGCCGTGCCGTTTGAGCGGTGGTGTGGTGCAATCGGTGCTTCAGACGCTGGTGATTTGCTGGAGTGGTGTCAGACATGTCTGGGCTGTGGAAGGTTTACTTGGGGCTTGATGGACGGGTGTCGGAAGGTGGGCGCTGGGGGTGGGCTGATGTGCTTCGTGCATTGCTGCAGGCCTGATTGTCATTGATGCATCAAAGGAACGGTGGACTCTTCGGTTGTGGAGCTTTGCAGAGTATGATCGGGATAGTATTTGGAATATTGCGTTCATTCGTTGTATCTAAATGCGTCGCACGCAGCTCAATGACCGCGGCGAGGACTATCACGAAGTCCTCAAGGAAAGAATAAGCCATGGATCATCGAAGTCGTATATAAACAAACGTATGTGCGTCCATGTGGACATACGTGCTCTCTCGTGTAGCCCACGAGAAGAGACTAAAAGGGTATCAACAATGATCGGAAAGAAAGGGATTAGAAAGCGCACGCTAAGGTATCGCGCTCAAAGCAGACAGGAATTTACAGCTCCATTGGAGTCGGCTGGTCATCCTTCGTAGGAAGCATGGCAGGCGAGTGGGTGGCACGACGCCGCTCCTCTGCAGCAGCGACCAGAGGTGCATACTCGCCGTCTGACTCTCGAGGCTTCAGGGGTCCCCTACTGTTCTGCATGGTCGTGATGATATCTGCAGCGTCAATCTCCATGGCGCTGTACACGCGAGGCTCCATGGTGAATGTATCTTGTCGTCCGTCGGAAAGCATGGGTCGCAAGGTGCGGAAGACAGAAGGATCGTCCATAGGAATGCGGCCATCAAGAAGTGTGAACGTCTCGCTACAGCCGACCGAACGTTTGCCAGGAACGGGAGATGCTCGGCTGATGTTCATGTCGATCTGTGAGACGACTGGTGGCTCCAGAGTGTCCATCTTCGGGCTCCGAGGGCCTGGATTGCGTCTTGATCGGGGACCTTCCTCCTCGCGCAACTGTGCAACACGCAAACACCAGGCCCGCCTTGCCGGATTGGTCTGGCACTCGTCACAACCACCAGGCAGGATAAGCTTCTTGGTCTGCGCAGAAGCACCGCTCGAAACGCGCGAAAGGGGCGCGAGCTCGGCCTCGGCCTGCAGCTTCTCTCGGGCATCTCGGCATACGCAGTGCCCTCCGTTTTCGCAGAAGCCGCAGGAGTCGTGGATCTTCTGATCGTCATCAAGGAGAGCAGTAGAAGGGCGTCCAAATCCAGTGAAGTCGATCTCCTCGGGTTCGGATGACAGCGAGATGTTGACTTCGGTCGCTGTGCGGTTGTTACGACGAGGTAGTGGCACGGCTGGCATGAAGGGTTGATTCATCATGTTCTCCAAGTCGTTCATGTCCTCTTCCATCCTGTTGATACACGCGCAGTTGCCAGGCTTGCAGTTAGAGCAGCCACCAGGGACATCGTCAGATATGGGGGTGCCGAAACCAGGGAAGCTGCTGACAGAGTGGCGAGCAGGGGAATTATGGTCGTGGGACATAGCAGGCTGGTAGAGAGTCGCCGTGGCATCGTTGCGACCGTTGATCTGATTGTTGGCTTGGGTGTTTTCGTTCTGCTGGTTGCGCTGCACGCTGTCATGCTGCTCCTTCCAATAATCACGCTCTTCTTCGACCTGCTTGGCGTAGTTGCACTGTTCCTCGAGCGCCCTCCTTGCGTCATGCAGCTGCTTGTGCAAGTTATTGATATCGTTGAGGAAGTCGTTCTTCTCCTGGTTGTGCTTCTGTTGCATCTCTTCTACTTGCTCTGCCAGCTCTGTCACCTTGGCCGCCTTGCGAGCCCGGAATGCTCGCTGCGACTCCCGGTTCTGCGCTTTGCGCTTCGAGGCCGGCTCATCGGTGGCAGGCTTGCGGCCAGGCTTGGGTCGCGGAGGAATGACATAGCTCCTCCCCGTGGGGCCGCCCGCTGCTGGAGTGCAGGGGCCGCCGCTGCTAGAAGTGGAAGACGTGGTGGCAACGGCGCCCGAGGAAGTTGCCGCACATAGGGCAGGCACAGGAACGAGAGCTGGTGAAGCGTTAGCAATGCTATCTGTGCAGACTTTGATATACGGAACAGAACGGGTTAGCGGAATGCAGAACCCCGCACAGCATCACCATGACTTGCCAATTGGGTCATCACCATGCAATGGAGTGGGAAGGTCGATGTTAGTGGGACTGTGCAAGCTGCGATAGCTATGGGCTGTGGCGGGACAAAAGTACAAGTGGAGAGCAGGAGTGTACTTACTGCGGCCGTTGGAGGGGCGACGCGAAAGCTCTGCAGCAGGACTCTGGAAGTACTGTGGCGAGCTGTAGTCGGCAGGGGAGCCAGCACCGCTGTGGTGATCAGCTGGAGGCGTGAGGGCAGCAATGCCTTGGTCATCAGAAGACATGTCGAGTTGGCGGCGTTTGCGCAGCTGTCGGGCGTTGTGTGCATTATCAGATGGAGATCCTGGGTTATCAGATCGAAAATCAGTCCATCCGACCCTTGCCGAAGTCGGAGCGGTGCGGAATTCACCGTTAGCGGCAGGCGCAGGGTAGAATCTTGGCTGCAAACCACCACCACCTCGGGAGGTATCCAGAACATTGTAGTTTGAGAATCCCGTACCAACATCTTGGAACCTCTTGGAGATGTTCAGGACATTGTAGTTGATGCTAGTATTTGGCAGCTGGCCAGTCCAAACAACGCAAGGGGCACCTTGATAGGTCTGAAATTGGCCTTCAATCGGCAGCGGTTGCTGCACATTAATATCCCCCACGCTGCGTTCAAGAGCAGCTAGGTTATTGTCGAGACTCCTCAAAACAGGGTCGAGGTTGGTGTTCAAGTCGATAAGGAAGCTACTAAAACTACCGTCCATTTTCGAAAAGTCATAAGCTTTGTTGGCGTTAGAATCCATGATCAGTTGGAACATTGTGAAGAGTAAAAGGGTATGGGTAAAGGTATACTAGAGTGTGAATTTCCGAAGAAGGACCAAGCAGAAGGTGCGATGAGTATTTGTGAATACTGTTAAAACCCAGAGAAGTTGTATTGAGTGCTGTTCCGTGGTTCCTCTTTACAATATTCTATCAGAAAAATCACTTCTTCTTCTCCCTATTGGCTTCAACTTCTGGTTTATTATAGACGACAACCATGAAAGTCATCTCTTCACGGTTATTGCCTTGCTTCCGCAAAATAGTGGCAAGCGATCCAGAATCAATACGATTGACGAGCGTCCGACCCTCACGGGAACCACGAGTACCATTTTCTTCGACTCAATGTTACACCATCGCGTCTTACCACCCTTGCTTTAGCGAACGCGTATGACCCTGCCACGACGACGAAGTCTGGGTCGCAACTGCCTCAGGGACCAACGAAGTAGGATGTGCCAATGAACAGCATCATCTCAACGTCTTCCAAGCATGCTTTCGTCGCTCGTGGCTTCAAAGCATGGTGCTCTACTAGAGGTCATCTCGTAGAAATAGCTATTGTATGATCTCGCGCAAGTTTTGAATAGCCTAGCAGGGGTCAAAGGGTGCTGATAGGTCGTAGGACACTTGCGCGAGGCTCTTGCCCAACGTGTCCGCCCTGAAGAGGCAGGATCCCAACTCTCTTGGAATGGACTATTTCTGACGTGGATTACACGGCATCGTGCGTACCTCTACAGCCTAATTGTGAGGAAGCTGTCAAAGTGTTTAGCTTGCATCCCAGGGAGTCATGCATCAGACGCACAAAAACGGTACTGATTAGTACGAAGCAAGTGCAGCGCTCTCATTGGCCAGCTCGTTACTAGTGCCCGCTTTCCGCACGATGTAGATATTCGCCCTCTCGTAGTACTACAATCGACAGTTTACATTCACATTGCCTCATCAGGAAGCCAAGCCTGAGCTGGCTTTTAGCTCATGAAGCAGGGCACGGCTGAGCTGAATCCGATTTCTTTGATATCACCGAATCTCCTCATTCGAGACGCACTTATCAACATCCCGCGCATCCTGATCCTTGGGAAGGTGGAATCCACTACGAACCGCTCCCGACTCTTACCTCGATTTGGCTACTGAGATTTGACCCGAACAACCATGATGAGCTTCTACCCTGCAACTTTGTCGTGATTGATATCACGGCATCACCGGAATACATCGCTCTGGCTTACGTTTGGGGAGATGCGACCGACCGAGACTCCATCCTAGTCGACGGGCAGGTAATTCGAGTCACCCGAAATTTGAGAGATGCGCTTGAGAAATTTCGCAGAACGCCGGCTTGGTTGTGGGTGGATGCATTATGCATCAATCAACAAATCGTGTCAGAGAAGTCTGTAAAGGTAAGCATGATGTCAAAGGTCTATCTTAAAGCCAGCTGTGTGGCTGTGTGGCTTGGGCGCGACGCAAATGGCGATGCGGATGCCATCTTCGAAGATACCAAAGTTACAGTCGAGTTCACCACAAGAGTCGTCGAAGCTCGTGGACAATTCGGCCATTTCGACGAAAACACTGGAGACATACACTGGAAACTTGAAGGTGGACAGGATATAGTCCCTGCGCTTTCAGCGGCAATTGTACGCCCCGATGAAGAGGACAAGGCAAGCCTTGAAAGGTTCCTTCAGCTACCATACTGGTCGCGAACTTGGGTGCTGCAGGAAGTTGGTCTGGCGAACGAGGCCGTGATACTCTGGGGCAATCAAGTCTGGCAGTAGAACCCGGTCGGGCTCCTCGCAATGTTCCTCTACCATTACTGCAATACGCTCTTTGTTCGCCTGAGCCTGATCACTGAGCTAGAGAAGTTGGTTCACGTGTATACCACGTTCTCATCCTTTCGTACCATGGCCACTTTTCTTCACGTTATCAACGATAACAGACAACGGGATGCTTCAGGCGCAAGTAACAGGGTTTTCGCGCTTCTATCTCATGCTACTGCGCATACAATTGGTAGGACTACGAAGTCCTTCGATTGGCATGCTTACGAACCTGCTACCAAGACAGCAGTTCCCATACTTATAGATAAACGGGATCAATTCATACTTCGGGAGCTGTTCGTAGAACAAAGAAACAGGTATACACCTCTCGACAAGCTCCCGCCGCCGTTGTTCCAAGCAGATTATAGCAAGACGACAGACGATGTCTATCTTGAATTTGCGATGAGCCATATAAAGCAAAGCGAGAGTCTCGAAGTACTCGCCACCATACAGCACGATCTCACAGCGCCCGACAAACTCTTCAGCCCCAGCTAAGTGCCTCGATGGGACTATTCCGTTGACGCACCAATTTTTGTTTTCCATACAAGCGACAGCATTGCCTCTTCTAACAAAAGACCCGTCATATCTTTTTCGGGTCTACGCGAAACGTTTCTTACTGTGCGCGGCTCATTGATTTCCAGGATCACACTCCATACCGAAGTGCTCCAGCCTTCGCAATTTGAGCTAGCGCACACGTCACAGCACGCCGATGTAATAGCTGTGTGGCAGCGGAATCCAATGGCTGAAGTGGGGGTCAACAGAATCGTTGACCTTGACCTGGAAAGCTATCCTGTCCTTCCACATCTTACACTCGAGTCAGACGCCGGAACACATCCAGTGTACGACAGAAGAGCCGTGGACATACGCAAAGCATTCTGCCGCACCTGGGTTGCCGGCTTCATAATCGGAAAGCAGGTTGGTGATACCGAGTTGTTCAAACGGTACGCAGATGCGTATTGGGAGCGTTTGGCATTTGGTTCCGAGGAGTCCCCTGAAAACATCGAGTCGAGACGTGGTCTGACACCTGAGCAGCGGCACACGCATAAGCTCGATGATCAGAAAGACTGGGGACGATATCGTGATGGTGTCGCGAATGTATGCAACAAGCGCAAGTTTTTCATCCTGAAGAAGGGTTTCTTCGGTGTTGGACCCGATGCTCTGAAAAGTAGGGGAATTTGTCGCAGTGTTCCTCGGAGCAGATGTTCCTTTCGTGGTGCGGGGAGTGCTGGATGAGAGAGAGAAGTATGAACAAGAAGAATGCAGAAGGTTGGTGAATGCTATGTCCAGGGCTTGATGGGTGGACAGGCAACCAGAGCTAGTACCTTGGAGCGGGACATCACGCTAGTCTGATCCACTTTCTCATATCATGCATAATCTGTTTCGGAGAGTTGATATACCCTGGTTCCAATTCTTGGTTTGGAAATGTAGGGAAATATCAAGACGATCAGATTAGTTTTCAGGCAGAAGAGAGGGATAACGAACCCTTTCCCAAGCGCGCTGCGTGTCTGCGCTTCCACGTCTTGTAGAGGCAGCGGCTAGCACTCATGCCTTCGGTACGTTATATCTTTGACTTTCAAGAACCATGGGACCAGCGGTGGGTCTTCAGGGAGTATCCGCAACTCGAATTTCAAGGCAATAGATCTAACTCTGAGCCTTCTCAAGAGACTTGTTTCAAGCAGCGACGCAACCAACTCCGCTCAGCTCAAATAGTTCCTCATCCACAGAACTTGACAGTTCCTGTTAGAGCTACGTCTACATGCTTCAGAAAGCGCAGGTCGAGTGGAGTGCAGATGGTGTACTATTGGTTGAGGACAATAGCGCCGCCTGTTGCACTTTTTGAAGGTCTCGAGGATATTACTTGCATCATCTTCTCCTTTCTTCGATGGGTTGGCAAAGCCTTGTCTTGTGGTGTGGGGTGTGAAGCCGGGAAGGGCACAGAAGACTGCAGAGGCGTAGCTTGAAGCCGCGGACGTTGTGGAACCTTGCTGACAGTAACGGCGTCAGTAACGGCTGCAAAGAACAGCGCGCAGATGGCTGTCACAAGCATGTTGTGTTCTTCGATCTGCGTTGGTATGCCATGGTGTCTTCAAGGTATTGAACAGAAGTGAGCAGCCTTCATCAGATCTCCTTTCTACGGAGTTGATTGCCACTCTGACTGAGCGACACGTTTGGCCTTCCTGTCTCAATGCTCATCTCCATCATTTCTAAGAAGCTCTTCCTGTGGGGCGACTCCGCAAAGGAAGACACAAGCTTCAGGAGCCAAGGCAGTCTGACAGGGGTGCACAATTCCACCAATCGCATAACGGTTGCTTACAGGCATCGGGGTAGTGGTGAAGTAGGAAGCCGATGGAACGGACATCGAGAACATTATCGTATTCCAGGAGTATCTTGATGCAAAAGGCGCTGCACTTACTCCAAAACGCCGGCGTGACGTACTTACATAGCGACTTCCTTCATGACATCGTACCCAACAACAAAGTCAACACGCTTAAGCGCCTGCTCTGAATACAACGCTTCCACCGTGCCGCATTCTGATGGTCTCTCTGGCCGCCATAACGTGCAGTGCTCGCGCAAGAGCTTGCTCAGAGTAGCCCTTTCCGTCAACAAACTCTCGCTTAAGCGAAGACAGATTGACTTGCCACCCGATGGGCATACGTCTCCTCAGCTCTTCCTCGACCTTGTTTGTCTCGTCCATCAGCTCCTTCGAGCTCTGACCCTCGCCCTGTGCGACTGCATCCATTGTTGAAGCAAGGAATAGGCGGATGGCTTCGTCGACATGCGATTCGTCGGCAATAGGTGACAATGAAAGCTTGGCCAGCGATTCTGTGATACGGATGATGGCTTCCAGCTGACGAACAGTAATTGGAATGCTGCTTCGCTGGTTCGCGTTCATCTCGGATGCGTGAACTTGCCGCCTAATGCTGACAAAGTGCGAGCTCAACTTTTCGGCAGCCTCAGGCGAGAGACGGGGCGCACATTTCTGCCTGCAGTATGTAATGTAGCGCTTCATCTTCTCGATCGGGATCTCAGCTTGGATAGTCTCCTCGACACCTCGTCCACCCATAGCGATACCCATGACGTGCTTGGCAATTCTCTCGTCGCGGCCACGATCGTGTTCGTCTCTGACGATGAAGATCATGTCGAAACGCGACAGAATGGTGGTCTGGAAGTCGATGTTCTCGCCAGGAGTCTTCATATCGTCGTAGCGTCCGAAGATAGGATTGGCAGCTGCCAGTACTGATGTTCTCGAGTTCAGAATTGTTGTGATACCAGCCTTGGCAATGGAAATGGTCTGCTGCTCCATGGCTTCGTGAATCGCCACTCGATCTTCGTCCCTCATTTTGTCGAACTCATCAATACAAACAACACCACCATCTGCTAGCACCATAGCACCACCCTCGAGGTAGAACTCGCGTGTAGTGTGGTCACGTTGAACAGACGCTGTCAGGCCAGCTGCAGACGATCCCTTTCCGGATGTGTAGATGGCAATCGGTGACACCTTCTCAACGAACTTCAGCAACTGAGACTTGGCTGTACCGGGGTCTCCCAGAAGTAGAACGTTGATATCGCCACGAAGTTTCATGCCATCCGGCAAGATCTTCTTGGAGCCACCCATCAGTAGACACGCAATGGCCTTCTTGATGTCCTCGTTTCCATAAATTGAGGGCGCAATGCACTTGGCGAAGACCGAGTAGATGTCCGGTCTTCTGCTCATCTCCAAAAACTCCTGCTCTTCCTCTTCTGTGAACACAGCGTTTCCCTTGTTCGTATGGTCGACGTCTGTATGGATGCCCACTGCACGGATGTAGGGGTTGCGGATGGCGACTGCGGCGCTGGACGACTTCTTCGAACCCTTCTGCTGGTAGATCGAGAAGATACCCATGACTGTGCATCGTGCACCCGGAACGACTCTGTTGGCGAGGTATCGGTCTGCCGAAATCATGATGTGTCGAGGTAGCTCTCCTACAGGCACCTGGTCAGGTGCTTCTTGCAACTTGAGCACTTGCTGGTCAATGAACTGGCAACGCTCGTGCATGACGTAGTATGGATCCAGAGGGCACTTGTCGTCGCCCTCACCTGCCTGTCGTGCGCATGTTCGTGGGAGCGAGACACCAGCGAAGCCGCCTGATACAGGGATCATCTCTTCGTGCTGACAGTTTCGGCATCGAATGGCCAGTGCTGTGGATTTCGAGGAGAGTGTGGAGGCGCCGATGATGATACCGGGTATGCGGACAAGATGCGAGACGTTGTTCGCTGTGAGATCGCGGATGGAGAGCTCCGAGGCAGACGAGTGAAGCAGTAACTGGTGTTCAGGCAACTTGATGTTTCGTTGTGAGGGATAGACAATACGTTGTGTGCATGTCTTGAGTGCTGCTTCGAACTATTCGAGTTCAATAAATGTATCTCAGAGGATGGTGATAAGCTCACAAGAGGTATGATTTCGGCAGGGTCTTGCTGAAGCTTGTGCGCAAGCTCTTCGTCGTACGAGATCAAGTGTGCAATGTCGATATTGCAGTAGTACTGTTTTACGAGTACATTTTCGCGAATTTGGTCTCTGTAGAGGAAGACGTTGTCGAGATGGAAATCCATGATAAAGTCGACCAGCTGTTGCTGGACACGCGAAGGGGAGGTGCCATCCTGACGTTCATTGCCCGCCTGGCTGCCAAAGATGCTAATCGAGTATGCCGTTTGCCTGTCCGTCATGGTGTATGCTGTGGTGTATGAAGGGTCGAGCGGTCGAAAAGTGGGCGGTTGATGCGCGTGTTCCCCTGGCGACGCGTTTTCGCGTTTTGCGCTAAGAACCAATTAAGTCTCTAAGCGGTTAGCACTTCCCCACGTCGAAGCTCTCGCAACTTCCTTCACGAACATTAAAACACCCATCATCATCAAAATGCTGGCACGTTCGACATCATTGGATCGACTCGAGACAACGCAAAATCCACAGTTCCGCTCCGTATGCTCTGTTCTGGCACCATGTTTAGATGCCCCACCGTGGACGCCCCTGATAAACAACAGCCCTTGACAACACGCAATTTCTGGCTTGCAACTTCTCTGAGCAACCCCAAGCCATATGCAACAGCAATATGATGAGCCACCGCCTCTGTCAGGAGAATTTTCCTTGACCATGGGAATACTATCGCTGCCCAGGTGGCGCTGCGGTGTCATTACGTTGGTCGTAAAGAAAACCTGTTATCATGTCAATAGTTCCAGTTGTACTCCGCGAAGACGTTTCGGAAATGGTGTCGTTGTGTTGAAAAACGAGCTCACGGTTCTTGTATCTTCATACAAGATCAGAGCTCTTGATCTCTTGCAGTGTACCCTTGCCCCTTGCCCATTGACGGAGTCTACGATTCTTGACTAGGATCCAGACACCTACGATCATTGAGGAACTTCAGAAGAGATGGCTTGGTGTACGATCTGGAAGCGGTGGCGATATCTGCACACGGCGGTGTTTGTCTCACATCAGGAGTGGCACTGACGTACCTACAATCTCCGTTGATCCCAAGTGATCCAAGACGACTTCCTGCATACGGGCTAGAAGATCGAACGCAATCAGGTAACGATCTCACTTGCATAACATCAGTCCAGGCTCCTGGAAGGGTGCACTTCGCCTATACCAAGACAATCATACTGCAAGCATAGATCCAATCAATGGCTGTCTTGGATAGCAAACAGAGTGAAGAGGATGTGCATTATTGGATTCTGCCGATGGATCGTTGGTACGTTCGAAGCTGCTAACACATATTGTCCTCTGGGACCCTCACATCATTGTCATGAGGGATGGGAATTTGCATTACCAAGTATTCTGACCTCTGACCTTTCCACCCTGATCGGTGACAGATGTTCCGAACATCAAGGGTATTGATTTTGGAGCAAATTTGCAGGAGAAAGTGCCTTCCCACCTGAAGACGACGCCGAACTCATTCAGTAGTGGTCAGCTTAGTTGGGCTCTTGGCGAATCCTCCTCTACCCGCTACACCCACCAAGCGCGCCTATACTGACAAGACTGCTTAGGCATTGGTAGTTCGCGACTACATTACGCCTCTCAAACTTGTGGGTCTCAATGTACTACACGTGGGGTCCTCTCTGACTGTCATTGACTGAGAACTTCATCAGGGTTTTCATTCTCTTGCATGTCTCGCGTACACCGTTCTCAGTAACCTTCAATTCGATTAACACGACGCTATCGACCAATCAGTCCACACCAGTTCCCTTACGCTATTGTCTCCAGGCCCTTGGTTCGCTGTCACGGCCACTTGCGATGCTACAGCAAAGATTCCGTCGGCAAGGTGACTGTAGCATGACTGGCTGGCCTATACTGCGGCGCAGTAACGAAACTCTGGAGTAGCATGCGGACGGTGATAGGACTGCTGATCATTGCTAGACGACCAGCTTCGCCGTGCACGCTGTGGGCGATGCCCGTCGAGGTACGTCGAGCTCAGTACAGCTGGTCGTGTGCTCTTCTACTTTCTCAAATCCCGCTGTGCAGCATATCAGCGATGTGTTTCGACTTCGCAACACTAGCAAGGCGCAATGCGCAGTCCATCGACCCGTGACCACCACGCTGAACTTACCTTCTAGATGCTGTCCAGGGCTACTGATCATCACGATCAATAATGTTCATAACCCAAACAGTGCAAGGCAAACGTTCGCAAAAGAAGGATGCTACATAGCAAAGCCGGCAGTCGGCACCAAATCGCGTGGCCAATTACTTGTCCTTCAGAGAGTGCAGGTTTCCGCTCGCATTTCATTGAAAAACAACACCATACAAGAGCATCACGAACACCCCGTGGTGGAGTATCCACCTCCCATTGGTTCCTGTCGATCCTTGTATTAGGCTAGTGCCGAGAGTGCCAGGGGCGGAACCCCAAGCGATTCCAAGCTTGGCGATATGGCGCCAAGTGGATACTTTCATCCTACATGTCAGCGGAACTACGAATGGGACTATCACCAATCTCTGGCAACCCGAGAGATTGTCTGGAATGCGAAGTCACCCCCGTTTCCAAGCGGCCAAGGGTGGTCGCCTCTCTCTTGCACAGGCTTCAACCGTTTTTGGACTCCTACCGCTTGCCTGGGATGGCAAACCGCAGCGCACATGAGACAACTCTATCTATTGATTGGATTATGGTCCAAATGTGGCGTTTGAGTGGTTTATGGTGTGAGGATGGTGAGCTCTGCACGTGTGAGAAGCTGGGTGCTATATAGAGTGCACCTCGTTCCTGGCATAGAGCAGTCATCCAGCCGTCGACCAGCCAGTCCACCGGGACCTTCGACAAGTTCAGATCCGTCAAGATGCCTGCCCTTCCGCAGTTCGACTATCTTTTCGCCATCGGTACCCTCTTCGCATTCCTTGATGCATGGAACATTGGTAAGTCGTCTTAACTCGTCACTCCGCTCACTGCTGAGATGTGACCATCTCCTAATTTCGTAGAGCACAGTTGACTGATTTGCTTCACTAGGTGCCAATGATGTGGCCAACTCCTTCGCGACTTCGGTCGCCTCACGCTCGCTCACTCTCAAGCAAGCTATGTGCATCGCCTCCGTCATGGAGTTCGCCGGTGCCATGCTTGTAGGTTCTCGTGTCACTGACACCATCCGTACCAAGGTCATCTCTATCTCCCTCTTCGAGGAAGACCCCTCCGTTCTCATGCTTGCCATGGTCTGCGCCATCGTCGGTTCCGCCACCTACCTCACCATTGCTACCAAGTTCACTATGCCTGTCTCGACTACCCACTCCATCATGGGTGGTGTCATTGGTGTCGGTATTGCTGCTGCTGGACCTCAGGGTGTCAACTGGTCGTTCAAGGGTGTTTCTCAGGTTTTCGCGGCCTGGGGTATCGCTCCTGGTATTTCTGGAGCCTTTGGTGCCATCATCTTCTTGATCACCAAGTATGGCGTGATGAGACGCAACAACCCCGTTAAGAAGGCCTTCATCATGGTTCCTATCTACTTCTTCCTCACCTCCTTCCTCCTGGCTCTACTCATTGTCTGGAAGGGCGGATCCGCTAAGATCAAGCTCAGCGACTACGAGTCCGTCGGTGTTGCCTTCGGTGTCGGTGGCGCGGTCGCTCTCATTGTCGCTATCTTCTTCATCCCCTTCCTGCACCGCAAGATCATCAAGGATGACTGGGAGCTCAAGGGCTGGGAGGTCATCAAGGGACCTCTCCTTCTCAAGCGCCCTGAGCCTCGTGAGCGTCCTGAGGGTGTCACCGCCGGCCACATCCCCGACTTCTACGAGGGTCATTTGACCGCTGAGCAGCTCGAGGCTAAGCGCGCCAACGAAGGCATTGTTGCCCACCACCACACCGTCGATGACCTCGAGAAGGGTGGTCCCCACGTCTCGCAGTCTAAAATGGACCGCAGCGACTCTGACATCACTCCTATCCCTGAGCCCACCACCGCTGTCATCAACGACCGTCCTCTTCGCCAACTCTCCAAGCCGAAGAAGACTCCACCTCCCGGTGCCTGGTACACTCCCGCTGTTATGTGGTACTGGGTCAAGTACGCCGCTCTCCACGGTGTCGAGCAGGATGTCGTCGACCAGCAGAAGCACAAGGACTTCCTCTCTGGCGACATCGAGAAGATCCATGCTACTGGCGAGCACTACGACAACCGCGCTGAATACACTTATTCGTTCCTCCAGATCATGACTGCCTCGACTACCTCATTCGCCCACGGTGCCAACGATGTGTCGAACGCCATCGGCCCTTACACCACCATCTACTTCATCTGGTCCACGTGAGTACTCCCCATCTCAAGAACATCAACACGCCTCATACTAACATCTCCCAGCGCAAAGATCTCCTCCAAAGTCCCCGTCCCCCTCTGGATCCTCGCCTTCGGAGGAGCCGGTATCGTCATCGGTCTCTGGACATACGGATACAACATCATGCGCGCGCTCGGAAACAAGATCACCCTGCACTCCCCCGCTCGCGGTTTCTCCATGGAACTCGGTGCCGCCGTCACAATCATCATGGCCACCAAGCTCGCTCTTCCCGTCTCCACAACGCAGTGCATCACTGGCGCGACTGTTGGTGTCGGTCTGTGTAACGGCACCTGGAGGACCATCAACTGGCGCATGGTTGCGTGGATCTACATGGGTTGGTTTGTTACGCTGCCTTGTGCTGGCTTGCTGTCTGGATGCTTGATGGGTATTATTCTCAATGCGCCGAGGTGGGGTGGTGGTGTTTAAGATTGTTGAGTGAAGGGAGAGGGAGTGTGGTAATGTGTATACGAAGGATGGCTTGCTATGTTTTACGCTCGCTTGTTGTTTGAAGGGAGATTGTTTCTGCTTGTCAAAAGTCGGCTGGATACCACCTAGAATTTTCAATCATCATCGCTCTTTTCGCCACCAGGGTAGATGATCCTCTCTTAAGCGTACATGCGTCCATCCACCAGCGGTTCAACTTCGTTGCTCGAGAAGGCGCAATGCCCGATGCCGTCCACACCAGTACTGACAACACCCCACTGCACCTTTTGCTCAGACAACGCACCATCTTTAGCTTCAGGATACTGCGCAGGGTGACAAGCTGCACTTATAGCTAGACTACAACTTCCTGCGAGAGGCATGCCGGTTTTGTATGGTATGTACCCGAAGCTAACGACTGCTGCAACCATGAAAACACCCAGTATAATGACCACTAGCATGGCAATTGGCGAGTAACCGCACATATTCGTTGCACTTTGGTAGAGTCCATACCGATTGTACTCATCCATAGCCACCACAAAGATGCTCTGTGAGACTAACCAATGCAACGTACCACTCAACACAACGAGCGGAACCCCAAAGCGATATGGCAATTGGAGGAAGTAGGTCGATCTTTGCAAGCCAGAGGGTGTGCGCGAGACGCGGAGACCTTTCCGCTTGTGTGCGTAGGACGTCCATTCATAACCCAATAGCATGGCGGTGAACATGCCATTGTAAGCGAAATACAGGAATGACAAGATAACCTGGGGAAGGTTGGCTATCAGCACAAGGCCAATCATGTCGGTCGGGAAACCATCTCCCCCCTTGATCAGAGCACGTGTATCGACGGCACCAAAACCAAGGCTGAATATGGCGGTTGAGCTGATTGACGCGTAGTTGCCGATTGCTTTGCTTCCCCAAATGAGAAGGATCATGATGATGATCAATGCTGTCGCGAATCTAGTAGCACGTTAACGTGAAAGTTCAGCTGTGTAAGGTGGGAGGCATTACAAGCCAATAGTGGTTGCGCGGCGCTTCTTGCTTGTAGTATCTTTCCACCGCCAGCGTTGATCGTGCCATGGCTTTGCACCCGCGTCGTAGTCTGTGCTACAGTCTTGCAAGCTAAGTAAACTCAGGTTGGTGGTCGCCGGATCATTCTCATCGAGAAAAGATGCGACCGCATCGCCCATGGTCAGAAGTGGGTCGTCTTTCGTGGAATAAATCACAAACCACATGAGCACAGCTTTGACTACCTTGGTGTTAGCTTAAGACTCAGCAATTGACCGGGGGAGACTAGCACTTCCAACCACTAGCGTTAATACTTACAGAGGTTGAGAACGGTAACAATTGTTGCAATCACCGGGCTGAAATGAAGCCTGCAACGTGGGATGGCTGGCTCACTGAGGCAGTATTTGACCGGCCACCGGGATTGGCCACAAAGATTCATGCGGTACGCGGGACAGATGTTACCCACTTCCCATGTCTGAGGTGCATTCTTGATATCTTGGACTCTGTTCGCACATGGTGATTTTGGGTCATACCCAACGCCTGAACAAATCCAGCTATAGGATTCGGGAGCGTCGTCTGGATCTGTCCCGTAACTTGCCGAAAAGCCACTGGCCCAATATACATTGGTGTTGTTGAGTAAGGTCAGGCTCCGGTTGTAAGGGCTCGTGCTGGCTTGCGCGTTGTCCATCACAAGCAGAACGTTGCGTCTATCAGACTGAAGTGCGGTTGCATACTCAGCCAGGCATTCAGCAGGTTCCAGCCTATTCAGTGAGCCATTCTTTGACTGGCTCCATAATGTTATCAGTGGGTCAAAATATCCAGAGGGCGGCGAGGACGTGTAGTACGATTGCCAGTCAGACTTATCGGTACAGTTTCGACATTCTGGATCATCCAAGAAGGCCTCACTAACCAGGTACACTTTGTAACTGTTTGTGGATACGGACGCGTACACAGCCGAATTGTAACTGACCATCGCTGTCAGCAGTCTTCAGCTGAGGGTTCTGGGATGCTTACAAGAGATGCAGAGGTACAGAACTAGACCCTAGCAGAACCCACATCCATAATCTGCGTCGGCTGATGTGCTTCAGATTTCGAATGCTCGGAACACCAACATCGAGCCAAGTTCGTGCCGCGTGAGCTTTATCAATGTCTGCTCTAGTAGGAGCCGATAGGCATTGCATGCAGTAGTTGCTACCGCTAAGAAGTATAGTGCTCAAGATGTTTATGAGTATGTGGATTCCACGGTTGAGGGTCTTAATGTGTCCGCAGTCCCCTTCGCTCAAACTACCCGCTGTCTTCTTGTATATGGTCGAGCCCCAGATGGTTACGGTCATGTTGATCAAGAAGACGATAGCAGCCCACGCTGCGAAATGTAAGGCGCCAAATCTCCATCCAGTGAACTGTGACTTATAGTGATGAGTCCAGGTTGGCTTTCCAAAGCCGCCCGGTACGGTACGTTTGGAGGGCGGGGCTGAGGGATAGCTTGAATCCTTGGTCGAGCGGTCGTTGTTACTTTCAGCAGTCAATTGCGCAAGCTCCGTCGTGTCTGCTCCATTTGTTTGACGATAAGCGATACGTGTATGTCTGAAAGCTGCTACGAAGTTTGTGGCGGGACTCAGAATGCGATTGGCCATCTGGACAGGAGAATTCCAAATGGAAAATTGACACCGTTATAGATGGCTTCGTTGATGGAAATATATGCTGAGTCTAGGCGATGCGAGATTAGGCTGCGGTCAAGCGCGTGGCACAACATTGACCCCTGCCAGTTTTGGGGGCCGAAATTCTGGAACCCACAATTGCAGTTATATACAGCCCTAAGGAAGTGTGATCGATAGAGACCAAGCGCTTGCCGGTATACCCTAACAAAAAAGTGCAGGTAAGACGCCGAGTGCTCTGCCCCGGAGCAACATATCTGGGGAATTGCTGTTTTCTGCTCGAGTTGTCTGGCAATGCCTAGTAGGACCTCGGTAAAGCTGAACACGCGATAGAAGCGCCACATCGAGGTGAGAGAACGGGGAAAGGCGCTTCGCTATACACTTGCTTACCATAACTGTATCAATCACACTTAAGCTGCCATATTTGGAGCTGGACTGAGGCATTGGTGGTAGTCAAACGTTAGGCGCAATATTTCGCCGAAGACGAAGAGTGATCGTTGGAGTCCGCGTGTTCCGGTGTGGTGGTGTACTTGCAGGCCTCCAAAGCCTGTTCCCTGCTCATTTTGGGGGCGCGTAGAGGCGAAACGTGTGATCCTGTAAGCAAAGTTGCGCCGCGACAAGGGCTGCAACGTCAGCAACGTCATAGGTGATCTTTCGATCTGTAGAGAGCACAAGCGACGCTCGTCCTTTGACAGCCTACGTCTGTGGCCGAAAGTTAGGCCACCTCACTGTTCGCACCTCATGTGTGTTTTGCTACTTGCGAGCCTCCATCATTGACATCGACGCCATCCTGGCTTCCTCACGCGACATAATGCGCGATCAAGGGATCACGTTGTATTGTTGAGCGTGCGAGTCGGTTCGAGGCCTGCTCCGAGAACATGAAGCGCGACGTGAGTAGCCTGTAATGTTGAGTGAAGTTGGAGTGGTGGAGGAAGCGGAGGTCTGTCGTATCAACTAATCAGGTGGAACCGGAGGTTTGGCTCTTTTTCTACGCTTCTCCCAGACTTCTTTCTACGAAGTACACTCTTACTTCGAGTCATGAACACAGACGAATTATTTGACGACATCGCTAGGTGGACATGAGAGAGCACGTTCTACCGAAGCTTAGCAGCTAGATATTGCCAATATCTCAAAGCTCTCCTCTCATCCGTGCCTTACGTTTTGTACACACGAAGCTCGGGCCGGCTCCACATTCTCGAGCTGCAAGTCATCGTACAACCGGCAACATGACACATATGCGTATCCCTACATACAATCTCATGACCTCTAATTGTATCGACGACCTTTCCTGATGAGCAATGCGAAGTATGACTTGGCGTCAGTGCCTGAGCGAACTTTGTCGTCAAAGGTACAGGGAGTGTGAGAGTCGCATATGGGCAGTGTAACAACGATGAAAATGGCAGCTTGCATCAAATCACACAGATCGCACACTCTATCAACAAGAACGCCTTGTTCCATCATGTCGCAAACATGCCTTCACAGAAGCATACCAAAGCTCTTATAGCAGGTGGCAGCGTTGCTGAGCTTACTCTTGCAAACGTCCTCGAACAACTTGGAATCGACTATTTGGTCCTGGAGAAGTATTGCAAAAACCGCTCCCTTGGTGCAAGCATCGGCATCTTCCCGAGCGGCTTTCGTATCTTGGATCAACTTGGCTGCTACGGCGCAATCAAGGCCTTAGTCGAAGGCGCAGATGCTTTCGAAACACTAGCTATGAGGAACGAGCATGGGCAGATCATCTCAGGGGTCACGGGTGCTTTTATGCATTTCAACAAGCGGCATGTCGACTTATCTCGCGCGCGGTGCCAATACTAATGCAAACAGCCTTGGGTATGAGCCTATCTTTGTGGACCGCCAGATGAGACTACTGGTGAGGTCAAACTCATCACTGAAAGTGGAGATATTTTCTACGGTGACATCCTCGTTGGGGCCAATGGTATACACAGTACAATACGCCGCGAGATGTGGAGTCTCGCAGATCAAGACAGCCCTGGCTACTTCCTTATGAGCAACCCATCGGACGTACCAACCGAATACTGCTGCATATCTGGCATTTCGCACCCATCAGACAGGTTTTCGAAGTACTCTTCGCAAAACATAGGAGGCCGAAATTACTCGTACCCCATCGCCACGGGACCAAATCATCGCATTTACTGGTTCCTGTTCAAGAAGCTGCCCGACACGACTCGTGGACTCTACGAAAAGATTCCTCGCTCCGCAGAAGAGCAAAGAGACGCACTGGCTACTGAACAGGCGGAAGATCGTATAACGGACACATTGGCTTCCGGCAAACTATATGCGATGGGCACTACAGCAACATTGCAAGTCATTCCGGAAGCGGTGTTCAAGAAGTGGCATTACAACCGGATCATGACTATCGGGAATGCTGCCCACAAGGTAGGTTGAATAAACGCTATGCGGAGATTTCGAGCTGACGCTTTACACAGTTCAATCCCATCGGCGGCCAAAGCGGAAACAGCAGTCCTCGCAGACCAGCTTGACAAACTCCTCAACGGCGAAGCCAAAACTCACAGCTTCACTGACGCAGACATCACCCACGCCTTCCAAGAAACCCAACGCATCCGCTTCCCCCCACGCCACCAAATTCGTCAAGCACTCTCACCAAATGCGAAGCCTGCAAGCCATGGACACTATCTCTTCGAAATTCGTCGCAAATTACATCATGCCGCTAACCGGTCCGGAGAAAGTCATAGAGATGATATGCGAGGCTCGCGTGGAGCTGCGAGGGTTGAAGCGTTGCCGCTTCCTGTGCGACCGCACTCTGATCTTTGGGACGAGCGACAGCCGAGCTTGGTCGACTGGAAACGTATTGGCTTTTTTGCCTCGGTGGCGCTTGCTGCACTGGCAGGTCTTGCGGCAAGGAATGTGCGACTTCCTATCGCTTCCCTTCCAGATGTTCTCCTGGGCATTCAGCCGAAGGCCTGATTCATCAGCCGCTGATGTTCTGATATATTGGACATCACCGTACTTGATTTAGAATGTCCATGTGGATGGGTAGGTGCAAGTGTATCCCCAGGTTACAGAGGCTTCGATAAAATGCCAACTAAAGTCGGGACAATTATAGGTTTGCAATGTTGAAGAAGAAAGGTGTTAGAAACCCGTCTCTCGAACTTCAAAAAGGACAGAGTAATGCAAGAAGATCATACACAATTTGAGTACGCACACTATATCCAATCAATCACTGACACACCTTGTGCCGCGAACCATCACACCCACCCCTTATCTACCAACCCACTACATCTACCAAGGCAGCGCACTTCCATACCCAGCTCTTGAAAACACCCCCCGTTTTCTCTCTTGTTGCTTCGTCCAGATTCCTCAAGCCCTTCGACACTCCGTTCAACCGTGATACTACCCATCCGCCTCACCGCCTCCTCCCCAAAAGCCTCAATACTCATATCCGTCAACACCAATCCCGGATGCCCCACATACGCACACACCCACTCTTCCTCCATATGGATCCTCCTCACCACCCAGTTCAGAGTAGCCTTGCTCGCACCGTACGGCGATAAGTTTCCAGGAAGGCGATCTTGGGCGGAAATGCTGTCGATGAGCGTGCTGAGGGCGAGGAATTTCGGGGAGGCGGAGCGTTTGAGGAGGGGAGGATGGCTTGGAAGAGGAGGATGGAGCGATGGTGTTGATGGCGAAGTGCTCGCGGAGGGCGGAGGCGGAGTTTAGGAGATGGGGGCGGAGGAGTGGGCGATTCCTGCGTTGGCGATTAAGGGGTCGGTTTCGGACTTCAGGTCCTATTTGACAAGGATGAGGTTGGAGCCTTCGGCCTTGGGTAGTGCCTCGAGGATTGGAGTGGAGTTGGTCATGTCGCGGACAGCGGCGATGACGATGCAGACACGGCACGAGTCAGTACCTATATTCAAGAGACAAGGCAGATGCATTGATAGAGACACCGACCGTCGCCACGCCCGTCGAGTAGTGGGCATGAACGCTCCTGCCATATAACTAAGCTTAGCCGACGAAGTGATGTGGCCAAAGGACTGAACATTGGCTTCTTCTTCTACTCCGCGGACTGACCATTGACAACAATCGAGTGATTTGTGAAAAAAAAACGACCGAGAGATAAATCACCTCGAATGAGAAGATTGCAATATGGCCAATAAGAGAACAGAATGTGCTAGGCGATGACTGTGATTCATTAGTAGATCGCAGGTAGATCGTACCCGCAACCCACATCAGCACGACGCTGAGACATTTATCTCGTACAAGCCGCTAGCGAACGAACGAGATGCCAAAAGGTCGAAACTCGCGGAAAAGTAACCTTACTAGGAGTGGTGGCTCGGTTGACGCGAACAGTTGTTGCCGTGAAGGGACCATTTGAGATACTGGATCATTTAGCGTGGGCCTTTGCTACGAACAACAGCGCACAGGAAGGCACGAGACGATGAAAAGGCGACATTCTGGACTGGAGAAGAGGAATGAATGACTGACGGACGTCGAAGTTGCAGGCGAGATTGAGCAAGTATTTGCACGTGACTGTGACCCCCGAAATGCCGACTGGCCGATCGTGAACTTCGACATTGAACTTTTGGAGAACTCCACGCGCCAGCCATCAACCCTCGCAACGCCGCCATGGCTACCCCACGATCTCTCGCAGCGCCCTTCAGCGTGACACGGCTCGCTGCATCATCGCTATCCACCCTGCGCCCCGAAGTCTGCCGATTCGCAACGCCAGCATACCAGACAATCCGATGCGCAACGACATCAAAAACGCAGCCCGCGAAGAAGAAGAAGGCCCGCAACACCTTCCGCCAATATGACCTGAAGAAGACCGAGCAGTTCGCCCTTGTCGACGCAATGCAGTACATCCGCGCATTCGAAGTCGGGCGGAACCCTTCATCCTCCAAGTACGAACTGCACGTGCGCCTGCGCACCCTCAAGAACGGCCCTGTAGTGCGCAACCGATTACGGCTGCCGCACTCGGTCAAGACAGATCTGCGCATCTGCGTCATTGCGCCCGCGGACTCCAAGGCTGGGCAGGAAGCGCGGTCAGCAGGTGCGACGCTGGTCGGCGAGGAGGAGATCTTCAAGCAGGTCCAGGAGGGCGTCATCGAGTTCGATAGGTGTATCTGCCACATCGATTCGCTGCAGAAGCTGAACAAGGCGGGCTTGGGAAGGTTGTTGGGTCCTAAGGGGTTGATGCCCAGCACGAAGACTGGCACCGTGGTGACGAATGTTGGGCCAACTGTGAGGAATATGGTTGGTGGTAGCGAGTACAGGGAGAGGCTGGGTGTGATTCGCATGGCGGTCGGACAGCTTGGCTTTACTCCTGCGGAGATGCAGGAGAACATCAAGTCGTTTATGGACGCTTTGAAGAAGGATGTCTCCCAGTTGCAGGACCGCGTGTCGAAGGAGATTCACGAAGTGGTGAGTTCATCTGGAAGAATGGCTTCCCCTTGTTAAACATGCTAACAGAGCGATAGGTCCTCAGCTCCACAAACGCACCAGGATTCACACTAAACGGCGAGTTCAAGGGCCCCAACTCAATATCACCCGCCCTCCTCACCGGCCCCTTGTAAATTTCGTGTAGCTTTTCCGTTGTACAAACAATGTACCATATCAACGCCACCGCTATGCTGGTATCATGGTTAACCCTTCATCTCGTCTTCAGTGTCTTGAGCACCTTGACCGCCTCCCCTGACTCCTCCATATCAGCATATATCTTCATAATCTGCATCACCCTCCCCGATCCATCCGTCCCTGCCCTTTTCGCTTGCTGCAGCGCCGTGCTCAAGTCAAGCAGCAACGTACTACGCACCTTGTTCAACCTCGGTGTCTGCGCCACAACAAACGGATGCTCTTCCAGCCCCTTGACCGCCTCCTTGACTAGCCTATACTGCACAACATTCCTCCTCAACCTCGCAGTGCTCGTCCCATACTGTGCGTCCCCCTCCCCCTCCCCCTCCTCCTCCTCATCCTCGCTCTCACTACTGTCATCACTCAGATCCCCCTCCCTCTGCCCACTAACAGCAACGTCCTCCTCACACTCCCTCAACCGCTCCTCAACCTCCACCAACCGTCTCCCAATCTCAATCTTCAACCTCGCTTGTCTCCTCTCTTCCACTAACCGCCCAACTTCCTCCTCTCTCTGCCTGACCAACGCTTCTAATTGCTGCACCTCCTTCCCAAAACCCAGCAACCCTACCCTGACGCCCTCGACTTTTTCTTCGCCTCCTCGTAAGCTGTTGCCCAGTGTCAGGAAGTCGGCATAATTTGCGTTCACCAGATCGAGGAGCTCTCTGCTCAGGAGCTGGGATCTCGAGCGCAATTCCGAGCGCAGGTCTTCGAGCGTTTGGTGCCGGTTGGAGAGGGTCGAGAGGTAGGCGCTCGGCGTGAAGTCTGGTTGGAGGAAGTCTGAGCGTTGTAGTGGCTTCGCAAACGGTAATGTGTCGAGGTTGTCTTCGTCTTCATCGGAAGAGTTGAGGGCGGACTCGGTGCGGGAGTCTGGGATCTATATGGGCGGGTCAGTTGCATGTCTGTGAGGAGTGTGAGTAGCTTACATAGAATTGGCTCATTTTGAATGTGTTGAAGGCGACACGATCATGTGAGGCCTCTACGGTTTGGATGGTTAGACCGCTCCACGCGACACGTACAGCAGTCGCGTTGTCCAAATAAAGTTACCCAGGTCCGATAAGCTTATCGCTTCCGAACCGCGGCAGGGCCTCGGAACCATGCACACGCTTTGTGACGACACATTACCAAGCAGCACGCCCCGCCGTGGGGCACTACGTCGGCTATGTCGCAATTCGAAGTGCATCCGGCATTTGCCCTGATCCTCTCCTTCCTGTACACCCCCTAACCATAGACTGCTCTTGAGCATTACCATTGCCTCGGTATAGAAAGGTGTAAAGAGACAAAAATATGGCCCCGCTTCCCCAGCCCGACCTCCCCGAGCCCGCGCACCCAACCGTCGATTCGATGTTGAGCCGCAAGTTTGGCAAGGAGGTTGCGAACTACTTCTCTGGTACATGCACTCAATCCCAGCTCAGCTGTACATTTATGAAGACGGAACTGGATACTGACTACTCCAGGCTCCCCGTTGAACCGCGTATCCTTCCTGCGCCCCGACCACACCTTCCTCTCCTCAGCGCTGCGCCACTCCTCCGCAACGTTCATCCTGTTCAAGAACATCGAGCCGCTTGTGTCCTCGCCCACGTCACTCGCGCGTGTTTCTTACGCCGACGTCGAGCCCATCATCGGCAAGGATATTTTTCATACCACGGAGGAGGATGTTATTGCGCAGTACAACTCGGACCTGTATATCCCGCAGATAGTGTTTTTGGGGCTGGATGAGCGGAAGGAGGGGTTTGTGTATAAGGAGCATTACAAGGGGCAGCCGTGGTTTGCGGTCGATGTCACGCCCAAGGGGAGTGTCAAGGAGGAGGCGGAGAAGCTCATCTCCAGGCTTCAAGGGAAGGGGCTGGACTTTAGCAAAGGGAGGATGCACCTCTCCCTGCCCGCAGAAGAAGGTCAGTACCACGCCCTCCTAATCCTCGTCAGCGAAGAGTCTTGTGCTGACATGCTGTGTTAAAGCGGCTATATACGCCGAAGCCCGCCACCTCCTCGACTGGAACGCACGCAACCCCTTCTGCGCCTCCTGCGGCTACAAGACGCTCTCTGTAAACGCAGGCTTCAAGCGCACCTGCCCGCCAAAAGACATTGCAGCCGCAGTCAACAGCTCGACCCCCGGCGAGCGCCCGCCCTGCGCTACACGCACCGGCGTATCAAACCTGTGCTTCCCGCGCACCGATCCCACGGTCATCATGGCTGTCGTCAGCGCAGATGGCAAAAGAGTTTTGCTGGGCAGGCAGAAGAGGTGGCCGCAGTACTGGTACAGCACGCTCGCCGGCTTCCTTGAGCCGGCGGAAAGCGTCGAGGAGGCCGTGCGCCGCGAAGTCTGGGAGGAGTCCGGTGTGCATCTTGGGCGCGTCGTGATTCACTCCACGCAGCCGTGGCCGTACCCAGCGAATCTGATGATTGGCGCTATCGGACAAGCGATTCCAGGGGGTGAGACGGTGCATCTGGGTCACGATGCAGAGCTCGAGGATGCGAAGTGGTTTGAGCAGGATGAGCTCAGGGAGGCGCTGCGGGTAGGGACCAGTGGACTGGGCGAGGAGCCGGGGCCGGAGTGGAAGGAGGGAGGCTTGAGGTTGCCGCCCAAGACAGCGATTGCGTATCAGTTGATTAGTGCGATGGTGAATGGGTTTGCGAGCGGGTCGCCTATGATCTGAGCTTCAGTTCACGAAGCCGGTGTGGAAGATAGGCGTTGGAGTTGAGGGGAGGGTACAGAGTAGACGTGTAGATGGCAACATAGTCGTGTTGCACAAGTTCTACAAGTTCTACAAGTTCTACAAGTTCTACATCTACGGCAGCACAATGTACTTCCTCAGAGGCTCCGGTATCGCGCCATACAGCTTCTTCTCCTCCAGCCACTTCTTCGAAAAGAGCCTGTCGGCGTACCGGTACGCGCCATCACAGAGCAACGTTACGACTGTGCTGCCCTTCCCCAGCTTCTCTGCAACCTCCTTCGCAGCCACGACGTTCAGACACGAACTCGCGCCCAGATACAACCCCTCCTCGTCCAAGCACCGGTACACCATCTCAATCGTCTTCTCGTCGCTGATGTGCAACGAACCGTCCAGGAGGTCGATATCCGGCTTGAGGTTGTCTGTCACGCGCCCCTGCCCGATGCCCTCGGTGATCGAGCCACCCTTGCGCTCGGCCAGCTTGCCGCCGGACTGGATGTAGCTGTGCAGCACGCTTCCCGGCGGGTCAGCGAGAAAGGACTTGACGCGCCCACCGCTCTTCTCTTTCAGGTACCGCGTTGTTCCAGCGAGCGAGCCGCCCGTCCCGGTTGCGCAGGTAAACGCATCGATCTTGCCGCCTGTCTGGTACCAGATCTCCGGCCCCGTGGTCTCGATGTGCGCTTGTCTGTTCGCTACGTTGTCGAACTGGTTTGTCCAGACGGCGTTGTCCAAGCGTTCGGCGTGACGCTTGGCTTGGTGGTTGTAGTTCTCCGGGTTGTCAAACGCCACCGCTGGCACGGGGTAGACCTCCGCGCCCAGGAGTCGGAGCAGGTCGATCTTTCCCTGGGACTGTGTGTTGGGCATGTAGATGACCAGCTTGTAGCCTTTGGAGCGGCAGACGTGGGCCAGCCCGATGCCCGTGTTGCCGGCCGTGCCTTCGATGACGGTACCGCCGGGCTTGAGGAGGCCGGCCTTTTCGGCGTGTTCGACGACGAAGAGCGCGGCGCGGTCTTTGACGCTGCCGCCGGGGTTTTGGAATTCCGCTTTGCCCAGGACGTTGCAGCCGGTTTCTTCCGAGAGCTTTTTGAGGCGGATGAGGGGTGTCTTGCCGATTGCTGTAGGACTGATTAGGTCAGTTCACGTGAAGGAGTGAGGTGAAGGTACCGTCAAGGAAGCCCCGCTGTCCAATGCCTTGAGATTTGGAGATACCAATTGCTGTCTGGTGGTTGGCTTCAAAGGAGACGGCCTCAGCGCGGAGAAGCGCTGAGGCCGCGAATTGACGCGCTGCTGTCCTGAACATTGTGTGTGCTGAAGGGAGTGGAGGCGTGGTGTTGGAGCTCGAAGTATGCCAAAGCTGTCGATGACATCGGCGAATCAGACCTCGGGACTACTGCGACGACCCGATGTCGCCATTCCGCGAGCTGGCGTCATGCTTGCCACGGACACGGAAGCCCACCCACACGGCTACAGCAAAAACCTTGAATTGTGTTTGGAAAGCTCTGCAACGTCAGTAGTGTGGTAGGTCGTGCTTTGTAGTACAACAAACAATCAGTGAGGTCGACAGCTCACGTGCAACAATGTCGCCGCTCCAGTCGAGGGCGGCGTCTCGGGGGCGGGGGGGGGGGGTCCCGATCAGGCTTAGCGTTCCGCCGCCTGCGCGAGTAAACAACAAACATGGGATGAGACCGCCGTAGATACCAACGCCGCAACAACCATGCCGGGGAGAACGTCGACGCGCTCGACGCGCACAACACGCACAACACGCGCAGCTGCCGGCACAAAATCTGCGCGGTCTTCGGCTATCGAAATACCCGACGAAGGACCCGTCACCTCGCTGCGCACTCAGATCGTGCAGGTATTCAGCGATGCACAGAAGACAACGGCAACACAGCGCAAACTAGTAGTCACTCTACGGAAAATACAAGAAGCATGTTGCTTCGAGCCCCCAGTCAGCTCCAAGAAGGGCAAGAAGGGCCGGGAAGAAGAGCACGAGGATTTCGACGAGGATGAATTCAACCATGAGGTGGTGCGCAGCGTGCTGCGCGTCTTGAACGTAAAGAAGAGCGAGCCCGCCGGTGACCGCGTCATTCGCTTTCTCTGCGCCTTCCTCAAACATGCGACAGAGAAGGACTACAGGAACTTCGCAGCGTCAACGGAGAACGAGAACGAACAGGTCGAGACGCCCAGCACCCGGCTCAACACGCAGATCCTCAAAACCGTCCTCCGACTTCTCCAATCGAAAGACAAAACCATCCGGTTCCGCGCGACTCAGACCGTGACACAGCTGCTCAACTGTCTTGAGCAGATCGACGACGACGTCTACGCTCTCATCAGAGTCGGCCTGTCAAAGCGCCTGCGAGACAAGGAGACGTCTGTGCGCGTGCAGGCAGTTCTGGGCCTGGGGCGTCTCACGGGCAACGAGGATGAAGAGGAGGAGGAGGAGGACAGCGATGACGAGGCAGGCAGCCTTCTCGACAGGCTCGTTGCTGCCATGGTCAATGACCCAGACGCCCAAGTACGACGCGCCATCCTGTCGAATATACCCTTCTGGCCAAACACGTTGCGCTTTCAACTGGAGCGAGCACGAGACTTGGACCCCGCTACACGACGGATTGTCTACGCCCGGATTCTACCGACCCTGGGTGACTTCCGTCATCTCTCGCTAGTCGAGCGTGAGAAGTTGATTCGCTGGGGTCTGAAGGACCGAGACGACGCCGTGCGGAAGGCTGCAGCACGGTTGTTCTATGAACGCTGGATCGAGGACTGCGCGTCCAAGCGTGACACACGACCGGAGGAGGAAAAAGTGCCAGGCACCACCGCCCCGCCAAATCGCGAAGCCTTGTGCGAGCTCTTGGAGCGCATTGATATCGTCCACTCGGGCGACGATGAAGGCATGGCGCATGATGCTATGAAGGAATTCTGGGCGGGAAGACTTGACTACCGCGAGGCCGATTTGTTTGACAATGACTTCTGGCTGAACTTGGATCCGTCAGCAGCCTTTGTGGTGCGTAGTCTGAATGACTACTGCCAGGATACCGACGACGATCGCGAACGAGAGATGATCCAAGACAAATTGCCAACCGTCACGAATTTTGCTGTCATCCTCCAAAAGACGCTCAACACCGTCATGCAGACTGTTGAGAAAGGTGCGCTGATGGATGAAGACGACCCTGAAGCGGACGAGGTACAGGAGTTGATCGAGGATTGCACTTTTGTCGCTAAGCAACTCCTGCATGTCGCTCTCACACTCGACTACTCAGACGAAATGGGAAGAAGGCAAATGTACAACATCACGCGAGAGGCGCTAGCCCAGCCTGGACTTCCGGAAGACTGCACGAAGCTTGCTATCGAAGTGCTACGTATCGTATGCGGTAACCGTGGCGAATCTGATTTTTGCGCTGTTGTCATGGAGGCCATCCAAGAAGTGCGTGACACGCTGCTGGACGCGGATGACAACACGGCTGAGGTTGGGGATGATGTAGAGAGCTTTCACTCTGCACACTCAGAGACTAGCAGCCCTCCTCCAGCTGGTAAGGAGGTGGCGAAGCCAGCAAAGGAACTCAGTCCCGAAGAGGAAGAGGAAAAGCGGATTCGCGAGATCATGGTCTACTCCAAGTGTCTGCACATTGTCCAGTGTACGCTTCAAAACGTGACATGTGACCTGGAATCAGACACCAACCTGACCAGCATGTTGAACACACTGATCATTCCTGCTGTCCAGGCACGCGAAGCCATGATTCGTGAGCGTGGCGTCATCTGCTTGGGAATGGCCGCTCTCCTTAGCAAGGTATTTGAGAACGACCCAGGTGTGTACACCGATATGCTAACGATCGTAGGATCTTGCCGCGAACAACCTTGACCTTTTCTTCCACTGTTTTACCAAGGGTCATGACCAACTGAAGGAGATCACGCTACAAGTCCTTGCGGATGTCATCATCACACACCCGCATCTCATTGCACCGCCCGTGCCCGATCCGGACACTACAGAACAATCCGAGTTACCAGAGCACAATCCCCGACTGAAGCCGCTCGTCAAGGTTTTGCTCAAGGGCATTCATTCCGAAAACACACGAGTCGGTCACATCGCCTGCGAAGCAGCACAAAAGCTTGTTCTACACAATCTTCTGCCCGCCGAAGCTACCGCGGAGATTGTCAAGAACTTCACGCTATTGTACTTCGATCCCGATGGCACCTCGAACCCTGGAGTAAGACAGGCGCTGAGCTACTTTCTTCCGGTCTTCTGTCACTCAAAGGTCAAAAACGCGCAGCTCATGGCGGGCGTTGCCGTGCCAATCATCTCCAAACTTCTCGTCATGCGTGACGAGATTGAAGATGACGAAGATGCCGAGATGGTCGGCTGGCCTGTCATCACCGCGCATCTATCGGAATGGACAGATGGCCGTAAGGTCGTCGGTCAGACAGAACTGGGCCTTGACGGAAAAATGAGCTCGAGCGCAGAATCCGAGGTTCCTCACATCGCCCTTGCCGTTGACATCCTCGAGCGCGCTCTCACTAGCACATGCTCGAAGGACGAACGCAAACCACTTCTTTCGCTACTGACCAAGCTGCACATCTCCTCATCCGCACCAAAGAGAAAGGAAGGCGAGACCACCGACAACGAACTCCTCGACACCCTCCAAGAACTCGTCTCAGAAGCAGTAGAAGACAAGATCGGCGTGGACGCAACACAACGCAACGCCCTCGTTAAACTCGAAACCACGCTCACCAAGCGCCTAGGCGATGCAGCGAACGCCACAGTCGTCCAGGAGGACCGCGAAGACACAGTCACACCCGAGACTGCCAATCCTCGCGAAACGCCCGCTGAAGAGCCTCGCTCAAGTGTCGCTCCGTCCGTTGATGGTAGTGAGATGGATGTTGATGAGGACGAGGATACGATGTTGGCAGGCATGCAAGGCGAGGGCACACGTATGCCACTCGAGGCTGATGACAGCGCCGAGGACGACGACGAGAGTACGCCGCGCGCTACAAGAGAAGGGACGGAGAAGACGGAGGCGGATATTATGGATGAGTTGCTTGCGAGTGATGAGGAAATGACCATGTAAAATGTCATGTCGATATGTATTGATGACTTGGTGTTGTTTTGGCTGGCGTTGTTGGTTTCGGTTCTGCGGTCTTTCGTTGATACCCCATCGATACCTAGGGTGGGTCGCAATGCATGTAACGATGTTCTTTCGATTGACTATTCACTGCCTCGACGTCTCCTCTCCTGCTTGAACAGCCTGCGCTGCTTCTACCCACGACTTTCTAGTGATCGGATCTATTCTCTGAAAATCACCGAAGCGCTCCGCGCACGCCTTCCAACCTTCTAACACCTACCACCACATCTCCAAGACACACCGTATTGATCAGCCCACAGCCACAGCAGCCACGCTTTACACAGCCGCTCCTGTGCTTGCTCTCCCTACGGTTATCGGAGTAATTCGCACATCCCAGCAGCAGATCATCCTTCATCTGAAACCTGAAACAAGCCTTCATCAAACCACGGCCCCGGCGCGGCACTTGATACCCGCGTAAACACTCATCTCCACACAAACACCCATCCGGTCAGATGTCTGCTGCCAATCTAGGCAAGCGTTGGCAGTCTAATAGCTGAACTGTGACCTGACGGTCGAAATTTCCAAACATGAAACATCGACAGGCTACGATAGGGAGGCGAAGACCAAGCTTTGCGCAAGCTATGAGGGGCGTTTGGAACAGATTGCGAGCTGACGCAGACGAGAGATGTGCACGCGAGAGCAGGAACGATGATGCAAAGACGTCGTGAGCGACTTGATGTTGCTGTTACGCGCTCCGCACCCCGTGGATGGAGCACAGGATCGATTGTGTTCTTGCCGCAAACCGAGCGCTCATCTCTGCCAGCTTGACGATAGCTTTTCCGAGCTGCAGAAATTGTGGGAAATGGGATGAGATGGATCGACCCCAGGATCAATGCGCATGGGCGCAGGCACCCCGTGCCCACATCTTCATATACCCTCAACGCCGCGATTCGCAGGTTCCCCAAGTCTTTCTTCAGTCACTCTTTCAGTCTCTCGTTTCCAACTTCAGTCACTCGTTCCTGCTGAGCAGGTTTCTAATTCGCAATGCACTTCTCTTCCTTCCTCGTCGCGGCCGTTGCCGTTCTGCCTACCGCCGTCTTCGGCCAGCTTTCGGGCAAAGTTGGACCTCTGACTACGCATGCTGCTAAGACCAAAGTCAAGACTTGCAATGTCTTGAACTATGGTGGCAAGGCTGACAAGAGTACCGATCTTGGCCCTGCTCTCTTGAAGGCCTTTGCGGCCTGCAAGACAGGTGGTACCGTTGTTGTCCCATCTGGTAACTATGCTATGAAGACGTGGGCTACATTTGAGGGCGGTAAGGCATGGGCTTTGCAGCTTGATGGTATCATCTACCGTACTGGTACCGATGCGGGTAACATGTTGTTCATTCGCAACGCAAACGACTTTGAGATGTTCAGCAGCACTGGCAAGGGTGCTATTCAGGGTGAGTGATATCATGTGTTCGGTTTGGGATGTATTTGCTAACATGACATTTCAGGTCTTGGATACGAAGACCACAAGAACGGGAAGCGGAACGGCGCTCGCCTCTTGCGTGTTGAGAAGACCAACAACTTCTCCGTCCACGACATAATCCTCGTCGACGCACCCATGTTCCACTTCGTCATGAACACCGTCACCAACGGCGAGGCCTACAACATGGCCATCCGCGGCGGCGACTGGGGCGGTCTCGACGGCGTCGACATCGTCGGCACAAACGTCTGGGTCCACGACGTACGTTCCCCGTTTCCTCACAAATTACCCACTCTCTTCCAAAAATCCTCCAACTAACATCCTCAGATCATGGTCACAAACAAAGATGAATGCGTAACGGTAAAGTCGCCCTCCACCAACCTCCTCATCGAAAACATCTACTGCAACTGGTCCGGCGGGTGCGGCATGGGCTCGCTCGGCGCCGACACAGCCATCTCCAAGATCCAATACAAGAACATCTACACCTGGAAATCCAACCAGATGATGATGATCAAAGCCAATGGCGGGTCGGGCTACCTCGAAGACGTGGTACTCGAGAACTTCATCGGCCACGGCAACGCGTACGCATTCAACATCGACCAGTACTGGTCGTCGATGAGCACGATTGCCGGCAACGGCGTGCAGATCAGCAATGTGACGGCGAAGAACTGGCGCGGCACACAAGCCAACGGTGCGCAGCGCGGGCCGGTAAAGGTTGTGTGTGCGGACAAGGCGCCTTGCACCGACATCGATGTGAGCGACATCCAGATGTGGACCGAGACGGGCAGCAAGAACGTGAACTTGTGCCGCTCGGGCCATGGCTCCGGCATGTGCTTGAAGAGCGGCACGGCGAGCTATGCGCAGGTCACCCAGACCGTCACCACAGCTCCTACTGCCTACTCGGCTGCCAGCATGGCGGACAACCTGGAGACTGCTTTTGGCACGGTGAGCAGCATCCCCATCCCGACGCTGCCGGCGTCGTACTACCCCAACACGCCGCCTATCAGCAAGCTTGCTGGCCAGTGAGTGCATGTGTTGCGATGGAAAGGTGGGGTGGGATGGGAGAGGTCGGGGGGCTTCTTGTGTATATAATTCTCGGTTGAAGTGTGTCACTTCATGCGCATCAATCAACCATGTTCTGAGTTGGTCTGAACGATCCCATTTCAATTAACTTCTTACGTTGCGTGCACGTCCCAATGGCATGCCATATCGTCATTGTGTCTTACCTCGCTTGTTCATACCTGCAAACAACACGGTCAAGCGAGACTGAGGAACCGAGTGATGTTTATGCTTGATTTTTTTTTGACTGTCTACTGTAACAAAACATGATACGAACTCTGATCGCGCTCGCTACTCATCCACAGCAGTGAGACGCCAGCGCCATTGAACGCCAATGCTCATTACATAACAAATCAAAAGCTAACCTAGGTCGAACCCAATGCAGAGAAACAGCGCTCGGAAATCAGATAACAAAGACCCTCCATTTCCCGGGTACTCCAAACTCCTTCTCATCAAATCTACTCTTACAAATAAGCCATCCACAATGGATCCGTCATGGCCAACTTCTGCGGATGCACCGCAACACTAACCAAATCCACCATGGTCTGATTCGCAGGCAAATTCGCTCCAGACGGCTGGCTCCCAATAGAACTCGCCCTCTTAACCACGAGATCAGAATTCTGCTGCACGCTCTCCCTCAGCACGTCCGGCGTCAAACTGCTACTCTTATGCTGGCTCGTAAACCAATGATTCATCTCATCCCTCATGAAGATAGACAACTGCATCTCGAGCTCGCCCTCAGGCTCGATCAAGCATCGGGCGACAGTCATAACGGCCGGCGCAAAGATACCCTCGAGATTCAGCGGGCCGAGCATGACCTGCAGATTGGGCGTGAGGCGGAAGGGCACAGGTTCGGAATTGTGCAGGATGGGCTTGCCGACGGCCATGCTCGGGATGAGTTCGGAGCCCCAGATGCGGCCGGATTGGCGCGAGATGAGCAGCTTGTGCGGGAAGCGCGTATTCATGTGCATGACGTAGGTCATGAAGGTCAGAGCGGCAAGGTGGTAGGAGAAGGTGCGGCGGAAGAGCCAGAAGTCGTCGAAGGTGGGGAAGGTGGCGCGGAAGTAGTCTTGGACGATTGTCGGGGGGACGTATTTTTCTTGGACGGCGGAGAAGGTCTCGAGGCGGATGCTGTTGGCATGTTCAAGATTTTTCTGGTTGGGTGTCAGTGATTGTGTCAAGCGTATGAGGGTGGTGTGGATTTACAGGTGAAAGCGCTCTAAGCTTATCAATACTAAAGAGAATTGGCTCATCCTTGTTAACGCCGTTTTTCCTGCAATAATCCTCATAGATGCCCTGCAGGTTCATAGCCGACGGATCATCCTGAATCAGACGCACACTAGGTGTAATGGGTACCATGAGCGGCAGATGGAACTGCAGATTCCTCCTGCGACTCTCCTTGCGCTTCGACAAGATACCGTTGAAGATTCGGAACAACTGGATGATGCGCTCTTCACGCCTCGAGCTTCTCGCAGTAGGGAATTGAATAGCGAAAGGATGTGTGCTTCCGTCATGGCCGCGAATCTTGATCCTGCGATGACAAACGCCAACGCCGCGGACCAACTCAACATCAGAGAGGAAGCGCTCAATGCGCACGAAGTCAGAGTTCTTATCCCGGTGCAGCAAGTATTGTCCAGGGACTTCCACGTCATCGAATTTGAGGAATCGGAACTCGCTCAGCTGGTGTGTATACTGTTCGAGTGGAACAACGATTCTCCTGCGATCAAGACGCTCCTCGAATCGATTCCGCCAGGTGCGTAGCTTCTGGATGTACTCGAACATAGTGGGTTTATCCTTGATGAAATCTGTTTCGAACGACTTTCTTATGTGCGCTGGAAGTACAGATTCAGCAAAGCGTGTGATGTTGCCCTCAGTAGATGAGGGGAGCTTGGTGTCCCGAGCATAGAGCGTAGGCTGACGGCCGACGTAACTGAGTCCGTCGTTCAGCAACGCCACGATCAGTCGGTAAGCATCCTCATCGGGAGGACACTTGAAGTTCTTGTGGATCTGATCGAGCATCGTCTCCATGGACAAGGCGAGCAGTGGGAACGCCGTCTTGAGAATAGCACTAATCTCCTCGACGTGATCCCAGGGCTTCTTTAGCGCAGGCGGTGTGACCTCAACAGTAGGTGCGCTGTTGACAGCAGGACTGCCCTGAGCGTTGCCTTCAGTCTTGACAGTGCCGCCTGGTGTGCTTGTTTGAACGGCAGGCTTAGCATCGCCGTTAGTGGTGGCATTCTGATTTCCACTCGAGCCAGGTCGCGCGTCGGGCGAGCCTTGCTTGGGTACCGGGGAAGACTGAGTTCCTTGATGTTGTCCCTTTGCGGCACGTGCAGCCTTCTCCTTGGCCTCCTTCTGCTCATGTTGCTTCTTGAGCACCACCATGTCCTCGCGCGTCGTCCTGAGGTGGCAGTAAAGTGCCTGCGGGTACGTCTTCGCCAACTTGCCAAGGATCGACCTAGCAATAGGCGCCTCTTGACGCGAAAGACTGTTGAGCAATTGCGGGATGTAGGTGATCCAGTACCACGCCGGCGTATCGCCCTTGAATTCCTCAAACTTCTCCGCCAATCTGCGCTCCGGGTTGTCCAAGCTGAGCAGCCACAATACTCGGCCCAACAGTTTCCTACTCTTCGCATTCTTGAATTGACTGGCAGCCTCGAGGTAACAACTAAGCGCCGCTTCGGCACGTTCCAGGTTCTGCGGCTCCTCCTTGAAAAGCATGTCATTGTATCGACCCCACTCTGCCCATGCCTTCGGTAGCTTAATGTCGAAGTACAATGCAGTGCCGAACGCTTCGCCAGCCTCGCTCTTATTGCCGAGCTTAGCGAGGAACATGCCCTTGAGAGTGTAGAACTCCGCCTTCTGCTGCGGACCGAAGTAGTTAAGGTTAGTGTTGTTAATGACATCAAGACCGCTGTTGAGATCCGCCCGAATCTGGTAGTGACACTTGGCCTGCTCGCGCAATTTGAGGAAGGCTTCCTGAATCTCGATGTTGGGCAATGTATAGATGCGCCCCAACTGGTTGATGCAGACTTCAGGCAGGTTGTGTTTCCGTGCAACATGGGCGAAGCGATTGATGATCCAGGCAGTCTCGTGGTAACCCCTGTAAGCAAAGCTGTTGCCACTAGCGTTGTTCTGGTTTGGAGGCAGCAGATTGAGGTACACTCCATTGATCAACTGGAAGATGTGCTGACGCCAAGTAACGAGGTCCTGCCATGCATTGATGTCGTCCCAGAAGTTCGGCAGGCGATCGCGCCAAGTGCTAAGGAGCAGCTTAAGCTCTTGAGACTTCATATCGAGATTGGTTTGTGTGGTCTGTGCGAGGCTCTGGCAGATAACACTGGCGTCGTGCAGCTCGACTAGCTGCTGGAAATGTTGTAAAAGTGGGATGTGTGCTTGTGTTATGCGACGAGGAAGCTGGTGCCACTTGCGGATGGAAAGCTGTATCGACTCATCACACAGCCTGTGGAACTCCGGTGGGGACTCTTGCTTCGCGTGCAACTTGAGCAGCGACATGAAAGTCTGAAAGAAGACTCGTCGAGGAGTCGGCGCGTCACTGACCGCCTTGATAGTTGTGTCGAGCTGCTCGCGGGTCTCGGCGTTTTGCCAGGCTTCGAAGCTCCTCCAGGTGGACTCCAGGTACAGATCATTGAAGTTCTCATGTTTGGCGAAGTCACTGAGAATCTCCCACTGCTGCAGCTTCTGTGCGCAAACTACCCAGTGGTCCTCCCATAGCATATATTCTCCCGCCGAGAAGGGCAGCACAGAGGTTCGTGCTTTGATCTGGGCTGCTTCGTACATTTGCTGAGCTTTGTCCCAGATACCGCACTGTTCGTACGAAAGCGCGGCGTTACTCTCCAGGAACTGGCATCGCCTACGCCAGGTACCGTAGAAGAGGTCGTCTTCTTGCAGACCAGTGTAGACCTCCAAAAGAGCATCGAGATTACTCTCTCTCAACTTTTCAACGTCGACAACAGGCGAGATGGCTGATTCCTCCATATACACCGCGGCAGTGTACCAAGCGTTGTATGTCTGAGCCAGGTACTTCATAATATGCGGAGGGAACTTGACCCTCGGCTTCGCATGTACGATGGCATCGAGCATGGTAGCAACGCAGTTGGGTCGCTTGTCGAGCTGCCTGTTATGGAAGTCCTTGGTGAGTAGCGCAGTCATACCCTTCTCAAGGTCACTCTGGTCGTCCTTGGTCAAAGCAGTCCAGGCCAGTGGGAAGAAAGCGACCCAGATGTCGTGCGCAAGGTTGTTGTCTGTATGTTGCAGGTGTCCGAGCGGCTCGAAGATATCCTTAACCTTGACATCTCCAAGCTGGTTGACAAAGCGACCGTGACTGCTGATGAGGCTTTCCAAATCATCATCAACCATCACATCGCCAATCCTAGAGTCTTTGCTGTAGGTCCCGTACAAAGTAGATGGCTGCATAAGTTTGAAGTCTTCCTCGTGCAGTTCAGCAGGGCTGTTCATCTCGATCGAGCCGAACATGAGATGAATGACTTGGCTCAGCCAGTAGGAATCTGACAAAGTATCCCAGTTCTGCGATGCCAGCACATAGCTCAAGCGACTAGCCGCAGTACGACTTAGACTCTTGTCAAAGATGGCCATGTAACGGTTGCGCATCTCGACATCTTGTGCTCTAGTCCCGATGAGGAAAGCATGCTCCATCCTAACGGTGAGTTCGCTCCTAGTGATCTTTGGATCTTCGTAGATTCGGATGACAAGGTCGAGGAAGCGGGTGAGCAGCGAAGTGTCCTGTCGATGTTCAAATAGAAGCATCTTGCTGAGCACGGCCGTCTTCTCCTTCAGTGTTGGCACGGGTTCGTTGGAGTGGAAGATCCAGTCCTCGACAAGATCAAGGACCTTCATGCAGACTGAGTTGACCTGGGATCGCTCGACAAGTGAAGCGAGGACGCTGAGGTAAGGTCTCCTGTTCTCACCGAGCTCGTTCATTCGCGCTGCAAGAATATCAACAGTCTTCAAAACAAGATCTGTCTGGATCTCGATCTCGCGTGGATCAGTCGGTGGATTGGCACCTTCAGGGCGCATGCCCGGAGGTACTGCTTGTCCGGGAGTGCCACTGTGGCCGGCAAGATGATCCTTGGCCATCTTGCCCTGGAACGCCTTCATGACCTGTGGAATGTGTTGATCGATCTCCTCGGGCCGCTTCTGGCAGAGAGTCGACAGAACGTTGATGGCGCAGATGTAGGACCCATTCGAAAGTGCTTCCGTCGCAACAACACCCAGGAAGTTGACAAACTCAGTCGACGTTGATTCTTCTGTGTTGCCCTCGTCATCTGTCACAGGCTCTGGCATGACCTCCAAGATACGCTTCAGTGTTGGCCGCAGCTTCATGGAGCCATCTTCGTTCTCATCAACTGCATGCAGGCTGGCCTGGATGTCGGCACACTCAGACCGAATTGGCTTCTCCAGGATCTTCTGGAACATCGGAATCCGCTGCAGCACCCAGTCATCTGACTTAACATTGACGATGACCTTGACAATCTGCAGTGTGTTGATCATCCTAGTGTGAAAGACATCCGTCTTGTCTTCTTGCTTCATCTCGGCAAGGAGGATCTCCTCGATCTTCTTGGAAAGCATAAGGTCCAAGTCCAAATCGTTCCAGAGACGAGGGGAGAGCAGATCATGCAGCAGTTGTACAGCCTTGCGACAGATCTCGACAGGCTGTGGTGTGTTTGCCGTTGCTACGGTAGGGTCTTTCGGCTTCGGAGAATTGACTGGGAAGCGCTCTGGCAAGTAGGCAATGAACTGGATAAGATACTTGACGAGCATCATGCGGGTAGGGGCTTGAGCGACAAAGTCCTTTTGCAGGGGGCCGGGAGGAACAATGGTTCCATCCGCTCTCCTCTTGGACGCTGTAGGTGACAATGACGATCGCTCCCCTCCAGCGCCAGACTCGGTCGCTGTGCGCTCCTCCCAAGTCCTGATCAGGCTGATCAGATTGAGGGCGAGCTTCTTTGCATCGGTCGACGGGTTAGGGGGTTGGGCGATCTTCGACAGCGCTGTGATGATGATAGGTGAAAGGTGTTCGCGGCCCTCGTAGAAGAGATCCGGGTGACGCACAACGAAGTTGAAGATGCTCATAAGTTGCTGCAGGTTGGAGCTCTCCTCAGAGAGGATCTTACGTGGGTGCTGGATCCATAGCGGCATCCTCTCGCCGCCACCCATACGCTTGCGCAGCACCGGTGCCATAAGTTCAAGAGCTTGCATGACCAGACTACGGCCCTCATTCTGATGCGCCTTCAGCAACGACTGGTAGGTGTGCGCAGCGATCTTCTTCGGCGTCTCGTAAACAGCAATGAAGAAGGCCACGAGGACGTACGCGGCGTACTTGTTGATAATGTCTTCGAGCTTGATGTAGTTCCAACCGAACTTGATGACATCCTTTCTGAATTCCTCGATCATGCCGGAGTAATATTTGAGCAGAAGGGTTGTGAGCTGGAGCAGTTCCATTCTAGAGTGATCAACGCCGAGCTGAGCTGTCTCCTCGGAAGTATCCGTCAAGGACTGTGGAAGCCACAGCCTCTTGTGGACAGTCTCAGTCATGGTCTTGTCCATCAATTTCGTCCCTTCGGTCTTCTGGTCAAACAAGCTGTTCCAGTTGCGCTTGACATCCATTGCGAAGATGGGGTTGACGATGTTGTGGAAGATAAAGGTCTTGGTCTTCTGGGACGAATTGCGGGATGTGTATAAATCAATACACCTATTGATAAGGGTCTTCCAGTAGTCGACAGATTCGCTGGAAATGATCTGCTCGTAGATGAAGTCGAAGAGGCGCGGCGAAGCCTTCAACTCCTCGGATGTGACGGTGTCGATCAGCTCAAAGAAGAAGTCCAGGTTGTTGGGCTCATGCTTGAGGTATGTCGTGAAGATGTACATGATTTGATCACCGGCCTGCTCGGTCGCCAAACGGAGCTCGGGGTCGATGAGATTTTGACGGAGCTTTTTCTCGAGGGACCTGCCCGCCTCGAATAAGCTCTTGCGTAGATCATCATGTGTCACTAGCCACTTGCTGGTCTCTTCAAACTGGCTAAGGGCGTATGCGCTGTGGATGGCGTTTAGCTGGGCTTGGCAAATGTCCTTGTCGGCTCCCTCAAACTGGAACGATTGTAGGAAGCCAGCGACATCCTCCGAGACCTGCGTTCGCAAAACGCCACTCTCAGGGTTCTCGAGCAGCTGTGCAAAAAAGCGTCCCTGTGTCTGATCCTTGAGGTTCGGGGCGAAGTGTGCCCAGGTGTCGCTCGGATACATGCAGAGATACTTGATCAGGGGTTCTCTGAATGGGCTATAGTGCGTCCTCCTGAGACTGCTCTCGAGTTCAATGACCTTCTCGATAATCTGCTTGAGGAAAGTAGCAGCCGCCGGAGGAAGCAGGTGGAAGATATTGAAGATGCCAGTAACAATCTTCATCTTGGGGTTCTGCTCGATCATCGTAAACGAAATCTTCTGCAGGCTGTTCTGGTCCGCAATGCTCTTGAGATGGTCCAGTAGGCGAGTTCCAATCTCCACCTTGAAGTAGTTGGTCAGTAGCTTCAAAAGGCGAGCAAGACCATCCAAATTTTCCACCGATAGCTTCCTAGGGTCCTGCAGGTTCACCAAGATTGGCCTGAGTCCTGATTGTAGCACGTCCTTAGGAAGCTTGTTCGTCGCCGAAATGACACCCGACAGACCAATGTTCGCAGCTTCGATGACCTCCGGCGACTTCGAGTAGAGGCACTTGAAGAACACAGCGATGATGCGCAAGAATGTCTGATTCGGTGGGGTCGTGCTGAACTCAGGGAAGCTCTGAGCAGTGGATAGAAGGCGGATACAAGCCACGCGCAGATTCACGATGTGCTCTGCGTTGCGCTGCTCGAAGGGCTTGCTGGCGAGACCCTCATCTTCTGCGTCGGCCAAAGCAAGCGATTCCATGAGCAGCCTGGTCAGCTCATCGTTAAACTCCAGGATACCATTCTTGAGTTTTAAACAGAAGGTGATCGCGTCGATGTAGGCTATTTGGATGCTGAATGGCAAGGCGCGTAGAGGCTTGGTCCAGATTGGTACTATCAGTCGTGTCTTGACCGGCGCAATGAGCTCGTGCACACCCAGGCCTGTGACCTCCGACAAAACTTGGAAGGCCTTCTGTGTTGCCTTGCGGACGTTCTTGTTCATATGCGACAGGTCGCCGACGAGCTGCCCGCAGAGTCTCATCGTGATGTTGTTACCCTTCTCGAACTCCTCCTTCGTTGTTGGCTTGTGGCACTGACGAATGAGATTCTCAATGAGTCCTTCGGCCTGGATGCGTGTCTTCGAGTCGAGATCGATTGGCATGTCCTTCATGACGAAGTTCAAAGCACGGATAAGCTCGAAGTGCCGTGCCACCATCCATGCGGCGTTAAGGCCTGACTGCTTGATGATAATCTCGATACCGCGGGTGCCACCAGACTTCATGAACCAGTCATCGGCATGGCAGTTGTGACAGAATGTGCTAGCCAGGTCGTTGAAGAATGGGAACTTGTCGAGTTTGTCGTCGCTACCGAAGATCGCTTTGGCAGCATCTCGCATAGTCAGAATTGCTTGCTCAGCTGCGGCACGCACATCTGGGTGTTCGGAGGAGAGCGAGTCACCTATAGCATCGGCTATAACCTCGCTTTCTATAACGACAGGTCCCTCCCCCAGATGAACTTCGAAAGGTTTGCTTTTGTGCTTAGAAACAGCAAAGTGGCTCCCGAATTCCAACAGAGTGAAGTGCTTCGCAAGATTCGTGACGAGTAGTTCAGCATCAGCCTTGAGTTCTGGAACAGAGACGGCAAAGATGCAGGCTTTCAAAAGCTTCTTCAGAGTTTCCCGCTCAACGTTCTTCTTTGGTATGGACTTCTCTCGGTCCGGCGCGGCCAGTACATCAGCACCAACGTCGAACTTTTGGTTGCAGAGGTCGTTCGCTTGAAGCCTGACAAGTTGCGCAAAGTCGTCTGGTAAGCTGTCGAACCCAATCATAAGCTTGGTGTGAGCAGTGATGAGCCTAAAAGCTTGCTGCTTGTGGAAGGTGTCTGACTTCTTCGTTGTTGGCGTCTTGGGTACTTCATGAAGCTTGGCGACAGCGGTGTCGATACCAATGACAGCGGGGAAGGCACGGTCTTTGGTCGAACCAATGAGTCGAATGTCGATAGATGACTGATCGTCGGAGTATGGCTGGTAATTCAGCTCCGGGGGACCAGTGATGAACTTTCGATTCCGCCCTCCAAGCTTACCAAGAATACGCATAGTGGTGTGGGCATGGAAGTGACTGTAAGGGTTCGGCTTGAGATGCTCCCACAGCGCTGCCATAAGCTCATCGATGACCGGGGCCATGATGGGATCCAAATAATCCGCGGTGAGGTTATCAACGCAGAGCTCGAGCGTTCGAAGGCCCTGTCCAACCAGATCTGATCCTGCTCGCAGAGCTACAACAAGTGGTCTCATCAGATAACTCAGATGTGGCAGAAGGTTACTCAGCCTTGCCGGTACTGTGAGTGACAACTCTACGAACAGATCGCGCTCCGCTGGTTTCCGAGCTGTGATCAGAAGATTGTTGAGGACGTCCAGCAGCATCTCCAGAAGAGGAAGGATCTCCTTGTACAGGTGCTCGAATCTACCGCCACCAATACTTCTAAACAGAGATCGGAGGAGCAAGAAGTAGTTCATTGGCTCTTCAGCAGTGGTCGACAGCTGTATCGACTTTGTGATGATCTTGCTAACGTGCGGTAGCAGCACTTGCTCATTCTGCTGTGAGAAAAGCGTGACTGCCATGAAAGAGAGCTTGAACAATCGCAGCAAGATCGACGACTTCTTCACATCTGCCGTGCCGACTTCTTCTATCCGATCCATCAAGAACTGTAGCAGCATTCCAGAGAAGCTGGGTGATGTCGCTTCCGAAGCGAGCAGGAACTGCGGAACGTGGAGCAACGCCGGATGGTCGAACATCATATCGTACAAATGGGGTATCTCGGACGAAAACACTTCGTGGAAAGTCGCAGGATCGATGTGGTGGAAAACGGTGGCAAACGTCTCGAGCAGCTCCTTCTCCTCCTTGCCGCTCGACATCATGTGCTGGTTGCCCATGAGGTCGCCTGGTGATAATCCCTGGGTCTCGACAGACTTCTCAGTACCGTAATAACGGAAGACCCTGGCACCCTCGCGAAAGAGCTTGATGAGTACTTCAACCTCCTCAGCATTGTACCCGAAAGAGACCTCGTGCCAGTTGGCGGACGCATTGGCAGCATCGATCTCCTCCTTAATTTTTGCTGGATTACAGGCGCGAAGCTGGTAGAATAAGTTCTTCAGTCCGTGCAGCAAGTTTTTGAACAAGAACTTGTTGTCAGCGATCGGATCCGAGCTCCTGTCTCGAGGGTTTGATGTCTTGATTGGTGTCGCGTTGAAGATGTCAATCTCGTCCCAGTCCGGAGGTTCTTCTTGCACAGCCATGTGGTTCTCGTCTGTGGCATCAATCAAAGGCTGGCTATACTGCGCCGAAAGCTTGACTGCGTTGTGGTACTGGCGGTTCATGGCAGCGAACTTGTCTCCAATGGCATTAAGGATCATGATCAAGAAGTATCGAGCATCCTCCTTCGGTTCCAGCTTTGCGATGCACTCGGCCATGTTCAAGAGAAGCTTCGCACTCATAGTCTGAAAGCTTGTGCCTGGGAAGCTGTCGTGTAGGTTCTTGGTGTAGACCTCGACGGTACGCCGGATCTGCTCCTTCGACAGTGAGTCTCGCAGGTGGTGTATCAGATCAGCAAGCATGCTATATGCAAGTGGCCGCATCGTCTCGTACACTGTGAGGCCGTCTCCGATCAGTGTTCGCTCCTCCAGCAGCTCGTCAATTTTCTTGAGGAAGATCTTGCGGAAGTTGAAGTTGATGATGTGCCTAATCGCCACCAACAGCTCCTTGCGCGCTCCAGACTTCTCCCGTGGGCAGTCCTTTAGCAGTCGCACAACAATGTCTGGTAAAGTTGGCAGGAAATCGTTGAGCTGGTTCGCATACACCCTGAGCAAGTAGGCCAGAAAACTCATGGTCTTGACCTGTGCTGTGATGAAGTCGCCGAATGCTGCGCGGTTGCGAATGTCCTTGCTGACCCCAGTGAAGATCTTGCCCTGCGCCTTTGCTTCCTCGTGCGCCCTCTCTTGCGGCTTGGCTTGCAGCAGAAGTACATTCTTGATCAGCGGAACAAAAAGCTTGACGTTCTTGTTCACGCAGTTGCGGTACGCCTGAAATAGCGACACCACAATGATCGGACACTCAGCCAGCACCTTGAAGGACTGCATGCCCTTCAGCAACATGCGCGTTTGCTGAGTTTCCTGCCCAAGATCGCCAGCTGAACCGGATGTAAGAGCCGTCGCGGGCGAGTTCGGCCGCGGTGATTGTGAGTATTGGTGGTTGCTCGGTGTGGAGGGCACGCCCTGTGACGCTGGCACGGGCGTTGCGCTGTCGAATGTGTCGTGTACTGCCTGCTCCATTGTCTCGAACATCTCTTGAATCAGGTCCAGGAAAGGCTGCACTCGGTCCTGCAGCGCTTTCGTCTGGTGCCGCTGGAAGTCCATGATGGTCTTCATGCAGAGCACCGCATTGTCCTCGTTCTCGAGCTTCACGAGGCTCATGAGCTTGTCGACAATCTTGGCCGCGTGGGGTTCGACCGCGTCGCCAGGGTTCATGGGGAGTCGGTGGAGGATCTCCAGTACGCAGTTCCGTATCCGCTACTCTGATGGTTAGAGTGTCTTCCTCATCGCAAGGCGCGCGCTCACCTGTTCTGGAGATGTGGATATGAAGACTGGATTGCCATCGAGGATCTTCAGGAATGCTGGCACAAGAGCATTCATGAATTGCGCATACTGTGTACCCTGGCAGTAGTTCTCGATGTTGTCCCGTATCTCGACCACAAGCTTCTCCTTCGTCCTGAGATCTGGCGCCATGTCAGCCTTCCACTCTTTTTGCGGTAGCAGCGCCTTTCCATCCTCCACATTGCGCCTTGTCGGAGACTGTCATACCAGAGCTTGGGTCATCAAGCTTCGAGGCCATAGCCTCAAAGTTGTGAGTCGCCATGGCGAAAGCGTGCGCAGTGTGCACCTGCTCGTCCCGCTCCGCAGAGCCCCTCCAATCAGGCTGGATCGCCTGGTTTCGTCCAGCTGCGTCGTCAGGAAAAGTCGACTATGAAGGCTGCATTGGTCGGTAGGCTTCGTTCGGTGTGCGCCTGGTTTGCTCTACTTGACGGCGGGCGGGTAAGTGTCGAGTTTAATTTATGTTGATGTCGAATTAGAAGACGTCGATGTCTAGCGGGTCATTATATTCGTGAACGGGAAAGGAGAGGCCGTGGTGGGGTGGTGGACGCGTCCCGCGTGTGGTTACGTGTGAATCGCGAACTGAAGCTTAAACACTGAGAACGCTTTCGCAGCACAGCGGCGGTTCGTTCTGACCCTGTAGCCGCACAGACGCGATCTGATTGGTGGATGGCACGCTGCATGTTGCGCTTTCCCTCATTGCTCCTTAGCGTCCGCCGTTTGTGTGGTCCGTGGCTTCTGATTGCTTCGTTGCGCTTCTTCACTCTATCACTCCTCATGGACCTGGAGACGGATTAAGATGTCCTGCGACGGTCTATTCATTTCTTGAGGCTTTGAAGCAATATTTTCAATGAAACATAGGAAGACAGACTGTCTAGCAAGACATGAGTGAAAGACAGCATTCGTCTAGACGATCTTACTGTCATCTATGGTGCTAGGAAGGAACGCGTCCATGGATGCAACTGTGTGCTCACATACGGTTTTTTTGCTATCTACATTAGTGTGTGCCGATTCCTGGATGCGAAGGATGTCTTATGGTGGTTTTGGTCTTGCTTCATGCACTCTGTTCGTCGCTGATGTGAGTAGCATAGCAACAGCACCCGCATGGTTTCACGGAGAAGAGCCGGCATACCAACTCGCTCAAAAAATCACCAGCACAGCAACCACGTTCCAGTAGTATCCAGCATCATGTAACTGGGATAAGGGCATTGGCTTTAACTGTACACACAAGCAAAAACTCCATTAAAGAGCAGAAGTAGCGTGAGTTTTGCATGTCACCAACCATAGGTGCTAGGGAGCGCAATCAGGGTGTGGCTAATTATATGCATTATATCTCATGCCTCTATTTACATAACAGTATAGACCTAGGTCCGTACAGCAGATCTATATCAACACCGCCCAGTATAACCGTCGTAATCCCAACAACTGTAGTCTTACATGCATGCAACTCCCGTTGCGACTTTTCGTGACAGGAGGTGCCATCAAGAGAGCAACCCCACACCGTAACAATTACAATGAAATACGAAACCGCAGCCTTCCAGACTGCGTCGTGCCAAAGAATGAAGAAAGGTAAGGCGTGGCTTGCATAGCAGGCGGTACCGCTGTTTAGTGCGTGCAGTCGCGAGCTTGATACTGTGGCTCCAAATGAGCGCCGAAAGCTCACCGCCATGGTCGATGAGTCACGGAAATTTCCAAGTTGTGACTGTTCGTTCTGAATTCGCTTCGTTCAGCTTGGTACTATGCCGCGCGGCTATAAATGGCGGCGAAATTAGGCCTTGCGGCTCCTGGTAGTGCGACCATTGGGTGTTCCGCTGGGCGAAGCACCTGTAGCAGCACCGTTAGACAGGATGGAGGCAGGACGGGAGGTAGAAAGGCGCCTGCGGGCTTCACCGACAGTTGGGACCTTCTCATCCTTCATCTCAACCAAAGCGCTGGTAGCCCTGCGGCGGCCCTTGGGCACTGGCTTCTTGTATGTGGCGAGGTAGAAACCGATGAAGAGGAACAGGTACGAAGTGATGATGATCATTCCGGAGATGGCAGCGAACTCCTCGCCAGCGCACTTGCCCATGTTGGGCAGCTGGGGAGCGTAGGTGCTGGTGAAGTAGGTCCACGAGGCGAAGTAGATGAAGCCTGAGTAGAATTAGTCACTGATTGTGGAGTTTTGGTGGTAGATGTGCATACCGAGATCTAGGACGAACTGGGTGATCTGGCCAACTGTGATGTACTTCTTCCACCAGATGCGGATGCCGCGCGCGCTCTGGAAGTAGTACCAGTACATGACAACGTGAACAGCCAAGTTCAGGGTGATGACCGGCCAGGAAACGGGGGTGTGGCCAATAAGCTGGGTGTAGCAGAGCATAGCGGTTGCGCCATGGTGATAGGTGTGGAGGAAGGCTGAGAGCATTAGCTATTGCGCAGGCGACGTTGTGGGGATCTCGTACTCAGGGGCTTCTTCTTGAGGAAAAGGAAGCAAGTGTCAATCAGCTCGACGAACTTGGTGAGGTAGTTCAGCTGCTCAGGTTAGCCTTTCCCCTGCAAATCCTGACAAGTGCACCTACGTAGTACAGAATGACCAGCTTGTCCGTCCAGCCACCGTTGTGGTCGCAAATGGCGTAGAAAAGACCGTGACGGGCAACCGTGGGAATCAGCTGCTCAGCGAAGAGCGCGAGAAGTATGCCAGAGATGGCGGTAAGGTAGAAGTTGTGGACCTTGAACAGGAAGTTGAGCTTGAACGGCTCACGTCCACGCATCAACTCGCGACCGCCGAAGATGACGATGTAGTATGTGACAAGGAAGGTTGCGCAACTCTTGAATGTCGAGAGAGGAGTCTCGCCCTGCACGAAGCGGAAATCCTGGGGCTTATAGCCAGCGATGGGCTCGAAAGCCTTTTCGAAGATAGGCCACAGGGCAACACCGAAGGGGCGGTCCAGCGTAGGAACGCCGACCTCAAGCCAGTCCAGACCCATTGTGTGTGTGCTGCAATCGACGCTGGTGAACAAGATCTATGTGCTCCGCGTTGGTGTATGCGGAGGGTTGCGCTGAAGGGCTGCTGGAGTAAACAAGCAAGCGCGTGTCAAGACGGTGGCAGTCGAAGCCAAAGGAACGACGAAGGAGAGTGTGAAGAAGAAGAAGACACGAGCACCTCGACGGTGTGAGAAAGAAGTGGTTCGGCGAGGCTTTTGTTGGTCAAGCGCCAATGTTTTTCGCAACCAGCCAAAAGGAGGTCGGAGATGAACGTCCTGCACCTCCGCGCTTTCCGAACGCGCGCCGCTGCTCACATCGAGCCGTACAAATTACGACTCGCTGGCCGAGACAATTGCTCGTTTTTGATTGGCTATCTCTAATTCAATCACTCCTGTATTGAGGGTCTCACTGCAGACGTTGTGTGCTTGCGGTCGCTGCTGACTCAGCCTTCGTAGAGCTGCATGCGGCAGCCACTGCATTTGCGTGTCTTCTAGACGCAGCGTTTCATATGTCTAATAGCATCATATAACAGATGTGAACAATGGCAACCGCTGCATGTGAAAGCAGTGACATATGCAAAAGTGCACCTCTTGCAATTGCCACGTCTTTGCTCGATGGGTAAGTCATGCCGGAATCCTTGGCAGGCCGAAGCGACCGAGTGAAGTTGACATAGGCAACATGTGGGAGGCGGCACCGGCTTATGAATGTTCGTCTGTCTGATTCAACGTGTATTACATTGGAGAGGGTCGCATTACTGTCTTCCTATCTCTCTGAAGCATCTACAGACGCTGATACAAATCCCTGAGAAACCACAAGAATCCCGCCTGCTTTTGCCAAACTTTGTCCACCAGCAGTAGCAACAAGGCCGACAAAGACCGCAGACCCAAAGCGAGAAGTGGAAACAAAGAGGTCGAAATGGAAATAATAAATTGCTCGCCATGACGCTAATTTGAGACGACTTTCGTGACTGCCTTGCCAGGTTTTTCGCCAGATTTTGTACAGACGAGGGGCGCCCCGTTGCGCGACGATGTTATGCTACCGCTAGACTGGCTGTTGCTGCGAACGCGACCAACAGATGCCCGCCGTCCAGTAGTATGAGCGTGATGGCCGCCATGAGCGACATGATGCCGGCGCTGCAACGAGCAAGCACGAACGAGTCAGATCGACCTGAACCGAAAATGCAAGTCTTGAACAAGAAAACGACCTAGGAATCTAGGGATAGAATTAAGAGTACATCGATTCGGCCGTAGAAAATGCTCATCCTGAGTTCTAAGGACTTAAGAATCAACGTACCGAAGTCTGGCTGCTCTGTCGCTCGTACTCCTTCGGCCGCCTGTCTCTCGCAGCTCCGTCATCCTGCAGCCGCAGGTTTTCCAATCGACCCTGGCTGAGTGGATCCGAATCGTGTGGCAGTGCGGTGCCATTTTGACGCGCTTCGGCGAGCTGGGCGAGTTTGTCCCAGCGGTCTTGCCGGCTCTGTTTTCTTTGACCTGCATTGTTTTGAGACTCGGCATAGTCGTGTGAGCAGTCGTCGAATAGCTGAGGGTTGACTTCCATGAACAGTTTCATCGCGTTGTACACCATACCATGGATAGTCCTGTTGAGGCATTAGTGGTGGTATGTGCATATTTGAATGGTAGCATACCTGTTCCAGTGGCCCTTTGAGTTTTCGTACAATGGAGCAAACATGATTGGCAGAATGACCTCAACGTTGTCGCTGACGAGGTTACAGAAGTATTCGTTGTTCCAGAAGTATAGCGCGCGTTCAGCGACCTGTTCCAATGGTCAGTGACAAGTAAAGCGATACGTTGGAGTAGACGAACCTGGAAATGGGGGCTGGCCACTGACTTCGCCAGTTGATTGAATAGCGGTTCCTGCACCTTCGCAAACTCGGCCGGGTCCATGACTTCGAAGATGTCTTCGACTTCGTTCAAGAACATGACTTCTTTAGTGCTGTTCACCTTTGGCCAGTAGCGGAGGAGGCCCAAGACGACCTCTTCTGTCAGAGCGGCGTCCTTCTCCAAGAATTGAACAATACAGTACGCCAGCTGTGGGTGGTACATGCTTAAGCTCTTGACTTTGTGCAGGGGGATCAGCACTCTGGTGAGGAAAAGCTTGTGCTCCTCCTTCAGCGGCAGAGCAAAACCGTTGATGATTGACCCAAGGATTTCGAGCAGCTCAGCAATACCGTTGAACCTCTCGGTTTCGTAGATGAATTGGAAGAAGACGTTGTTGATGGAGCGACGGATGTACGAGCGAAGGTTCAGGAACTTTCCGTATATGCGGTGGAGCGTGGTCTTCAAGAAGTCGCGCTCTCTTGGGTCTTCAGAATCAAACAGCTCGAGAAGCTATAGCACATTAGCAGGGAATCTCTAGCACAACCTTAAAACATCGCAACTTACGTTGAGCACAAAGCTGTGGTCTATGTACGCTTTGGCAATGTTTGTGTTGAAGTCTTGGCTCTCGATGAAGCGGAGGAAGAACTCGTAGACGACTTGAATATGTGGCCATGCTACTTCCAGCACCGGCTCGTCTTCCTCAGGATCGAATGCCTCCCCTTGTGGGTTCATTGGGGGAGGGATGGGACGGAACAGGTTTTTAGCGAACATTTGCACAACGAGCGGATACATCTTCTCTGTGATGACCTGGCGATTGTTGGCGACGTAGTCGAGCAATTCGTGCAGCGCCAAACGTTTGATCTCCTTGGACTTCATGTCTCCGCTAGCATCGTTGAAGTCAAAGATGATGTTGCACTGATCAATCTTCTGCACGAAAAGCTCCTCCCTTTTGTTTGGTGGTACTTCATGGAAGCCTGGCAGCTTCTCCAGTTCGCGCTGGCGCTGGTCTGAGATGTCGAATCTGGACGAGTGTTGTCGCTTTGGCGTCCTGATTCCTTCGATGTTGTCTTTGGGTGTGGCTTGGAGGCGATCGAAAACGTTCGACTTCTGGCCAGCCTTGGGAGGAGCGAGGTCACCGGGCATTGTCTCAGCCGCACCGGGGGGAGGGACATGCTACAGCAACTGGGTCAGTTTGCGCACTCGCAGTCCACAGGTTTCAACTTACAGGAGCACTTGGGCTGATAGTGACGTTGGGCACGAGGGGCTGTCCCATTCTATGAGGTGTGCCAGCGCCAGCGGCGCCTGCAGCTGCTCCGCCTGTCATGCCTCCAGGTCCACCAAACATGGCGCCGCCTGCTGCGCCTGGAGCGCCCTGTTGGCCAGGCTGCAGAGAGCCGCTGCTGGGCTGGCCATCTGCTGAAGGCGCGTTCTTGCGGGCGTCTGCGAGCTGTGTTTGCGACGAGGATGGGGTGGCATTGGCCGAGCCAGCGGGGGAGCTGGTGCCCTGCGAAGGCGATGCGGTGCCGGAGGTCGAGTCTTTCTTCTTAGATGACTTGTTGCCGTCCTTCGCTCTTGAGAGCTGTTCATGCTAAGCATGTTAGCTTCTGCGCTCATGGCAAGAGAGGTGGGGCTCGAAGGGGAACAGGAGACGCAACAAGCAAATGCATAGTGGGGGACTTACAACCCTTTGCCTAAAGCCCTTCATGACTGCTGCGGCCTGCGCGAGTGCAGCACGTCAAGCGGTGCGGGAGTGATGCGGAGACGGAGGTGCGTCCGGAATGGGGAGGCCCTCGAGGCGTCCGTTGTGAGTCGCAACCCAACAGCGCCAATGGGAGAGAGGAGATATGTGATGTACACTTGATGTCGTAAGAGCTGGTATGCGTAGTGCTCAAGCCGGCATGGAGGAGCGACGCGTGCCAGGCAAGATCGTCGCTAGTGTTGGTGTTCAGGATGATCCACGGGAGTCGGCGTCGAGGAGGGAGAGCTCGCAGAAGAGGGGGCAGGCAGCTCATGCACTGGCGACCACGCACTGACGGTATGGTGGGACGACAATGTCAGAGGGACAGTTTGGCGTGCTCAGAAGCGGTGGAGAGGATGAATGCGTGTAGGAAGTTCAAAGTGCCAACTCAGGGCTACAGCGTGATGTGAGCTGGTGGAGCCCAGCAGATACCGTTCGTACAAGTTAGCGAACCGTGCACACCCCACCAATCTCAGGTGCGGCAGCAGAGCATCACCACCTCCCGCGACGCGCTTGATGTCGCCAGAAAGTTACATGGACGGCATTGCAGCATCGTGGAGAGTGTAGGAGAATTACTAGATGGCTGATTGCTGTTTAATCACTGCATAGTACGATCATTAGGTCCCAGGCGCAGTTTTAGACCCTTCTTCAACTGAAAAGGAAGCTGGGAGGCGCTCGTACATATTTTCGAGCTCTCATGCCCACCATGAACAACAACCAACGTGACATGAGCTCTGCAAGCAACAACACTGAGCTCGCGCCGTGGCTGGCCATCCCCTGTCGCGCTGTCTCGGCCATCGAACATCCATGCGTCATCAGAAACGTTGACAAGGGCATTACCTCATTAGGCGGGTCAGTCAAACTGAGCAAGGTCAGAGGACGAACTGCAGGTCCACACTCGGTGGCTAACGCGCATTTTCAGGGTCTGAGATTCAAGCTGGAAACGGCCACCAACGTTGAGGGTGATGATGAGCTTAAGAAGCTTATTTCTGTGTCACTGCGGCCAAACGACCCTTTCGCCAAGCGTCTGCTGTCAACGCCGGTGACGACCAACAACCTACTACTGAAGGTGACAGTGCCCAAGCGGACTGGCAGAAAGAGAAAGCGTGGTACCACAGGACCGTTTGTGAACGAAGACGAACTTGTGGGAGCGAACAACGGCACTCACTCCGTCAGTGCAGGCCGAGCGAAGAGCAACTATGTCGAAGCTTCAGACATCTACCGAATGTTGCAGGACAATGCGTCAAAGTACAAAGTTGCATTTGCTGGTGTGGTCGAAGAGACGCATCGCTTTCGAGGTGAGCACAGTATTGCACCACCACCTTTGCACCTTGACTGACTTCACAGCCATGCCGGACCTGCAATATGCTGCGTCTCATAACGATGTAATGGTCGGTCTGAGGGATCATGTCTTGCCGGCACGATTTAAGTGAAGCTCGCAGATCATGCTGAATAGCGACTGACCATATCACCAGACGCCGATCTCAAGAAATATAACATCAACACAGCGGCTGGCGCAGACCTAACGAAGAGTGTCGGTCCCTCAGCAGAATTTCTGCAGATGCCAATTGCGTTCAACTACAAGTAAGACAATGCCCCCCGTCAGATGTATCGTACTGACATAGCAAAAGGTTCCAGCAAAACGCTTACGTCAAGTATACTGACCAAGGCGAGGTCAACCTGCAGAGACGCTTCCAGTACAACAGCTACATCATTCTCAAACCCACAAACGACACTGTACCGACAAAGCCAAAGCCGACCCTGCAGCAAGAGTCGTCCCTTACGCCTTATCTGCAGACACTAGTCGCTCAGATTAAAGATCTACTAAAAGAAAGACCTATCATCACACGACACATGCTCTACAACAAGCTTGGCTGGGACAAGCGTACCCGACTACGACAAGCTGCTGTGTATTGCGGTTACTTCTTCGAGAGTGGCCCATGGCGAGAAGCACTCATCGCCTGGGGAGTCGACCCTCGTAAAGACCCTCATTATCGAAAGTACCAGACTGTGTCATTCATGTCATACAAGAAGCGAGGCACTACTAGGCACCACGATGCGTTCGACAAACACGTCCAAGAACTGAGCCGGATGACAACAGAGCAACTTGAGCACCAACATACATTTGACGGCGTCCATGCCTCCGATACGGGTAATACATTCCAGTTTTGCGACATTACCGATCCGCTGCTAGCCAATATTCTGGCAACAGAGGACATTCGAACGACATGCGCTCCAACTTTCCAGGGGTGGTACCATGTTGGCACATGGGCCAAAGTGACTGTCATATTGAAGGACAAGATGAACACGATTATAGGCGGCGAGGTACCCGATGATTCTTTGTACCAGCGCGTCTGTCAGTGGCCAGAACTCTGGGACGACAGGGAACTGTATGACACCTACAGAGATGAAGTCAACGATCGTGAGGTGCACGAAACAAAACGACGGGAACACGATATCATGCACAGCGTACGCATCGCTGCAAGAAACCCAAGATACGCATTTGAGAAGATGGAGAAGAAGGATGAGACAGAGCCCAACGCGGCCGAAGACCGCGATACAGAGCTTGCTGAGGATACGGAGATTCCGGAAGACTTGACCGAATACCCAGATAACCCAGACACAGCAGAAGCAACTTCCAATGATGTTGTCGAGACTGTTGGAAGTAGTGATATCGAAGACGATGATGAAGAGGAAGAAGACGAGGATGATGATGATGATGATGATGATGATGATGATGATGATGATGATGAGGACGACGAGGATCGGGAGCCAATTACGGAAGAGGATGGCATTTGGGAGGAGGATGACGATGACGATGCTGCGGTCGTGTATGCACGAGCGGTGTCAGAGGGTCCTACACCATTCGGTGGTCTGTACAATGTCTAACGAGCCCATAAAGTAAAGTTTTGAGGCGTGTACGAATCGGTAACGACCATTCAGGAATAAGTGCCTATGAACCGTTCAAAGCTATGTCTTTTCAATATGAGGATATGAGGAACTAGCAAGAGTCCGACATTGGCGAATTCACAAGATCGATGTCGAGATCGTCGGACAACGTTCTTGGACCGCTTGCATCAGGGAAGCAGCTGACGCTTGGGCCTCTTGCCAAGACGATCAGGTCATGCAAGAATCTGGAGAGCGACGCACCAACATCACAGAACGACCTCCGAACCACCACCGACCACACTACCGTACGGCCACGCCCCCCAATTCCTCATACAACCATTCCTGAGGCTCCTTTCAGGCTAATTGAGACACAAGATGTCCTTCGTTCGCGCAACCTCGAAGATCAGCCGTGCGGCCGTTCGTGCCCCGGTCTACCGCTCGGCCCCCGTCGCCTGGAACGCCCAGCGCGCCTTCTCCCAGTCCGCAGTCAGGTGCAGCGATGCGCATGCTGAGGAGACATTCGAGGAGTTCACCGCCAGGTATGACGCATCTATGGAGGGGCTGCGCGCTCGGACAGGGGAAGAAGCTGTTCGGGGAGCGACGGCAGCCATTGAGCTCCAGGAAGCTTAGGAGGAGCTGTAGAGCTGACTTGTCTATCTTTGCAACAGGTACGAGAAGGAGTTTGAGAAGGTCAACGATGTTTTCGAGCTTCAGGTACGTCCCTCGTCCACAACTCCACGACCCCCACCGGCATCACCCGAACAGCCCGGGTGAGCTCGTAGGGGGCTTCAGGCAAGGACAAACAGCTGATAATTGAGTAGCGAAACCTGAACAACTGCTTCGCCTACGATCTTGTACCCTCCCCCTCCGTCATCACCGCCGCTCTCCGCGCTGCCAGGCGTGTCAACGACTTCCCCTCGGCCGTCCGAGTTTTCGAGGGTACGTAGATCGCCGAACATGTCCCACACAAAGCATTTGAGCGGTTGATGGCATTTCACAAATGCGCATACCCCAAATCGCGATTCCACAGGACCTACGGACAGCCATTCAGATGAGTCTGATTACTAACGCACACTAGGTGTCAAGTTCAAGGCCGAGAACAAGACCCAGTACCAGGAGTACCTCCAGGAGCTTGAGCCTATTCGTGAGGAGCTCGGCATTCCCCTCAAGGAGGCCATGTACCCCGATGAGAAGTAGAGAGTCACGCTTTCATGCCCGCCATACCTGAACTCTCCCGCCGACCCAAAATCTCAACGAGCCTGCAAGCACCATCATGTAAATGCCGATATCATCGATTTCCTATCTAGACGGACGGAACGGGAGGGCAGGATGCTGTATCACTATGTGACGTTTTCCTTATCGTGAATTGGACTAAAGCTCGCTTGGAGCGCAGGGTAGAGGTAGGCGAGTTGAGCGGTCTCTCGCTGTGGTAGCTGTACAGATTTCTTGATCCAAAATTCTTGTCAACTTATTACGAGTGATGCTGTGTCTCATGCTGACCTTGACACGAACAGCTCGTAGCGGAGCATTTACAACTTCAGAAGCATGTGAATCCAAGCAATGTTTCACTCGAGAGATGATTGATTCGGATCCTGAGACGTCAGCTGGCAGCTCCATTCGGAGCGTAGGGCCTCCAACAGACACTTGATGACCCAAGCAACGTTCACAGGGGTTGTCCATTGACCAATCACAACATCACGCTAACGCACCGTGGAGTAGCACGCAAATGTACCATTAACGCCAACCGCGTCCAGACATGAAGCTTTGGTCCTTCGGAGTTTGGACACGATGATGCTCAATTCACTTCCTCTGTTGTCAACAGCCCAACTCGTCCTCGCGGCATGCGATCCTTCAACAACATTTGACTACGTCATAGTAGGCGGTGGAACCGCAGGCCTCGTCCTGGCCAACCGCCTTTCCGCAAACCCAGCAACTACCGTCGCCGTCATTGAAGCAGGAGACTTAGCCTACAGCAATCCAAATGTAACCTACGTGCCAAAGTCTATTGCAGAATTTGCTCTCGGCCTCGGGACCTCTGTGGAGTGGGGGTATACCACCGAGCCCCAGAGGTATACCGCGAATGGCAACGTTACGTTGCCGTACTGGGCTGGCAAAGGCGTTGGAGGTACGACGCTGGTTAATGGGATGACGTATGTGAGGGCCGAGAAGAGGCAGATTGATGCTTGGGAAGATCTGGGGAATGAGGGGTGGAACTGGGAGACTATGAAGGAGTACTATGTGGAGCAAGAGAACTTTTCGAGGCCGAGTGAGCAGCAAGAGGCGAACGGGGCGACGTACGATGAGAGTGCTCATGAGTATGAGGGAGAGCTTGATGTGGGGTTTACGCCGTATTTGACGGGCCAAGGGGCGTTTGATGTCCTGAGGCAGACTCATGAGGCGAAGGGTTATGCATGGAATAAGGATGTGAATACGGGGAGTATGCATGGATTCAACGTCTGGCCGATGACACTGAATGTCTCTACGTTAATGAGAGAGGATGCGGCGAGAGCGTTCTACTACCCTATTGCTAAGGAGCGACCGAATCTGCACGTCTTCCTCAACACGACAGCATCACATATTCTTTGGAAAGACTCAGACGGCGGGTCGGAGAAGACTACTTCAGGTGTCGAAGTTGTCAGATCAGATGGAACAATCCGAACACTGCAAGCCACGAGAGAAGTCATCCTGTCCGCAGGTTCCATCAGGTCACCCGCACTACTCGAGCTGTCAGGCATCGGCAATCCATCCGTTTTAAAACCACTCGGCATCGAAACCATCGTTCCACTTCCATCCGTGGGTTCAAACCTCCAAGACCAACCTGCAAACGGCATCATCTACTCTTCCTCCACAAATTGGACCGGCTATGCCACTTTCGCCAGCTTCCTCACAGCATCTGACCTCTTCGGCGCGTCTCTGCCCTCTATCATCGCTAGTATCGCATCAAACCTAACCTCCTACGCTCACGCCATCCTCTCAGACTTCGCGCCCAACTCCACCACCCTCGCGATCCAAGAACAGCTCCTCCGCCACCAACTCGACCTCGTCTTCGCACCGACCAGTACCGTCCCGCTCGCCGAGATCCTCTGGGTTCCAACCGGTAATCTCATAGTAGCGCAATTCTGGAACCTCCTCCCCTTCTCCAAAGGCTCGATACATATTAATAGTACGAATCCACTATCTCAACCGAGCATCAACCCAAACTTCCTCCAACTCCCCATCGACACACTCGTCCAGGCCGCCATCGCCGTCCACATACGGGAACTCTTCGCTACACCGCCACTCGCGGAATACGTCACGGATGAAGTCACGCCTGGGTTTGCTGTTGTGCTGCAGGACGCTACGTATACAGATGAAGCGTGGATCAAGTGGGTTAAAGGGAGTTTCAATGGGAACTCGCATCCGGTGACTACGTGTGGGATGATGGCAAGGGAGTTGGGTGGAGTGGTAGATGCGGAGGGGAGGGTGTATGGGACGCGGAATGTGAGGGTTGTGGATGCGAGTGTTTTCCCGACGCAAATTAGTGGGCATCTGAGTGCGAGTGTGTATGCGCTTTCTGGGAAGATTGCGGATGCGATACTAAAGAATGAGGGGAGGGAGCAGGTCGAAGACGTACATGTGGCACCTCCCCATGTCGGTTGTGGTGAAAGATCGAGCTAGATGCCATCTTAATTCATGTATCCTTACATGTTGAGTACGGTGTGGGCTGCATTTGGTGAGCGCGTCCTGCAGTCACACAGGTTAGACAACAGTCGTCCCTGTGCAGCCTGATGCACCACCTCGTTTGCCTAAATACCTACTCATGTATGTGTTTTATAACCACGAGTCTACACAACTGTTTTCTCGCGCTTAGCAGGTCCAATCCCCATCGCAACCCTATCGATCTGCCGCGAGAACCTGGACAGCAGTGTTGGTTCCAGCCGCTTTCATCTCATGTCTAAACAGATTGTTTCTTTGTGTCTTGCTTGTTGTGTGTAAGACAACAAGCTCCTTTGTTTCAGGTGCCTACATTAGTAACACCTCATTGCTCGTAGATAGCATCTAAGAATTCATCTCATCTGAAGTTCACATCATAAATCAAGAAGCAGCGTACAACCTATAATGCCGTCCCTCAGGGACCTACCCTCGCGAGCTTCGCGACCAGATTTGCAACTACGCCATTCTCATGCTGAATGCACCTCCTAACATCACACAAACGTTCGAAGAAATCACTGAAGCGCGAGTTCGGTTCAAACCCCTAGTCTACGGGCCTGGAGCCAAGTACTATACCTCCCCAACGTTCCAAACACTCACATAACATCGTTTATCACAAGATACAGCATTTCCATCAACTTTGTCTGACGACTAGATCGCATCGAGTCGTGCAACGTGATTAGAAGACGATGTGGATCACTCATCATACAGCTGATGTGCCTCGATCCGCGCTTTGTGTCACGACTCGCGCTGCGCGTGAAATGCCTCGGCTCAAAGCTTCCCCACACCCCCAGCTTGTAGCCGCAACACCATCTTGCCGACCGTTGAGCCTCCATCTTTCTCTCAAATTCCCAAAAACCCGTCACACCCTTAAGACGCGGTCAAACTCCACTACTCTGTCAAATCTTTGTTTCCAACACATAGAATACTATGCCGTTCAACACAGAGCTTACACGCGCCCTCGGCATTAGAAGTGAGCCTCCACCGCGTACTCCCAACCTCCACACTAACAATCTATAGTACCCGTTGTCCAAGGTGGCATGCAATGGGTAGGCTATGCCGAGCTGGCCTCAGCCGTCTCGAATGCTGGCGGTCTAGGAATAGTAAATTCTCACAGTACCCCTATCATTCCATCCAACTATTAACCCACCTTCCAGCTCACAGCCCTCACCCAACCCTCCCCCGAAGATCTCCGCAAAGAAATTCGCCGCTGCCGCACCATGACCAAAAATCCCTTCGGCGTCAATCTCACCCTCCTCCCCGCCATGGTGCCCCCCGACTACGCCGCCTACGCCCGCGTCATCATCGAGGAGAAAGTAAGCATCGTCGAGACCGCCGGCAACTCTCCCGGCCCCGTAATCAAGCAGCTCAAAGCAGCCGGCACAACAATCCTACACAAGTGCACCACGATTCGCCACGCCCACTCCGCCGTGAAGCTCGGCGTGGACTTCCTAAGCATCGACGGTTTTGAATGCGCAGGACACGTAGGCGAGACAGATATCACGAACTTCATCCTGCTCTCGCGCGCACGCCAGAGTCTCGGCGTGCCATTCATTGCATCCGGCGGCTTCGCAGACGGCCAAGGTCTCGCTGCCGCTCTCGCACTCGGCGCATGCGGCATCAACATGGGAACACGGTTCATGTGCACGGTCGAAGCGCCGATCCACGAGAACATCAAGAAAGCCATCGTCGAAGCCCAGGAGACGGACACAGCGCTTGTTCTGCGCCGATGGAAGAACACGTCGCGCCTTTTCGCCAATAAAGTCGCTCTCCAAGCGGTGGATATTGAGAAAACGAGCCCAACAGGCAAGTTCGAAGAAGTCGCTGAGTACGTGTCTGGAAAGCGTGGAAGGCAGGTGTTCCTCAATGGTGATAAGGACTTCGGTGTTTGGACTGCGGGACAGGTCATTGGGCTGATTCATGATATACCCACCAACGAGCAACTGCTCAAGCGTATTGAGAAAGAGGCGGTTGAGACGATGAGGCAGAACCATGCACTCTATATTGAAGAGGGGCAGGAACCGGTTGCGGAGGGTGCGACGGTGGGGAAGAAAGACAACAATCCCGGCGCGGAGATCTGGGGGATTGGGAAGAGTAAGCTGTAGATGAGGAGATTCTTTGGTCGAATATACCATTGTTGGATGTTGATTGAATGCGTGATCAAGAATCTTCATTCGATGCGTGTTGCTGCAGACACTGGTTCAACGTTAAGTTTCGCGGCTCGATCTTATTGCAGTATTATTTCGTTCATTTACTTCTTACTCAGGTCAGCAGGTATTGATACGTCTAGACAGCCCTCGAATGCTCGCCCTCACCCCTCTCATGAACACTCTTCTCCACACTATCAAGCAGACTTTCACTCCCGCTCTTCCCCCCCTTATCACCACCCTCCTGACTCAAATCCGCGCCAGACCTCTGCTCAGAGTTGCCTGATGCATTCTGTGTACCAGCCGAAATCTTCTTGATTTGTTAGCACTAGTTTCTAACACCCATCCCTTTAACTGCCCGTTCTCTCCTCCCTCTCCTGTCGTTGACTTCCTGCCCAAAAAATCGCACGTGGACGCAGATGACAGGATTAGAAACGTACCTTATCGCCCTTACTACTCAGCCCACTCTCAAAACCCGAGTCACTTGTCTTGCCCGTGCCTTTTGGCACGGCGGGATCGCTTCCTGTGCCTGGCGCGGACGTGGTGCCCTCGTTGACGGGGTTCTTGGGGTTGGATTCGGAGGATTCTTGGGCGGTTAGGGAGGACATCTTGATCGTCTCGTCTTTGTCTTTGATTTATATAGAATTGAGATGGGTTGAAGGCGGTTTATGACTGAGGTTGCAGAGCGTTGGTGTTGATGTCGTGGTGGTAGTGGAGAGGGTACGTCATAGTGACAAGGAGGCGAGATGGCAACACCAACGTTATCGTCGGCAACGTTAAGGGCTAGAGGTTTCTACCCTGGTGAGGATGTCGGTAAGGCTGCATTTTACAGTGTACCGAATAAAGGCAACCTACCCTCTCCAGCATGACGGGCGCATTGCTGGGGTTTCTAGTCAGAGTAGTGTTGGTGTCACTGAAGTCAAGTCTAATAACCGTTTCTTGAAGACATCTATACATCTCATTTTCTATCGTACCCTTCTCATTCTATACACAATCATGATTCTCATCAACCTCATCAAACACCCGTACACCCAACCATCACCACACAACTAAGCCCACATAGCCCTGAACTTAGTATCGAAATCCGCCTTCAACAACTTGAACGCCTTCAGCACATTCAACAACCCAGTCTGCTCATCCCAAGCGACCTCACCACCTTCCTCCTCACTATCCTCCCCATCATCCCAGTTCTCGCCCTCACTACTCGAGCTCTCCGCCTCCTCATCCCAAGAATCAACAACCCTCTTCTTCTTCTTGGCAAGCTGGACCGGCAGATTCTGCTGCTGCGCAGGTCCTCTGGCACCTTGGGCACCCGAACCCGGTCCAGCGGTGTCCTCTGCACCGCCCTGGTTTGGTAGAAGCCTGTCCTCGAGATCTTCCTCTTCGTCATCACCGCCACCGCGCACATCGATGAAGTCGAGATCGGACTCTGTGCCAAGGTTCATGAAGTTGGTCAGGCTGGTGACAATGGTAGCGAGCACCATGCTGAAGTCGTTGAGCACGAACCAAATGTCGCCACGGCGGATGCGGTTGGCGGTGACGACAGCGGTTGCGTTGCCGTGCATGAAGAAGTCGTAGAGGTAGGCGTTGAGTGGCAGGTCGGAGTCCTCTGAGTAGATGCCGACGTAGGGCACGACGGCTTCCTCGAGAAAGACGCCGGATCTGCTTGTTGTACAGAGCTCGTGGATGGACTCGAACTCGTCGTTGTGGCCTGAGAGCGCAACGAAGGAAGATCGAACCTTGTTGGGTGATGGTCCTGCGTTTGACTTGCCGCCAACGATGGTTGTGGTCAGAGGCAGCGTGTTGTCTGGCTCCTGGATGTGCTGCTCAACGAAGGTACGGACGTAAGATGTGAAGATATCGAGTGTCTGCTTATTATGCTTACGCAGGACGTTGACTGCATTTTCGGGCATATTGGGCAGGAACACGACTGATGGACTGCCCTTGACCACTTCTTGCACAAACTCCTCGTCAGCTTGTCTGCATTGGAGGCGACCAAAGAGGTGAGACATTGTAAGCATGAGCTCACGCAAGACCGAGTCCTGGTTTGTGTTAACCTTCGCGCACAGCTCGTGGAAGTATCCGTTCTTCAGCAATGCGTGGAAGGCGAAAGACGAGTTCTCAGTGAAGTACAGATGGCTAACAGCACCTGCAAAGTTGAGGGGCGTTCCACGCGAATCCAACAGCGACTGCCTGCGCAAGTACTCGATAGAGAAGCGCAGATGATGGAGGACGGTCATCTTCGACTCCTCGCCACCAAGATACACGCGCGGCTGAGACAACAGCGCATTGATACAACGGACCGCAAATGGCGAGTTCTCCGAGTCATGCAGGAGCGTGAACAGACGTAGAACCAAAGTAGTAGTGATGGGGAAATGTCCGTTCAGATCAGGCAAACGAGAGCTGATGAGCTTGTTGATCTTACTGAGCGAGACGCCGTGGAAAACAACGTTACCGAGCGAGTCGAAGCCACGACGACCGGCACGACCAGCGGCTTGACGGTAGTTGAGTGCGGTCAAGAAGATCGAGTCGCCAGAGAAGACAACAGTCTTACAAGGCATGTTGATACCGAGAGCAAGAGTACCTGTCGCAATGACGACTCTCAGGTAGCCCCTTCGGAATAGCACTTCGACGGCATAGCGGTACTTTCGGTTCATACCAGCGTGATGGACACCAATACCACGCTGAAGACCCTGGATAAACACCTCGTCAACACCACGGTAACGCAGTTCCTTCTCATGGTTGCGGAGTTCCTCACTGGACAGTCTCTTACTGTTCGCAAAGTGGAAGCCCTCCAGTGGCCTGTCTGGGTCGAAGGTTGCGAATGGGCTGACCTCACGGTTGGCAGCTTCCATCATCTGCTCTTCCTTGGTAGTACCCTTCGCTGCACGGACACCTTGCTTAGCGCGACGGGCGACCTCCTTCTTGTATTCTTCCCACTCGCGCAACTTCTCTGCCCACTTCGGGCTGGTCTTCTTCCATTCGGCTTCGGCCTCTTCCAGCTGGGTCAAGACCGTGCGGCACATCCTCTCGCAGACCGCTCGGTCGTAGTTGAAGATGATACCAGGCAGGGCATCTTGCTGATGGAGCTCTGTCAACAGAGGTAAAATGTTGTTAACATCGTGGTTGCTTGCAGGGTCATCGACTTCCTGGTCATCCTGGACTGGCTCTGCGTTACCGCTGTCCTTGATATGAAGAGCAGACTTCATGACAGAAGAGCTGAAGTCCTTGCGCACAGCTTCGAATGGAGAACTGTCGTCTGCCATCCACTGGGCGAGCAGAGCCTTGAGACCAGACTCCCAGTTGATGATATCCGCCTTGCGCATGACCTTTGGAAGCACAGTCGAAGGAGTGAGGGACTTATCGACTGGATAGTCCTTGGTCTGATGCTTTGACATGCTTTGCCAAAGGAAATAGCAGTCTCGTGCTTCAAGGGAGAAGTCACTTGGCATACCACGTTTTCTGTTGGTCAAACTGGCGACGGGATGCATGAAGGTGAAGTTCGGTACATCATCGAGACCCAGGCGGGCGAATGTGCGGTTCGTTGACAGGGGAAGCGCCGCTGCAACACGCTTGGCTGAGTCTTTTGGTGGGATGTACAAGAACTTTCGAAGATCTGAGTAACGGTGCTTATGCTGGACCATTGTCAGATCGTTACCGGCAGCCTTCTGCGTAGAAGAGAGCCAGTCGCTGAAGGCTTCGGCATTTCCAACGGTTGCAGAGAGAGCGATGATAGGGCAAGGCGCCATAAGCAGCAGCTGTTCCCAAATAAGACCATCCTCGGCCTGCCCGATGCAGTGAACTTCATCGAAGATTATCCACTTCACTCGTTCGGACCAGCCTTTTGCGTTGGTGGGTGCGAGCAGCATGATCTGAAGGATGTGGGGTACAGTAACGAGGATCTGACAACCAGTAGGGTTGTTGACGCGAGTGTCACGGGTGTGAATACCCCATACCGAGTTGGCGTACTTGTAGTTTTTGGAGAAACGAGCCTGTACTTCGGCTGCGATCTGGTTGACAAGCGCCTTTGTTGGCGCCACGTACACCAGAACATCTTCGTTGTTAGACTCCAATACCTGCTTCATTGCGTAGAACGAAATGAACGTTTTACCAGCCGAGGTTGGGGCTACAACAAGTAGACTGCGGCGGGCATCGATCTCGTCCAAGACCTTGCGCTGCCACGCATCTGGCTCAAACGGCACGCGAGAATCTGGAGCTGAGTCCATAGTTCGGTCGAAGTAAGGTCCACAGTAGAGTAGCTGGAACTCTTCTGGCGACAGGCTTAAAGCAATGTCCGTACTCGATGCCTCGTCCAGAATAAACTGGAACGGCAACTTTCGGTCGCCCTCGATCGGTGGTACCTGTAGGGAAGGTAGCTTCAGACGGTCGATGGTCTTCTTGAGACACGCTGCGTTTGTTTTCGTCACAGCTGAAAGACCACAAATGGCCCTGACTGCATCGAAAATCAGCGCAGCAGTATAGAGACCCTCCTCTTTATCGTCTTTGCGGCAGTGCTCTATCCACATCTTCAATAAAACGTTCAACATGTAGAGACGGACTTCCGCTTCCAGAGCCTTTCGCTTGAGGTCGGTATTGAGGCTGAGAAGGTGCTTCTTGGCCTTCTCATATCGCGCTGTCAGATCGGCCTGCTTCTCGAGACCATCGCAGACAACGACCCATGCTTTAATCTGTTTCTCTGCAGTATCCTCATCTTTGCGCTTAGAGCTTGCTGCAATGTTTGCAAGCATATCCTGCTTGGCTTGATTCTTGTTTTTGCCACCAGGCTTCCCACCCTGCTTTTTGCCCTTCTTGTCTGCTGGGTCCTGGCTGGGCGTTCCAGGTCTGGAGGGCATCGGAGTGCTTGGTTTCGAAGCGCCGACGTGAATTGTCTCCGGCTCAAGTGTCCTTCCAACTGCATTGGTAAGACTAGCAGCATATGTTGTCATCTCCGCCATGAAGAACTGATTGCGGCGGAGTGCTTTTTTTGCTGCTTTCTCATCCTTGACAACAGGACCGCTCTTGCTTTGAAGGGGTTTAGAGTTGTGCCAGTGCGAAACCTCACGGAAGATCACTGCTGAGGTTGAGTCGACCTTGCCGTCGGACTTGGTTACCTTCAGATGAACCGGAGCCAGGTGCTTGTCGAAGACTTCGTTAGCGAATGGAAGAAGACGGTATGATGCTCCATCATCTGACTTCTCAACGTTGCTGTTCGACTTGCCAGTCGAACTTGAAGCGCCACTTGCCTTTGCGAGCTCCTTCTGCCCACAAAGAGCCGATGCAGCTCTTGCCAAAGACTGGAAGAGGTCCGAGCTCGGATATGCGGAATCTTGAAGGCAAGCAGCCAACAATCGTCCGTCGATGAGATCTGCGATATCGCATGCTACAGCCTGTTTGCTGATTTCTTCGCTCCATGCCGTTTGCACGAGGACTTTGCGGGCCTCTTGACAGAACTCTAGAACCAGGGCGCGGGATGTTTGCGATGGCTCCTGGTACTGCATCAAGCGGTCGGGCAAGCTTAGCTCCGAAAGTAGAGCGGTATGGCGAAGCAATGCAACAGCAAAGTCCTGGTGGTCTTTTGTTTTTGATGCAAACTTCGAGGCAACAAGCACCGCCAGATACTCTCGCTCAGCGAAAGAATGCTCATTCGATGACTTGATAGCAGTGAGTGACTCTTGCAGAGTTGCTGTGTCGACTTCTCCACTTGAGTTTGATGTTGATGTCTGCGAAAGTGTGTTAGCTCTGTCTCTCAACCCACTTGTGAAGCCTGGCTCTACTCGCGTAGAGTGCAGTCTATGACACCGCGATTCTGCTCCATTGCTTACCGTTTGTGGAACCTGCAAAGTCATTGCACGTGAGTGCTCGAGAACCGAAGCAATGGCTTTGGTATCCTGATACTCTAGTCCGTTGATGAGCGCAGTACTGTAACCTCGCTGCATCATGCTGTAGATGAGTGTCCGGAGCGACGCCTTGTACTGCTCGTGGTGTTCCTGTAGGCACTTGTCCTCGCTCTTGAGAGCATCGAGGTCTTTCTGCAGGACTGCTCTCTTGCGAACATCTTTCATAGAGGCTCCATCGTGGCATAAGATGAAGTACACGTCTGTGACGCTGAGGTACTCTTCGAATGCTTCAGACGTTGTTGATGGGAACACCTTGACCTCGATGTCTGGGTGGACTGGGCGCAAGTTGACTTGTAGATGGCGGATGATGGCCGCTCGTGCTAGCAGGTACGTTTCGCTAACAGCGGGCGAAGCATCTTGAGGCACACAAAGATCTTGGTATTCATCGAAGAAAGCAATGTGAAAGTTACAGCGGCGAGAAACAAGCCCGTGCAGGAACTTCTCTACCGTGTATGAGGCGTGTAGTAGCTGTAGCCCAGGCTCGAAGTCGATCTGTGCATCGCTGAAGCAGTGGAGCAGAAGTGACTCGCCGTGAATCAAGAATCGTTCGCTGCCTGCGAAGTCGCCCACGAGATCAACACGGCGACTGAAGAGTTTGGAGTACCATTGTAGGATTTGGTCTGTTGTGTCCGTCCGTGACGAGACAATGGAGCTATTGCCAGCCATGCTCTGTGGCGGTATAAGGCGATGTAGTGTAGAAGATTATAGGTGGCTGTAAGCAGCGATCATAACAATGAAGAGGTGCTTCCTCTCAAGTGAAATGGGTGTAGCAACCAGTGCTCAGCGACTAGCCGCCGGTCGTAAGTGGCTTGAAGTCTGTGCAGACGCAAGCACGATAAGCTTTGTGTCGCGATCCCAGCTGTCCGCGCACCAGGCGAAGGTGCTTCGTATGGTAACACTGCTTCTGCAGGCTGGTGAAAGTATGTGTAGAAATAAGACAAGTCTCGAAGAGTCTTGTCGCTGAATGGGGCGGATGAGATTGGTTGTGTTTGTTGGAGTTGAAGACGTAGGAGAATATTTTGGGTAAGGTGACTAAGGACGCTAGCCGTTTAGGACGAGCTAGAAGCGGGCGGCTCTTTGACCGTCCCGGCTTCGCTTGCCACACCCGTGCTGGTGCTGCTCCATCCTCGACCAGCCGTGAGTTTGAGCAGTTGACACCCTTGTAGGGGTTTGTGGAGGCACTCCACTTGTGAATTGATCAAGATCACTCTGTCATGGTGATGAATATAGCCTACATTTGAGACGTGCTTTCATTTCGTTTTCCTGTGCACACATTCATTCCTTTCAATCAAGCTGAGTCAGTGTTCAAACAATCGGATCTGTTGGCCCATGTGCTCTGATTGTAAGCTCTTACGAACTTAAGGAAAGTGTTGCATTTCCATCAGGTTTTGACAGACTGCCATTGATTGCTTGTTAATATACACTTTATTGTATGCTGACGTTTGTTGGAACTGCTGCGGTAGCTTGTCTCAAACGGGTACCGCGTCTGCGGGACGGGAGTGTCGAGCAGGAGCTTGTTCCAGATGGGTGTCACTTCGCGCACCGTCACACAAGCAGCAGTGAAAAGATTAATCGAAGTTGCATTCGGGAAATTTAATCGGAGAAGAACCGATTAATTTGATGTGTCGCAGCAACCTGCCAGGCATATACTACAGTATGTAAGGCGCCATCGCGCATGAAAAGAAGCGAAAACAAAGTCACGAGAAATGCGGTGAAGACCTTGCAGTTGCCTTGCTCCCGCAAGCTTCAAGCTCTCAACGTGAGAAACGCCGTATAATAACAACATGTGCTGGGTATCTTCGATGGTCGCACGCAGACAAGACCGATGCTTCGATGCAGATGTCGATCGTAAAGCCAATGACGGTAACCACGAATTCGATGCGATTGACGGAAATACGATCACTGCAGTATAGTACAGCTCAAGATCTGTTGAAGTACGGTAAGCAGACGCACACGGCACGGAGCATAACGCACTTACTCGCATTGCTGCCATGTACCCCAGAATTCAGAGGTCCAACGGCGCAAGGGAGTCGAGCTTGGGGTGTGGTCAGCATTGGTAGGCATCAATGGCGACACAACATACCGCAAGGAGACGGTTCCAGCCTGCCGGGCTTGGAGGTGGTTGAGGCGGTGGGGATGGCGGCTCATCTCTTGATCCGTTGTATACTGGGTCAGATGTATCGATGGTAAGGTACGTAGCAGTGTGAAGCTGGTGAGATCGCATCGTCTTCTTGTTCGGTCCGGTCATTGTAGCTACAATGTATGAATGGTCGAAGTGTTACTCTGTAGAGCGACGATTGTAAAAATGGCTCACAGATCCCGCGAGTCGAACGCTTTTGCTTGGAGAGGCAGAAGATGCTGTGTGTGTTCAAGACCAATGTCGTCGCTGGGTGTTAAATACTCTGTGACCAGAACCTGACAAGTCAAGCGACAGGGAAGTCTGCCTAGCTGGCAGATGCAGAGACGACAATTACAATTGCACCGGGCCGTACGGGAAGACGGGTGGCGTCAGACAAAGCTAGGTGAGGAGATTTGACCTGGAATGAGATACTTGTTTGGCAGGAAGGGAGTACAATCGGGACATGTAGCACTTCCTGTCCCTAGGAATACCTGACATGGCAGTAAGATTGGCATTTCCAGCAACGGTAAAGAAACGTGGCTGCGGGTAGTGACCGTAGTTGAGACGATGGAGTACCATAGAGTATGTGTGCAACCACAATAAGCAGGGATGAACATGAATGCAGATACCTTATTTGCTGGGGATGAGATGCCGCAGCCGTCCAGACAAGTAGTAGTGCTAAGTCGACTGGCCTTTTCCGTGAGGAAGGTTTGAAATGGCGGTCTGCTATGCTGGGGCCAGTGGAAGGCGTCGCTCAACAGCATAACTTCTTAGGCCACGCGTAAGGCTGCGAGGGGCCGTGATTGAGCAAGCGAGGGATGAGGTCATCATTGGCTGCAGAGCTGATGGCGGGCGAAAGCGAGACTCCAGGTCATTGATTTGCAGCAAGGCATTGTTTGTCTGCAGGTGGAGTGAAGCAAACACTAGACCGCAAGAGGTATCCCATCATACACGTGTAGAAGCGGACAGAAGCAAAGAACCCATCAAACTGGATGGCCGCAGCTTCTGTGTACAAAGTGTGGTGATCGGTGAAGAGACCGGTGACAGTCCGTCGCGTTGCAAGAAGTGTATGGCTGGTAATGAGGAGAAAGAGAGGATCGAGTTGGCTGAGGACGGAGCGGAACGCCAAGACCTTGCCTTGAGCTTCACGCATCGCGACTTCCAGCTTTCACACGACATACCTGATTAGCGTCGCCGCCTCACGTGCTTTCACCTTCATACGCGTTCGACCAAGAGCAAATTGCGCGCCGTATACGAACATCTCACCCCGCGGCCTGCCAAACTGTGTCGCATGCGCGCGTCCGGGATGTGCTTCACTTGCTCATAGGGCTGGCCGTCACATCCTCCAGACCTGCGTCACCCGCTCGGTGACACGCTATTGTTCCTCCCATCGGCTCAACTGCTGCCGCTCCGCTTCATTCGACGCAACACGACCGCGACCGAACCGCCCCATCTTGACAACTCATTGCTGGCATTGCGCTGCCCGATATGTCCTCCGTCTGGAACCCCGACAACGTGCGAGATGTCGCCGAATCAGTAGGCATCGCCTCACTCGCCGACAACGTCGTTGAAGAGCTAGCGCGTGATGTCGACTTCCGGCTTGCGCAGGTACTGGAGGAGGCGCTGAAGTTCATGCGACACGGCAAGCGGACGACATTGAGTACACAGGACGTGTCCAACGCACTGAAAGTATTAAATGTGGAGCCCCTTTACGGATATGAATCCACTCGACCGCTGCGTTTTGGCGAGGCTTCCCTGGGCCCTGGCCAGCCGTTGTACTATGTCGAAGATGAGGAGGTGGACTTTGAGAAGTTGATCAATGCGCCGCTGCCCAAGGTACCACGAGAGATCACATTCACAGGTATGTCATTACACCTGCTTATACCCTCTCGTACCTAAACACTTTATCTCTAACATGCTGCAGCTCACTGGCTCGCCGTAGAAGGCGTACAACCATCGATACCTCAGAACCCAACTGCGATCAACCAAGGAGACCTGTTGCCCAAGGGAACGAACGCAAACCCGCATCTCGCAGCAGCCAACGGACTGGACAATGTCAACGTCAAGCCGCTCGTGAAACATGTGCTCTCCAAAGAATCGCAAGAGCTGTTCGCCAAGCTCTCTGGCGCGCTCATCGACGAGACGAACATCGAATGGCAGAACGCAGCCCTCGCAGCCATCCGAACGGAGCCTGGTATCCACCAGCTAACGACCTACCTCCTCACATTCATCGCTGAGAAGGTTACACACAATGTGAAAAACCTATTCGTACTGCAGCAGATGATGCAGGCCACTAGCGCATTACTGGACAACCAGGCCATCTATCTGGATCCATACGTCGCCTACATGGTGCCGCCTGTCTTGACATGTTGTACAGGCAAGTACTTAGGGCCAACAACACAAACAGCGTCCTCGAACGCCTCGTCAGAAACACTCAACGGTGTTGGTGCCAACGGTCATTCGAGTGGCCCGGATCACTTTAGATTACGACAACTGGCTGCGTCCATCCTTAGCCGCATTTGTCAGAAGTACGGATCGTCGAACCAGGGGCTCAAATCACGAATTGCAAGGACCTGTCTCAGACAGTTCATGGATATTGGCAAGCCGCTCGGCACACACTACGGTGCACTGCTAGCGCTACTGATCATCACTGGCAACGAAGGCATGACAATGCTTGTGTTGCCCAACCTGAAGATGTACAACGACGATGTGCTCAAGGGCGCTCTAGCGGACGAGGGCAAGAAGAAGGACGCAGAGCGAGTGCTCGCTATCCTGGTCGAAGCCATCAAAGCACTGGGGAACACGACATCAGCAACGATGACCAATGGCGTTGCCGATATTGAAGGATTGAGAGAACGACTGAACGACAAGGTCGGCGACATTATTGCCGATCAGATCATCGCCAACAAACTTTCGGCGGCTGCGCAGGTTATTTTGGAGACAGATGTCAACATCTGAGCTCGGTAGAAAGGCGTTGGTTGCAAAGCATTATGGGCGTTGGGTAGGGGTTCTGGACGATACCATAACTGTAAGGAATAGCAAAAGTGTGTGCCTACTGAAGTTCTGGAAGAATTGTCCTCTTCTCTCTCTTGAATTCTTTGTTGGCCTCTCACATGTGATTGAATCGCCAAGAACCCTGGATGCGCTAAGCGGCCATTCAGCCTCCAGACCTCCGACAACTGTACATTGTAGATCGCCGCAGTGCACACACCCTTGAACACAGTACCCCCAAGAACATATCAATATGTGGATCGTCAACTGGTAGGTCTTTTTTTTTTTTTGGACTGTGGAACGGGTTTAAACTAACTGTCTCTGCAGGTGTAGGTAGTCCCAATCTCCACGTAGCCCATGAGCACCGCCACACTCCCGGAGGCACACGACGCTGATACACCCACCTAGTCTTCGACCTCCTGGCTTCGCTCGGCCTCGCCAACAAGCACGCAAAGCTTCTCTTCCTCGGCCTCGACAATGCCGGAAAGACAACGCTCCTGCACATGCTCAAGAACGACCGCGTAGCAGTCCTGCAACCAAGTCCGTTCACCGCCCCTCCGCCCCTTCCGTAAACTCTTGCTAACAGCCACCCAGCTCTCCACCCCAGTAAGCCTACCACCAAGCCCTACCCTACTTTACCTAACGCGACGCAGCCTCCGAGGAGCTCTCCATCGGCAACGTAAAATTCACAACCTTCGATCTTGGAGGCCACGCACAAGCCCGCCGCTTATGGCGCGACTACTTCCCCGAAGTCAGCGGCATTGTGTTCCTCGTCGATGCCAAGGACCACGAGCGTCTTGCTGAGTCGAAGGCCGAGCTCGATGCGCTGCTTGCGATGGAGCAGTTGGCTAACATTCCGTTTGTGGTGCTTGGAAACAAGATCGATCATCCGGAGGCCGTGTCTGAGGATCAGTTGAGGGCGGAGCTTGGGCTGTACCAGACGACGGGTAAGGGTAAGGTGCCGCTGGAGGGTATTAGGCCGATTGAGGTGTTCATGTGCAGTGTGGTTATGAGGCAAGGTGAGTACATGGAGGGTGCGTTCGGTGAGTTGGAGGTGTTGACAGATCGCAGGTTACGGAGAGGGTATCAGGTGGCTCAGTCAGTACGTCTAAGAGTTTTGCAACCACGGCGATAGGCCTATCGAACACGTCACGGCACGAACGGACGCCACACGCAGGCAGCGACACGACGATACTACAGTACACTGGAGCAGCGATGATTGGAGGCAAAGACAAGAACGTGCAGGTATGCACGAGGATAGTCATGACCAGGATGGTTGGAGCTAGCAAACGATCTGAACATACAGTTACACAATCCGTCTGACTCTTCATTCCCTTAACTTCTTTACATTCAGTCCTGCTTGCCCTTAGCAAGCGGCAGCACCAGCTCTTCATCTCTACCACCATCATCCGTCCACCTCACTATCCTAGCAGCTACCCTGTCCACAGCTCTGTCAACTACTGCGAGGCCTAGATCCACCCAACTCCTGTTCGCCCTCCTATCGAGATCGCCCTGCCCTGTTTCGCGTACGCGCGATGCCCGTCTACCCTGCGCTTCGCATGCCTCCGACTCGACATCCTCCAGCTCGGCGCCAGATAATGATTGGGTCGAGCTTGATCCCCTTGAGTGCGCGGCTGGGGATCGAGAGCTAGAGGACGAGAAGAAGGCACGATGCTCTTCTGCCCACTCTGTAGAGCAGCGTAGCTTGGGCCTACGACCCAGATGCTGATCTGGCGGTACCAGATACGGATTCACCGGCGACTGGTCTTGCGCACTGTAGGCCGATTCGAAAGGCACATCGTGCGCCGACGTTCGACCACCACGTCGCATCTCGGCACCGTTGTTGATTTCTTCGGAACTGTTCGTATGCAGCACTTCGTATCTTCCCTTCCTCTTCCCCGCGAACGGACTCCACCCGATTTCTCGTGCCCATAGCGCAGCCCCTCCTCCCTCCCTTTGTTCGTGGTAACTCTGAGGTACCATCCCAGTAGTAGTCCCGCGCCAGTGAATCAGACACACAACCACCGACCACGCAGCCGCTATGCCGATGACTGCAAACACAAAAATGACAAGCCATAGAGGCGCGGTCGGTGTTTGGTGGTTCGCTTTATGTGCGAGCGAGTGGTGTTGATGTTGCGGTCCATGGAGGGCGTCGCGCTGCATGTTGTACTCGTAGACGTGTGGTGGGACGATAGGTTCTGGGTACAAAAACGTCGGCGGCGATGGGCGGGGGTAGTTTGACGTTGTCGTTTGTGAAGACAAGCGTGTTGCTGTGGCGATGGCAGTAGAGGGATTAGATGCAGTGGTAGCAAAGGAAAGTGGTGTGGAGGTAGTCGTAGGTGGAGGTGAAAGTGAAAGTGAAAGTGAAAGGTCGTTGTCGGGGGAAAACGATGGGGCTGCATAGTTGGATGTCAATGCCGAAGGAAGGACTATCTCGTAGAGCGAAGTAACATCGTGCGCATCCTTGTGCTCGACATACGTGACCGTTATCGCTTTTCTATGGTGGTGGGGGTGGTATCGATGATGTGCCGCTGGTGCCATGTCCAAAGAATTGAATACTTTGTACTTTCAAATTTAACGACAGTTTCTTCGCGACGAGCGTGGTGTTGTTGAATAAGAGAAACACCCAAGAAGTCACGGCAAGTAGTCTGGAGTAGATTGTAGATGCGAGACCTGGGCTTCAGTATAGGGCAAGTGCGTTCAAGACATACAGAGCATTGAATGGGCCTTGTCGTGAGGCAATCGCATTGTGTGAATGAAGCCTTTGAGATTCACGTCCTACACTCAGGCTTCACATAACGATGAGGAGATGGGAGTGACATTGAATTCATTGGAGATATTATATGCTAGTAGTTGACTTCGCTGGCGAAATACGTGTGAAACACCGCCCAATGAAGATCTATCAGGTCTACATGATTCTAAATAAATAGGACACTTTTACACAACTTGAGGACATCGAACTACGTCGACAAGCCAAGGCTTAACGACGGTTGAAGTTCAAGAAGCGGGCGGCAACGAACAAGATAGCCAAGTTGCTGAAAATGAATGCAAGGAAGATGCCGAGATCCCTCCACCTGTTGCTGAACGAGTATCCAAGTGGGTTGTAGAACTCGTCACCAACCTTGTACGCGCAGTAGTTGCAAAGGTTGGCGGCCTCATCAAGGAGATAACCGGGCGCACCGTTGGCGAAGAAGTCGCTCATGTACTCTCCACAAGTCTGGCCCTGCGGAGCACGGAACTGGTTGAACTCGCTGGACGTGCACTTGACAGGCAGGTTGTGAAGTTCAGTGACAACCATACCGCCAATGAGGCGTGTGAAGGGGTTGAGTTCGTAGAGCCAGACACGCCAGAACTTGGGGATCTGCGGCTTGGGGATCGTGACACCGCAGAAGAGGGCGAAGATGATGATAATGAAGGGGTTCACGTAGGCGGCAATGAATGGCGAGGGAGTGAGCGCAGCGATCGCCTGGGCGAGAACGACAGAGAAGATCTCGGTAATCAGGACGATGAAGAACTGGTAACCGGCGCGAGAAGACTCGGAGCTGAGACCTGGGATGTAGTAGAGCGGAAGGAAGAAGGCGACGGCGCAGAGGATGCTGTAGGGCATCTCGGCGACAACCATGGAGAGAGCGAAAGGGAAGGTCTTGTAGGCCTTGGACATCTGCTCGCGGAAAGAAATCATACGAGCGATGGCGTACTTCGGCTCGACCTGGGCGAGAATGAGGGCGGGAAGAACGGTGACCTGGAAGATGATGAAAACGCGGTATTGGAGTGATGCGCGCGAGTCGTCGAGCTGCAGGTACATGAGACCAGTCAGCAGAGCGATGATGACGTGGTTGAAGAGACGAGTAAAGCCGTAGTTGGGCGTACGCCAGAAGGAAAGGTTCATGCGCTTGTTGACATGCTTGATCTGGAACATGAGTGGTGTGGCGTACTCCTTCTGTTCCACAGGCTCGGCTGATCCGACTTCAGCAAGACGCTGCTCCTTCATGGCAACAATGTCGCGCTTGACCTGGGCAAACTCCTCAGAGTCAGTCCAGACATCGGACCAATCCTTGTCGCCAATGCGAGGAGCAGAACCTGCGCCAACGGCGTCAAGCATCCATTCAGCCGGATTAGCAGCGGGTGGGCAGTCAGCGCCGTGGCGGTGAAAGTAGTCGAGAAGAACGTGGGCATCCTTTCCAATGTCACCAAAGTAAACACACCGGCCACCACGCTGGAGAAGCAGAAGGCGATCGAAGTTTTCGAAGAGGGCAGAGTTCGGCTGATGGATGGTACACAGGATAGCCTGACCGGCAGCGGCCAACTTGCGAAGGAAACGAACGATGTTGAAGGCACTCTGAGAGTCAAGACCAGAAGTAGGTTCGTCAAGGAAGAGGAGCAGTTCAGGCTTGGCTGCGAGTTCGACACCAATTGTTACGCGCTTACGCTGCTCGACAGCAAGACCGGTCTCGGGGTCACCAATGATAGCATCGGCGATATCTTCCATTTCCAACAGAGCGATGACTTCTTCGACGTATGCGTACTTCTCGGCCTGAGGGACCTCGTACGGCTGGCGAAGATCGGCGGAGAATCGAAGGGCCTCTCGAACGGTGGCGGCGGGCTCGTGGACGTCGAGTTGTTCGGCATAGGCAGTTCCACGTTGGAAGGATACACCCGGAACCTTTCCGTCAATAAGCTTGTCACCACCAATGACACCAATGTTCTTGCGGTTGGCGAGCACGTCAAGGAGTGTGGTCTTTCCGGCACCAGAAGCACCCATAAGCGCAGTGAGTTTCCCCGGTTGAACATAGCCATAGATGTTCTTAAGCAGTCGCAGCTCGCCAGAAGGAACAGGGACATCGTAGGTGAGGTCTTCCCAAGTAAGGACTGCCTTGGATGTGATATTCAGCTCAGAGCTGTCATCTGCACCCTCTTCTTTGCGGTTGCGCCTATCCTTCTTCTCGCGAAGCTTGGCGTTGAGCTCCTTCAGTTCGTTGTTCTCCTTGACGAAGAAAGTGACGGTACGACCTCCAGCACCCCACTTGACGAACTCTCCAAGGAAGGCGTTGGCGAGCAGGAAACCAATAATCAAAGCGACGCAGATACCCCAGTACATCCAGAGGTCACCAACGTGCCATGAGAATGACTGTGAGACGTAATCACGACCGCGCACGATGTTCGAACCGGCAACGGAACCAGGAAGCGTGCAGACCTGAGCGTTGATATCGGTGTAACCTGGGCCAGAGGGAATGAGCGAAGTGTCAGCGCAAGTCAGGTCGACTCGAGAGAACTCGTTCAACATCAGTGCAGCAAATCCAAGACCGAGTGCGTTGATGTAGAAAATCCATCGCAGCCAGACTTGCTCGGATTGCCACTGGATCAGATATCCGGATGTCAGGACGAACAGGGTAATAATCGTAGCAGCGAGACGGATAGCGACATCGAAGTCAGGGCAAAGACAACCGACGGTTCGGAAGAACAATGTCATGGCGAGGTATCCAGTGGTGATCATGAGGAAGAAGGTGAAGAAGGCACCAGCATCCCTGGCAAGCCCGGTCATGAAGTATACAATGATGGAGAAAACCAGAATCTGAGCTGCGGCGAAGATGAGATCGACTCCAATTTGAGCAATCCACAAGGCCGAAGGTCGGTGGAAAGTGAATGCACGATGTTTGTTGATGATCGGACGGCCCAACATAGTACTGGCGAGTTCGGAGAAAGCCTGGAAAGCGTTGAACAGGAGAGCAATGAACAAGACACCACCACGAGTGAAGGCACCGGCGGAAGTATCCGGAAGATTGAGCCAGACGGTTCCAATGATGATGGCGATGACGAGAGACGTGAACCAAGAGACAACGAGGGAAAACTTGTCCTGCCACTTGAGCAAGAATTGACGCTTAGCCAGAGCCCAGACCTGGAGGTGGAAGGGAATGGAGTAAACCGACTTCTTCGAAGCATGACGCTTACCCTCCTTGACGGCGGTCTGGAAGTCGTCGTAGACATGCTTCTCCTCTTCCATAGCAGCGTGGTATTGTGTCATCCCAGTTGCCAGTCGAGAGGCAGTCTCCGACTTGTTGAACGCTTCGGCCAGTTGATCCGGGGTGGAAGGAGCATTACTTTCATCTCGGCCGGCCTTGTACTCTCGTTCGAAGGGATCTGTGCATCCAGTCAGATAGTCAGGAGTGGTCTGACGAGGCTTCTCGAGAAAGCCAAGGCCCTCAAAGTAGGCTCGCGCCTCATCGGCGGGACCGAAATAGACTTGTCGTCCGCTGTCAATGACCAGAACTTTGTCGAAGCATTTGTAGATGTTCTCAGAGGCTTGGTAAAGCGAAACAAATGTAGTGGTCTTGTAGATGTTGGTAAGCGTGCGCAAGGATCGTGCGTAGTCGACGGCTGTGGAGGCATCGAGACCACGAGTCGAGTTATCCCAAGACATGAGGGATGCGCCTGTGATCATAGTCTCTGCGATAGAGACACGTTTGCGTTCGCCACCGGATACACCACGAACGAATGGGTTACCAACAATGGTGTTCCTGGTGTGCTCAATGTTGAACATCTTCAGCATCATGTCGATGACTTTGTCCTTGAAAGCTTGTCGCGACAGACCAGCTGGGCGTTTGCCGGGAACCTTTGTCTCAAGAGCGAAGTCGAGTGTCTGGCCGACAGTCAGGGTAGGGTGATGGTTTTCGTCTTCCTCGCAGTAGACGGCCTCGCCACGGTACCGCTTCTCGAAGAAGTCGGATTCGAAAGGGCCATACAGGACCTTGCCGTTGATGTTGGTATATCCAAATCGCTGGTTACTGATGACCTTGAGAAAGGTGGTGCAACCGCTGCCTGGACGACCAAGGACCAGACACATCTCTCCAGGCTGAAGATAACCCTTGAAGTCCTTCAGGATGTCGAATTCCTTACCCTTCTTTCCGAGCCCAAGAAGGCTCTGTGCAGTCGCGAACACATTGAAGAAGGAGACGAAGGCGTCCGGGAAAGTCTAAGCGGCTGTCAGCTGTCACGGCTCGGCGCGCAGAATAAAGTGCTGACTGCTTACCTTAACGTAGTTCTTCACACCACCAATACCGCTGACAGTCAGACCATCCCATACAACACCAATGCGCTTGGACTTGATTCCTGCAGCCTCTTCCTCATCGCGGTTGCCGCGCAGGGTCTTCTCGAGATCGAATGCTTCCTCTGATGAAATGCTGGAACCGTCGGCACCCTTTTCGATATCGGTGGTCGTCTGGTTCTTGTGGCTGCGGTGACTCTGAATACGGCTCATGCGGCGCGAGATCTCACTCGTGCGCGAAAGCTCCTTAGACAATTGGGCGAACTCAGCCTCGGCGCGCTGAACGGCGATCCCGCCCTTGACCTCGCCTGCGCCCTTCTCATTGACGTACTCGGAATTACGTGCGGTGTCATTGTAAATGGAGCCAGTCCTGGCACTTTCGTTGTCGTGTTTCATGTGATGGCGATCTGAGTGAATGGCCTCGTATGTCTTGCCATCGGTCTCCTCACGGGCAGTGGAGTGGTTCAGTGGTACATTGGAGTTCTCCATGGTGCCGACGCAGGGCGCACCTTGCCACTATTACCGAAATAGATGTTTGCAGGGGAACGTGCTTCCACACTGCGGCGCGTCGATTAAGAGACTAGTATTAAGGAACGTATAAAGGAAGAGAATGACAACAAGAGAGGAAGGCAAACGACCTGGGGACGTTTGTTGTTGAGATACAAAAAAAAAGGGAGGGATGGGTCTTATCTCCATGCAAGCTAGGAAGGATTCTTGTGGGCCCGCGACGCCTCAGGTTAAGACGAGATTTCATGATGTCGTCCTCAGCGGCTAGGCAAACAACAAGCGAAGTTGCGCTTCCAAAACCGCGACGTGGAGTGGGGCTCGTCAATTCCTCAGCGGACTGCTTCGGACGGACGCCGTCCAGTATCAAAGAAGAAAGGGCGGCGATCGACTCATAATGAACACAGGAACAGTAACCACTTTTGGAACGAACGATGGCTCTTCCGCACGTGTAAGGCTGATGCTGGAGTTAAGTCTCCACTGCGCCCCATATCGGCTTTGTCAGAAAGTGATCTCCTCGAGTCATGCTAACTCCGCCAACACCAAGAACTCAAGGAGACATGATTCAGGTGTTCCCGTTGCTTGTTCTTTCCTTCTTTTCGGCAACTTTAGAAGGTGCAAAGGTGGAGAATCATAAGCAATCTGCATCGATCCAGACTCGAAAATCTCCACGATTTATCAACATCTCATTCCGCTGTTCGTCGCTCGCACTTTGAACACCCCGAAGACCTTGCACTCGGGTTTCATGCCGCCTGAAACATCGAAAGTTTGCTTGGCGTTTGGCACCTCCACCGTTACTTCCACTTTGAGTTCCTCCAAGCGGAATTTGAGCCGCCGTCAATTCGACTCATCTGCACCCATGCTAGCGCACATCATGATGACAATCTCTCTGTCCTACCAAGAGAAGGTCGTACATGGATGAAATTGATACCATGTTGACTGGCTCTTTTCCACAGACCACCACCTCGCCCACTTCCCGAACTCAACAGTCAATGCTGATGTCTTGCGGAAGCCTTGGCGGGCTCTTTCTTGTCGACTCTTGAGAACCTCGCACAGCCAGCAGAGTTCATCGTGTACAATTTGTGGCCAAATGGTGACTATTGACCGAGTGTCGAAAAATCAATTCATGCCCTTGCAGCAGCTCCTACCCAGTTCACCGGTCCGCGCAACAGTGGCTGCATCAGCTCGTGTTGCTTCGCGAACCGCGGACGCCGAAGTGGACGTTCGTTTGCTTTGTCATGGTTCTACCGAGCAGGGGCCTTTACTAGACACGAGCCATGAGCCGGTCAACGTTCACTAAATCCTAGGATGTTATCTCGAACATCAGTAAACAAACCAACTTGCGAGTGTGCCTTGTCCTGTCGTATTCACGTTTAACGCACCGCCCCGACATGTTCCATTACGATAGCTTTGATCTTCAGTGCTGAGCACGAGATACCCGCATTCCCGCCGCCTGCATCGACGCCAACGACTGACAACGTTGCAGAAGAAGGCTTCACAATGCTTCGAACCATTCGAAAAGTTTCAGTAATTATGCAGACGTTATCTTATCCGTTCTATGGCTCCCTACAGTACCGCCGTCTTGGTAGGCGGACAGGGCTGAAATGCTTACTCCGATCCGAAAAGTCACGATCTCGCTGACGTAGCTCGCCAAACCACAGTTCGCCCAAAGATAGCGTGGTACGAGGAACCCGACACGAAGTCATGTGCGAGCGCGCAGGTACAGCTAAACTTAGGTGTGCCTGGAGATCACGCATAAGGCAGACACGTTTCTGCTTCTCTCAACGGAGTCACCGCGAGCGCTCTTCTGTATGTGGCTCCACCTTGTGCCTCTATTGCTGTCGTTGTTCGCTTTCGAAACGAGGATATGCGAAAAGTTGGTCTGTATCAAAGGTCTATATCAAGTCCTTGACTAGTGCTATGATGCTTGGACACATATCCTCCGAATTTCAACATCTTCAACGCTACCATCTTCGCAACGAGTCTTTCAAACCTTCTCAAGCAACGCACTATCTCCACAAAACATGTCTTTTACACCTATTCGCTTCGCGCCGTTCCAAGTCTCAGGTGCGCCCTCTTCTGGCAAAGCTCAAACTTATTCCTCTCAACTTCAGACAACAGGATCATCGACAAGCACCTCGAATACGTCGTCCAGCTCATCGAACACGTCGGGCTCGACCAGTACGAGCTCCTCAAGCGGACGTTAGCCTCTCATGAGAAAGCCCAGAGTTACGAGACACTGTAGTCAGGCCACGAGCATTAGCATTCCGGACATCATCATCAAACAGGGCGCATCTGGCGGAACCATGCCGAGGAATCATTGCAATTCCACCCTTTCTCTGTCTTGTTAGACGCACACCACTGTCGCTTTCCCAGTTTTCACCCATTTCATTTCTTTATTCCACCAATACCATCCGTTAGACCATTCGTACCGATACTGTCGTTTCCAACGTAGACCATCACATGTAAACATTAGTGCCCACTCATCGCAGCTCCAACGTCATCAATCTATCAACTGTTCCCTCTTGCTGTTCTGAGTGTAGCTACAACTCGGCCTTACAAGTGGATGTGGTCTAATTTAGGTTCACCGGTCACCCGCCCCCGGGCCTGCACCCCAGCCTTAGCTTACCCGCTCGTCTCCCGATTTTCGGTTTCTCCGGGTCTTACCCTCCCCTCCTAGCCGTCCAGAGACATCCTTCCAAGAACAGAGCAGTATCACGTCAACTTCAAGTTCGACAAAAGAAAAGTCACTACCTGTCGTCACGGCCGAAAACTACCACCTCCGGTGCCAGAAAAAGCTGCACTCTAAACCAGCCAAAAGTCGAGGAACACCAAAAAGATTGCCCTCTTTGCCGCGACACCACGCAACAACGACTTGAGATTAATTCTTAGAAAAACACAGAATTATAGAATAAGATATTCCCCACAATCCTGCGTTTTTAGATTTTTTATATTGTGTGGTGTTGTGCGATTATCTCGGTTGGCAGAAGCACACTTTTCGTAAGTGCGGCTTATTTTGTCACCCGCGTAACTACGTACCTAGAGCCAATGATCTAGTCATCGCATTACCCCGGATCCTCAGAGTCACCGGCCTGGATGTTCCCTTCTCGCTCATGCGGAGCGAAGCAGTCGAATCTTCTTTGCTGCTCGGGCATGGCGCTTCGTTTACTGTCACTCGGCAGGCTGTATCTCCTGGACCAAATACCATGATCGATCGTTTTGATTTTACAAAGTTGATTACCCTCAAGATGCCCTTTCTGCCCACGAAACGACGGCAATACGTGGTCTACAAGTCCCCCAGGATCGAATTCCAGGCCGATGGGAGGACGCTGGCTGACGTGCAACTTAATGAATCGCCTCTGCCCAACGAGCTGAAATCGCAAATTTCTCTAGGCATTGCGAACGGTCCCCAGACGCTACACGACGAGGGCATCATCCACAGAGATCTGAAACCTGAGAACACTATACTGTGCTCGGAGGAGGATAGGATACTCGTTCCGAAACTTGCCGATTTCGGTTTTGCCATCGTCAAGGAGGCGTTGATATCACCCAATATCATGTTAGGTAGGACTAGAACTTGGAGTGCTTCCGAACCATACTCTTGTCTTGGAGCCTCGGGGCTTGCGTCTACGGACGTTTACTCGTTCGGTTTGGTCGTTTGGTCGTTTGGTCTGTCGGGCTTGATGGCTGGGACCCTTTCAGCGTGTTGATATCAGAACGCGTTCCTTCTGAAGAAAGATACCTGGCACTGGATCGGCTCCAAGCAGACGACAAACTACGATGTTTATCATGATTCGAAAACTGGGTATCCCGCTGGTGGGCTTCTATAACCAGAAACCCTATTTTGGACTGCTGCGACGGAGTTTCTACAAACGACGCTCTTTCCGCGACGGAAACAGACGCTTCCTTGGTTCACGTATGTGATGAACATGTGGAAAGCGTCACTTGCACTTCTTGGCGTCAGCAACCATTCCTTAGCGTCCTTGAAGATGTCCTCATCTCTACGTTGTCACTTCGGCCAGAAAAACGAGACTTGCCAACAGCGACTGGTTGGTGTCTTTCCTCGGAAGTCTCGTACCGGATATAGGGAGAGATCTAGTGGAGGATGGTGGCGCGGTAATACATGCCTGCACGAACCAGAACATATCCCACTCTCAACTCCCTAGCAGTGCAGATGTCGACTTCCAACTTCCGGGTACGCCGCTCAAATGCACCACACCGCATGCTTGCAACTGACGATATCGCATCTCAAGAGGAGACATGAAGACATCGAGAACCCACCATAGGACCGCTTTCTTTACGGCAACATCATTTGGATGGCGATTTGCGGATCAGACAGATTTTCCACGGTCCTTGTTGCTCATTCAACGCTGAGTGCACATCGCACCTTTCAACCCCAACACGGAACACACAACGATCGGCGTATCATAATGTCAGGAATCTCGCTCGCTTTCGAAGCGTGATACGTGTCCCGAGCCTGCTTGAGCATTGTGGGCAGCCGTGAGGACCGGAGGTCCAGCAGAACGACGGCGAGGGAAAAGTCCGTTGTGGCAAGACAGGAAGAGACAAAAAAAATTTGTTGTAATTGAACAAGCTTACTTGGCTTTTCGGTACGATAAAAGAACAGATTTTGACCTCCTGTCAACAATAAGAAAAAAGTAAAGAAATGCTGTGCACACCTCTAGGAAGGGACAGTGTATAGTACCGCCAACTCCTGGTACTGAACCCACACTTGTAGACCGACCCCTGGCTCTGCGGTTCAAAAAAAGACATGGAAAATGACTTCCGTCCTGGGTATGTGTTTGCCACCTTTGCCTTCTTGCTCTTTCTTTCGTCCCCTTCATTCCTGCGCCTGATGCGCCAACGCTCCTGGCTCAACACTGTTGGTGATCCCTTTCATCGCTTCTCATCCCTGGGATACCCGTTACCGTTTTGCTGGTTCTCAATCGCCCTCTTCTCCCCACTGCTCTCCCCGTTCCGACTAGGCGGCGCCCTGCCAATCCTAGCCAGCCACGACTCAGCCGACTGGACAGTGCCATCCACCACCGTAGTAATCTGGCCCATCATATCCAGCCCCTCCATCGCAAACGCCAGCATCCGATTCGCGCCCCTAACCGCCTCGCCCTCACCCGCCTCCTCATCCTGCGGCTGACCCGCCGTCCTCCTGCCGGCCAACTGCCAGCGCTGCGGCACGCTGAGGAGCTGCGTCCTCACAACCTGGGATGCATTTTGCGGCAATGCGCCGCCGGTGTGGCGGGACACGGATTGCACGACCCCTTGCAGCGTCTGCCAGATATCGCTACTCAGCGTCTTAATCTTCTCGGCGATCTTGCGCACCTCGTCTTCCTTCTCCTCCCCCTCTCCTGTCTTGACCTCTTCCTTGTCGTCGGCGTCGCTGGCGCGCCGCTGGCGCAAGGCGGTTTCGTACTCTTCCAGCACGAGTTTGAGGGCGCGCATTACGCTGTCGATGTGGCTCGTTGCGCCGCGCAGGAGGTGGAGGCAGTGTTTCAAGCTCCGCAGCGAGGCGGCGGAGAGCGCGACACCAAGACCAGAGGTCGTCATGATGAGTTGTGTCGACCAAGCTACGCGGCGGTCTTGCACGGCGCTTGACTGCTGGCGGCGCTCGGGCTCTTTGGCAGTAGCGGTTGTGGACGGGTCGGTCATGGTAGCGTTCTCTTCGTAGTTGGGAGACCGCTGGTCGTCGTACGCGGGGAGAGACTCGGCGCAAGACGACTGCGAGCCGCCTCGTGTACGGGACGAGGTGCGGGAGTCGATCTCCATAGCGTCGGCGGCGGGGCTTCCCGCTCTTTGCCTCTTCCTTGGAGCGTCTGCGTCGCCTTGTTCGAGATCGCTGGGGCGACGGTGTTGTTCGCCTAGGTAGCGGCGCAGGTTCTTCTCCATGCCTGTTCGTCGTCCTACGGAGGAGACTGTGTTGACCATTGGCGAGCCGACGTTGCGCTCTACGAGTTCGGCGCCGTACTTGACGAAGCGTGGCGAGTAGTCCTTGGTCAGGTTGTAGGCAGCGAGGGAGCCGCTGATGGTGCCGCCGAGCCAGGGGTGGTTCGAGGTCAGGAGCGAGAGCATTGGCTGTTGAGGCTCGGCAGTGGATTCGCGGGCAGACATTGTCAGTGATGGCGCAGTCGGCGATCGAACGAAGTCTGTGTAGGAAGTCAGTACAGCTTGAGTGTATATCTGTCGAGCCTGCGCACCTGGATTGCCCAACCCACTCAGCGCCTCTGCGGCCAGGCGCACTTCTGGATCATCCATGCTCACGCTCGTCTCGCGCCTACGAGCAGCCTCATCCTGCGCGCTCAGCACGCTCGCCGTATCCATGGGACTACCAATGTCTACAGGATGACCGTCCGGCACCTTGGGAAACGTCGCACTATGCAATGCCGGCAGAGCGCCCCATTGCGCCCCATCAGTCTGCCATCGCGGGCTCAGTTCACTCGAGTTGCGCGGGGTATGCCTCGCCGTTGCATCCGGCAAGTCCAGCGCCTTGATGCCCGGCAGTCTGCCATTGCCCTGGCGATTCGGCGCGTGCGTAGGCACACTGGGCAGCTGAAACGACTCTGGCTCGTGCTGGATATACGCCGGTGGAGGCGGGCGCTGCTGTTCCTCCTGCATGGTCGCCCTCGGTGCTGGAACGCGCGACAGTTGAGGTAAGAAGCCGCTACCCCACCGTCCCAGCGCCTGTCAGACGGTGCACACAGGCAAGGATGCGCCGACAGTATTCGACAATGCGCTGGCAGTGTTCGACAATGTTCCTCTGCGATGCTCGCAAGATCTGCCTAAGTCCGTTGTTGCCGTCACTCTTCCTGAGATGGGATCGGGGGTCGCTCGAAACGGCAGCGCGCTCCGCCTCCGAGTCGGACGTGGAATCGGCGGTGCGACGACGTCAGTTCCTCAGCTCCTCAGGAACTCAACGTCAGAATGAGGTCCAGCGGTGCTCTACGCAACCATTCGATCGCGCGTCGAGTCTTCGTCGTCTGAATGGGGGGGGGGGGGGTGGATATTTCGGCTGACGGTCGGCAAGCTGGTGAGGGCGGACGTGAGGAGACACGCAGCCCTGGGCGGCGTGCAGCAAATTGGCGTTCGCAAAGCCGTGATTCTCACATGTCAAAAATCCGCATCACATGTCGCGAAGATCCGCCCTCCAGTCAACGCCACTCACCAAACCGAAAACCGCTTGGCGCCCAAATCCGAGTGCGAGCGACAGCAGGCCATCTAAGCGAGGGCAACAACAACGAGTCGGTAACCAGCATGCTGCAATACAAGGCCCTCAGACACGTCTGCAGCGTCCCATTTGTCGTCGCACACGCTTCTCGCTTTGTTGCTGCGCTGCAGACATTTGCTGGGCTCTGTGAGCCGAAAGACTGCAGACGCGTCAAACAGCTTCTTGCCCGAAGATCAGTGGCTGCAGCTGATGCCTCTAAAACCTCGCTTAGGGGGGAGCCATGTGCGCTCCCCGCAAACCTGGTCTGTTGGATACGAGATGGATAAACACATGCTGACGAGTGGTTGCACTTTCGTTGTGTTGCTGAGGTCTGAACGTGAAAAAGGGTGATAGCTTCGTGAGAACCTAACATCGCAGTGCATCTTCATGTAGGGGTGGTGGCAGATGCTTCCGGCGTTCCACCACATGTGCGGATGCCGGCGTTAGGGCCGTCGGCCAGTGGCACGCCGAATTGCTGGTGTGGTGAGTCGACTTTGATGAACGAGCCCTCTATCTTCTTGGTCACAAGAGGCTCGGTCCACGACTGCGAGTTTCACCAACACTTCAACAACACAAGATGTGGAACAGGGTCCAGCGCTCCGCAATCTGTCCGGCGAAGGATTCAACAGATCTCACGATGAGCCCCACATACTTTGTACTCTGTTCAATTGGCCAATCAAACCACCATCCGAGCACCGGGTACTGCTCCTTTCACATGTGACGTTCGGTGAGTGCTGTACAGGGCCTAATCGAGAAAGCCAATGCATTCAACGGCTGGGTATCAAAACAAATAACATCTGCGTCGTATCTCAACACGCTGAAAACTTCTCCTCAAACCCTCGCTGCAGAGGTAGATGTCCCTGGTGCCCCATCGCGATAGTATGCTCCACGCACAAAGTCAATTAAGGCCTGTCGTCGCTGCAGGACTTAGTGACCACACTACGAACCACACTTCTCATGGGTGCAAACTTCTGGATCTTTGCGAGCAGATCCGTATCCGTATCCACACAAGCAACGAGCAACTTCTCTACGCCTGGCATACGACGAAGCTTGTCATGCGTCCGAGGCGGATTTCTGGCAATGGCCTCAAGCGTCTCGGCCGATACGATAGTGTCTGGTTTGGTTTGTTGCTTTGTTGCGATTTGCCTGCTGAGTGCTACGAGCTTGTTGCGGAAGATTTTTGATCGAGGTGTGAGGGGCTCCTCTACCGTGGAGGTATTCGATGGCGGATTGGTCGGCGCAGCTATCACTCTTCGCACCCTTGGTGACACTTTGAGCGGCTGACTTTCAGAGACACCTTCCGAGTAGCGGTAGGTTTGGATCGTCTGTTGCAGTTTCTGCGAGCTACTCGGTGCGTCGTGCTTTGTTGGGCTCTCCATTCGTTTTCGTTTCCGGCCTGAGGTTCTTCTGGAGGGTGATCGACCGAAGTCTAGTGACGGTACGCTGTCGTCAGAGTCCTCGTATTCCGCTAGCTTCGTTTCTGCTAGTGTGAAGGACAATCCGGTGTGCAGTTGAGGTGTACGTGGGGGTGGAGGTGTACCTAAGGCCGGTGATGAGTCTGGTGTCCCAGGCCGCACAGTTCGTCTACGTCGTGAGCTGCGATCGGGCGTCGCAGGAAGCACAACCTTGTCGACTGTGCCATCCATAGTTGCGTGAGTAGGGTTCGCTGGTGCGCCAGCAACGTCCTCAGGTGCACTGATGCCGTTCTTAGCCATAAAGGACGATATGACCCCAATCATTTGCTTGCCGTATAACTTCTCTCGTTGTATTCCAAGACCTCTGACCTTCAGCAAGGACTCGCTGGTAAGAGGACGTTCCCCTGCAAGCCTTAACAGGATTTGGTCTGAGGCGACACGGTAAGCTGGCAATTTGGCCTCGGCAGCAACAGCTTTGCGCCAGATGCATAGTTCGTCGTGAAGAGCTTGTGAGGTAGAATCCAAGGATAATGTTATAGTCGACTTGGCCGCTATTCGGCGGACTACAGGCTGTGCTTCCTTATTTGCATAGTTGGATGTTGTCGTGTATTTAGTTTTGGCTGTGGACTTAGATGTCATCCTGGAGGTCGCCGCTGTCTTTTTGGACTTCGAGAGGTCTTCAGGCGCGGTTTGCACCCCGAAGAAGAACGCCGAAGTCATGATTTTGCCACTCTCTTCTGATGACTCCAGATACAGCGAGCTGACTCCAGCGAGCTTGTAGCTCAGGTATTTGTCCGCGTGTATGGGCAGAGGCGGAGTCGGCTTCATTTGAAGACGCTTGTAATTCAGGCAATGGTATAGCATGATCCCAGCGTACGCGTCTCCTGCAGCATATTTGATCTGCTCTTGCGACAAAGGTTTGCTCCAATTCGAGGTTCTCACATCACCCTTGTAAAGAGGGTGCTCAAGGTGTTGCTCGACCTGATTTGCAAGGCTCGTCATTTTAGTCGAGACAAGCTCCGGCTTCCGCCCTCCAAATGTGACAAGACGGTGCAAGTGGCTGAGCTCGACTGCTCCTTTCGGCTTCAGTTTGAAGTACCTGCTCAATCGGGCAAAGTCTGCGTTGAGTATGCCAACGCCAATTTTCCCAATCTCCGGGCTTTCTATCAACTTGCGTAATGACGGAGCCAGAAGGTCGTCAATGGTGTCTCCTGTGTGTAGCCCAATATGAAAGAGAGCGATTTTGTCTTCTGTGGCGACTTGGATGAGGCCAATCTTGTTCTGGAGTCTGTTTGGTTGTCTCCAATCGTCCCACGGCCATTCCATATCGAAGCCAACAACCTTCTCCTTGAGGAATTGCTGTGCCAATACCTCCGAATCCGCCTTCGTTTTGCTGTACTGAATCTTAACCCGTTCATTGTTTGGGCCTCGATACAAGAGATGGCTCCACCAGCGCTTTTTGGGCTTCCCTTTTGCGGAAGTAACACCAAATGCCTCCAGGCCTTGCTGTGGTTGGGGTTGTATCTTGAAGCTGAGTGGCCACTGCGTCGTTTCGCCGTTCAGTGCGCTCGTTGCATCTTTGAGAGCCACAACCTTGGCGGCAGGGTCCGTCATTCGCTTAAAGAGCCGAAATAGCATTCAAACACTGCTGATGAATCCAGGTGTTAGTGAAAGAATGATTGCTCATTGTTGATGAGTACCCGACCCTGGTCTATTACGCGGAGAAGTTGCCACCGCGCTAAGGCGCGAAAACACGTGCACGCTTGCTTCCTCCGGCCACTGTTATCCCTTCCTCCCAACTGAACACCTCCAGGCTGACTTTTTATGTCGGGCAATTTCTACACCTTGGAGTGTCCTTTGCGCTTGCCCGCTGATTCTGCAGAGTCCACTTTGCCGGCACCTGTTCCTCTACGTTCATGTGTGCTGAACCCTTGGGAGCGATTACACCTCAACATTTCTATGCTCTACGCAGGGCATAACGGCATTTTGCTCTGGCTGTGGCCTGTTGTTCAAGGCAACAATGGAGCTACTTCGATAGCGCTCCTAGCAGAAGTACGGCCTCTTAGCGACGTAGCTGACAGATGCTTAATTTTGCGGCTGCGGAACTGTCCAAGAGTCTCGAAAGCCACCATTTCTCGCCCTTCCGCCATCTCCTGCCGATTACATGCATGTTCAGAGTCATTGACAGGTTTCGCATCCGAGGCTGTCGTTGCTTGTTGCGCGAGACGTCTCAGACGTGTGCTTGTTTCGGCCTTCAGTCTGAAGACCGAGTCGAGGAACGCATTGGCAAGTCGAGCCGCACTGCGCGCAACATCATCAGATCACAATAGCGAAAGGCTTCTACTACCTTCTCATATCTGTTGTGGTTCTATCGTCATGCGCAGTGGCATTAAATATTCCTTGGTTGTTTGCTTGCTAATTTACGAAACCAACAAGAGCTCCCATGGCTTTATGCTTACACTCCACCGTGGTGCAAACTTGGAGGCCAATACTGACGGCGACATAGATCTACAGTACAGTAAATCTCGGTCTGAGTCAGCACAGAGCATCACCGTTGCCAAGGGTGACAGTGGAGGCTTCACGCGATACCCGTTTCAAGATCACCAAGCAGGGGCGTGATGGAATATGCACTCCAAGTCGAGTGTGACGACAAGTGCCGGCTTCGAGGCCGCTAGGCTTCGAGGCCGCGTACTCAATGCTTGAATGATATATTCAGGCCATTGAGTCTTCAGTTCTTCAGCACTTGATCTACTATATCAGATCGTATATATACATCCGAGTCTTCCTTCAGTTCATCTTTGCTCAACATACCCAATATGTACTTTGTATCATCATTGCTCGTCGCCGCTCTGGCAGGTCTGGCGCAGGCGCAAAGTGTCACTCCCTCAGGCTTCACTCCCTCAGCAAGGAGCAAGCTAGACGTCTTCTTCAACTCTACTATGGTCATGACACCAGGCCAGGTTCTATCAAAGGCTGGTGAGCAAGTCCCGCACATATTCAAGAACCCACATCTGACAGTAAGCAGAAACGGCAAGTCAACCGAAAATCGCAGTATCGAGTACAATGGCAAACATGAGCGCAACCTATATGTTCGTTATGCTCGATCTCGATGTCCCACCAGAGGAAGGAAGCACAAAGCGCCGTGTCCTACTTCACGCGATGAATACAGGGTTCAAAGCCACACAACAGAAGATCAGTGGGTCTGCTACCTTGCTTGCATCGACCGAGAAAGGTCCAGCAGCATACATATCACCAGGCCCGCCCCCAACAGACACCATCCCGCATCGCTACGTCCAGCTTCTGTTTCAGCAGCCTGCAGACTTGAGTGTTCAGGCATCCGATTTCAAAGACACTTCAGCTCGAATCAACTTTGACCTCAACGCGTTCATGACCAAGAACAAAGTCAGTGCTCCAATAGCAGGCAATTTCTTCATGGTCGATGGCCGGGCCAGTGCAACTGCAAAGGGAACCGCGTCAGCCAGTGGAAGCGGTGGTCTGGCAGGAAGCACCGTTCAACCGTTCACAGGCGCCGCTGAGAAGTTTGGAATCTCAACTGGTATGGCCGGTCTGTTTAGTGGACTTGCTCTGCTAGCTATCTAGCAGAGTGCTTGGGACGAAGAGGCAGCACAATTAGCCATATTGGCTGCTATTACTTTCACTTATTGTTCGATACCACAATGCACATGTTTGTTTCTCCAGCTGTTCGGCACACGCTCGGTACTTCGTGACGGACACTCGTCGATGTTCTGTAGCCTTCTTGCAATTGTGCTCAGGTCGACTGACCCGCCAGACAACACTATCCATGCCTGGCTTCATGGTGCACGGTCCGTCTCGTATTGCACCCAGCCACGTTGTCTGGCGGTGTAGTAGATTCTTCAGCACAATACCAGACCGCAGGATGTGAATGGTTTACAGGAAGTTTGACGAATCCTAAAGGTTCCCATGGGTGTCGCAAATCCAAGCATTCTCTTCGTCGAGTGGTGAAAAAAACAGCAAGCAACGCATGTTCATCGACAGATCTTCCGAGTGGATCTGGTAGCGTGTCGTGAACATATTGTGGTGGTATGCCCCACCGAAGGACTCCACACTTACACTTGAGCATCAGCTATCTATGACTTCAGACTCATCGCGGACAAGACTCGCCGGATACGAGGACACCTTGAGCTTTGGCCATGATACGACTGCATCGTCGGGCTGTCGGATGTGACTTTACTTGGCTAGTGGGCTATCGAATACGATCCGATGACGCCCAAAGTGGTATTGCCACCGTCTCATGTGACTTGATCTGCTCCCCAGATTTTACCGAAAAGCACGAAAATACCTTGACAACGCAGCAAATAGGGCGGGACATTCCTCACCCACAGGGCAGAGCCGCAGGTACCAAGACGGACAGGGCCCCGGGTGGCGATTTGAGTGGGTAAAAATCAAATTTTAGACATTGGCGTTGCATGAACAACGGGTACTAGCGACTTAGTGCGTGACGCTGGACCAGCCTCACACTTTATGTCAGTACGACCAGAAACACGAGAACCGACGTCATGTGCACTGAATGTTCTGTCATGAGTACCATAGTGAAGGTCTCCGAGCTTGCAAAGCCCGATCTCAAAGGTGACCTTGAATTCACATATAAGGGCCGAAATATCCTGCTCTTTCGTCTCATATCCACACCCACCAACCACAACCACTCAATCCTACAACACTTCCTTCTAATACCTAATCAACAACCTCCTCAACACATCAACAGCAACAGCAACATTCAAGATGTACTCCAAGGCTCTTGCCCTGGCTCTCGCTCTTACCTCCGTGGTCTCTGCCGGCCCTCTCAACAGGCGCCAGGACCCTTGCCAGGACACCTACAAGTCCTGCGTCGCCTCGGGTGTTCCTGAGGTAGCATGTGCTTGTGACCTTCAGGCTTGCCTTGGAGAGGACAATGCCCGCGGCCGCGAGTACTGCGCTTCTGCCACTGCCACCATCGTCCGCACATCCACACATGCTACACCAGTAACCACATCGATTCCTGGAGGCTGCAACCCTGCCCACCCTGGCTCATGCCCTTCTTCATACTTCCAGACATCCGTCGTGGCTCCTACTCCTACTAGCATTCCTGGTGGCTGCAACCCTGCTCACCCGGGATCTTGCCCTTCATCGTACTTCTCGACTGTCGCTACTCCCGTCGCGACTTCGATTCCCGGTGGTTGCAACCCCGCTCACCCAGGCTCTTGCCCCACACCTTCTGCCGTCCCCGTCCCTGCTCCTGGCTCCAACCCGGTGGAGACTGACAAGACATGGGCTGTCAACAACCTGAGCCGCTACTGCGGTGAGGGCAACTCCGGCTGCGACTACAACTTCGTCATCGAGGCCAACGGCAAGACTGAGCGCTGCACTGTCATCCGTATGCCCGGCAAGGACGCTGCCACCGAGTCCTGGTCCAACCAGCCCTGCACATCTGGCTCTCCTTACACCATCTCTTGGGGATATGCTGCTCAGCCTGCCCCTGCGTTCGCTGTCATGACCGTTGTTAACGGCAAGGAGCTTGCTTGGTTCGGTGTCTCTGATATCAATGGCCAGAAGGTCACTCCCTCTAACCCCTTCGGCTCCGGCCAGTACCCCAACACCACCGCTCCTGTCTACACTTACAACTAAGTGCGTGACTGAGTAAAAGGATAGATGTTACGACAGCGATAGAAGAATGATCTGAATTACGAACCTCAACTTGTACATATGTAGACTTAGCATACGAGCATAGCATAAACCTTAATGACTACAATCATATCGTTACAGCACAAGAGTCGTCTCAATGATAGTGAGCAATGCGATGACTTGAAAGTCTGAGGTTAAGATGAGGTTGATAATGGTGGGGCTGGTCAGCAAGATTGACAACATCGCGCTAGCTTAATCGGAGGCGCCCGTAGACCCCAGCTTGGTGTTCTTCACAACTCCTTATCTTCACCATCCCGTCACGTAAACAACGTCCCTATCTGCTGGCGGCAGCTTTGCAAAAGCAATTGCGAGACCAGGTGCTCTTCGATCTCGCGGCTTATGCTTCTAGTCTTGCAATTGCTAGCAAGTCTCATGATGCTGTAACTCTCACCGAACGCCACGCAAAGCGGGGACGGCCGATGTGCGGAGATGGGGTCTGGGGTATTTGTCTCCAACCACAGCAGCGGCGCGCTTACGGCGTATGTATACTTCCTATCTTCGGCAGATGTAAGGAACACACCACCGAGTTATTCCTGTGACGATGATTCTCTGTTTTCAAGCAAGATGCCGCCAATTGTCTTGCCAGCTTCGATTGACCACTGCAAGGCTGTTCGGCAGTGTCGCACGCTGTACGCCGGGATGGACTTTGCCTCTTTCGTGCAACGCGCCGAGATCAACAGCTGCCAGGAGCATGCCAGGACGCTGGGCATACCCCGCGGAATAACCTTAATGTTCAATCTTAAGTGAGCGTCCTGCACGTTCAGATCAACATCTTGTCTCGAATCGGTCCTTGGTCACCAAGTTACTGGTCTCCCACGAGCAATGTCGTCCTCTGCCATACCAGGTACCATTCAGCTGGTGGACATCGACCATACGGTGGAAGCACGTCATGCCGGCAATGGAGATATCGTCCTGCAACCCACGCCTTCGAATCATCCAGATGATCCACTCAACTGGACACCGCGTCGCAAGTTACTTGCATTGATATGCCCAAATTTGTGAGTCCGAACGAAAATACTTTGTCTACTCCGACAGAGCTGATGGGAACTGCCAGATATGTCTGGATGTGTGGTATCGCACAATCGAGCATCTACTCCGTGATCGTACCCCTTTCCGAATCGAACGGCATCTCAGTATCGACCTTGAACGAAGGCAGTGGTTTCATGTTCCTGCTCATAGGATGGAGTCAACTGTTCTGGCAACCATTTGCTCTCACATACGGAAAGCGCATAGCCTACCTCATCTCCATCCTGGGTGTCACAGCCATTACTCTCTGGAGTCCATACGTCAAGACCAATGGTGAATGGATCGCACGAAGTATCTTACTTGGCTTCTTTGGCGGCCCATACGATGCTTTGCCCGAAGTGTCTATCGCTGATATCTACTTCACTCATCAAAGAGGCACCGGTCTGAGTATCTATGCTTTCTGTGCTTTGGCCAGCAACTACTTCGCCCCGATAATCTCTGGCTTCATCGCGGAGCGACAGGGCTGGGAGTGGGTGTTCTACTGGCCCGCGATCTTCACCGGGTCGACCTTCGTCTTCCTGTTCTTCTTCCTGGAAGAGACGAACTATGACCGGGTCATCACCGGAACCGTCTTCGTGCCAGGCGCACAGCCTCCTCAAGATTTTGATGATGACGATAACAACCCGAAGACCTCCACGCTATCAGCAGTCCAAACCATCGCAAGCGGAGAAATGCGAATCCCAGCCAAAACAAAGTCCTTCACGCAAAAGCTCTCCCTCTGGCACCCCTCCCAAAACGGAACCATGCTCAGCCATCTCCGCAGCATTACTCTCTACCTGACCTGGCCCGTAGTCCTCTACACCGGTTTCTCGGCTGGCTCGTACCTAATCTGGTTCAACATCTTAAACGCCACCGCCTCGCTCGTGCTAAGCGACACACCCTACTTCTGGGGCGCCGAAGCTGTCGGGCTCAGCTATTTCGCGCCCATGATCGGCTGCGGCATCGGCATGCTGGTCGCCGGCCGGTTTAGCGACTACTTGACGGTCAAGCTGGCGCGTCGCAATGGTGGTGTCTCGGAAGCTGAGTTCCGCTTGTATCCGTTCATTGTATGTGTGGTAATGGTGCCTGCGGCTGCGATTCTGTGGGGTGTGGGTGCGGCGCAGGAGATCCATTGGTTTGGACTGCTTGTCGCGATGGGGAGTCTGGCATTTACGACTTGTCTCGGGTTTACGCTGAGTATCAACTACCTGATTGATAGCTATCCGGGGGTTTGTGGAGATGCAATGGCGGCGACTATCATTATTCGTGATACTATGATGTTTGCTGTCAGCTATGCGTAAGTATTCGAACTGAAATGGTGGTGCTTGGCTAACTCGATGCAGGATCACGCCCTGGGTTACCAACATGGGATATCAGAACTGCTTCATCTCCGCGGCATTCATCGGTCTGGCATGCGTATCAACATTCCTGATAATGATCAAATACGGCAAGACATTGCGCAAGCGAAGCAGTGACAAGTACTGGAGCATCGTTGGCGCTGGCGGTGGCCACTAAATATGCGTGCCTAGAAGGCTACGAACCAACAATACATCGTTCATACCCATTTCCAGTCCCCCATCTACCACCTCCCATCCACATCCCCTCTCGTCGTCAAATTCCCAAACGGCCCCAAACTAGGCGGTACATCCTCCGGCCCCGTCCCCCACTCGCTCTCCTCCGGCCCTAGCGTCAACTCCAGCACGCCACCTTCAAGGAAGAAACTATGCGTGATCCAATTCCTCGTATACGGCACCCCATCCAGCGTCGCACTCTGAATAAAAATATTCCCATACGTCGCATCAAAGTTGACGTTCCTCACCGTCGCCGTCTTACCCGTCTGCTGGTTCAAAATACTCACCTCCTCAAAGAACGGCGGGATAATGAAGTACACATCCTGCCCCGCATTAGGATACAACCCCATCATGACCAGCGCTTCAAAGCTGCCCATCGCACCCGAATCATCGTTCCCAGGAATCCCAGAAATCGTGTCGTTGAACAAGCTCGGGATATACTGGTGTGCTCTTTCCGCGCTCCTGCCCGGTCTGCCAGCATAGTGGTACAAGAAGACGTTGAGGAAGGATTGCTCGTTCCCGAGATACAGCACGCCAGAGTCGTGCAGCCAATCCAAGCGCTTGATAAAAGTGTCTGTGCCGCCGAGGGTGTCGATGAGCGAGGCCTGGTCGCCGGGCACGTAGAATGTGTACATCCAGATGGGCCCCTCGTACGTCTCGCGACCGGCGGGGTTGAGGTAGCAGCCTGTGAAGTTGAGGAGGGGTGAGCAGAAGATGGGGTCTTGGTAGCCCCATGTCCCGTTAAGGTAGCGTGGTTGGAGGAAGCCTTGAAAGCCTGTGTCTTGGCCTTTGACGATGCTGCGCTGGGTGGGATTGAACATGTTTTTCCAATTCCCACTCCGGCCCAGGTATTTGGCGGCGTCGCTAAAGTAGCCGAGTGCGCTCGCAAGGATGCTGATGGCGAAGTCGTTGTATGCGTACTCCACTGTGCGTGAGATTGAACGGGTCTCGAGTCCCGTGCCATCAGTGTCGAGGTTCTCAGTAGGAATGTAGCCGAGACTTTTCCAAGAGGCGAGGCCGCCGCGACCTTCGAGATTCCAGTCTGGAGGCTCGATCTCGGCGTCTTTGACTATGGCTTCGTAGGCAACCGCCCAATCGATGCCTGTGGTGATGTTCTTGAGGTATGCGTCAACGATGACGATGTCGGCGTTTGAGCCTCCTTGCGTGAAACCTGACTAGTTAGCATATTGTTGGGGGTGTTGAAGGGGAAGTGTACCTTTGCAGTGGTTCATTCTGCAGTCAGGAAGGTAGCCCGTGTGCTTATAAATACTCAAAAGACTCCTGACCATCAGTGTCTGGCTATGCGGATCCAGTATAGTGAGAAGTGGGTGTATACTCCTGAAAGAATCCCAGATGCAGTAGAAAGAGTCGTAGTATGGGTTTCCGTCATCCCAAAATGGATTCTCGCCCGTATAGTCTTGCGGCGAGATCATGGCGCGGTACACGCCACTCCAGAACGCGTTCAGAAGGACCTCAGAGACACCTCCGTCTTTCACGGTGACCACGGAGAACTTCTTTTTCCACGCAGCTTCAGCTGCAGCGACGATGCCATCAAAGTCGCTCATTACAATCTCTCGTTCAGCGTTGGAGCAGGCTTGGGCTTCGTTGATAAAGCTCATGCCGACTCTCGCTAGGACTTGATTTCCCGCATTCGGCTTTTCGAACTGCACCCAGCCACCCGCAGGTGTGTCACTCGGTGTTTGACGCTCATCGCCAGGCTTGATCTTGAGGCTTTGAGCTTGCTTTGATGCCCGAGAATTGGACCATATGCCTGCATCTTTGACATTTGCGCCATCGAAATCAAGACAGAAGTACGACTGGTACGTGCCGCTGCCAAAAGAGGGTGAGAACCTCCCGCCTCCTGTGATGCGTCCGCTGTCAGGGTAGACGGTGATATTGGCCTCGCTCCTGGTATGAGGAAGATCACTAAGTTCGACTAAAATGTGTGGACTTAGTGTCGTGTTTGCAGTTGCTGGAGTATCTGGAAACGTAAACCTGTATAAGGCTGTGTGATTCGTGACTGTCATTTCCGTTCTGATATTGGAAGTCAAGGTGATGTCGAAGTATCCTGGTCGTGCCCTCACCCTTCCTTGTTGGCGAGGCGTTGCGCGCTGCCCCTGGATGTACTTGCATGCGTTAACATCATTGTTGGGGCATCCTGCTTGTGCAAAGATGGGGAAGTTGCCGAGCGATGCTGATCCACCAGTGCCGCTGTCATGCATATGTGAGAAGCCGTAGATTGGTGACATGTCTGATGCAAATCCTCCCTGGTTCTCTCCGCCGTACGTGTCGGCTCCAGCTTTAGCCATGCCTGGCTACTTGTCAGAAGCTGAGACTGCTAAACTCACTGCAACTCACCAAACGGAAGTGTTGCGCCGGGGAAGACATGGCCTGAAGGAAGTCAGTACTCTTGAGTTTACAGATGATCAGGACCGTGTGCTGACCTCCGTTGATGGTTCCGATGAGCGGATTGACATAGTCGTAAGGCGTCTTGCCTCGAGCGTCTGGTTGACCTTGTGCGCTAGCAATAACCGCTAGACATGACCACAAAGCCAGGATGGCCTTCATTGTAGGGAAGGTTGATCGCATTGTGTGGTTCGAGGGTTCTACAGCTTGTTGGAATCAATGGGAGTGACTGCGTATCGTATGCGTGGATCCCGCGTGTATATATTGCCCTTCATTCCTGCCTTCTTGGCATGACACGATGTAACTTCCCTCCCTGTCATCCTTCATCCTGAGCACCTGCACAACGAACATCGTACCATAATGGCAATTCGTAAAAGGTTATTGTTGTGCTTGTAAGGACGTGATGTAACCATACTGCGTAGTGGCGCGGGGTACATCGTTAGCTGCAGATCTGTAAGACGCGGGGGATGTTGCAAGCAACTACTTTGTGCATGCACATCCGGTAATTAACAATACGTTGTCTTGGGAAAGTTGCAAGTACGCTGGATTTGAAGCGTCTAAAGTCTTCAACGGCCGGAGTTGAGGCATGGCAGCTGCAATCATTGTACATCTGGAAAAGCATTCAGTACGGCTCGTACCTCTTCTTGTCTTTCTTGTCTTTCTTCTCCTTTCGCTTCTCCTTACGATCTTTCTTGTCCTTCTTTGCATCTGCCCCTTCGTCAATGTCCATAGACTCATCAGTAGATGCCTTGGTCTTCCAAGCACGGACGTGGCCGTCTTCACCAACTGTATATGTAGTCTGTGTCTAAGCTGATGTCAATGCAAATCGAGAATGGAAAACAGATGATCACTCACGTGTGTATCCGTGAACAAATCTCGCACGATCTCCTCGCCATGTGCACCTGATAGCCTGACGCTCTTCGTGAGGTCATACTCGTACTGCAATGGCGCACCTGCACCCTTACGAATGGGCACAAGATCCAGACGACACTCACTATCCTCAGTTAGCATGCATCAGCCAGTACTGACCGCGACTGTACGGACCTGTGCTTTCCTGTCGCAATGAATGGCTGGCTGCCAACCCAGTGCATCTTCGCCAGGTACTCGCAACCCAACGGCTCCCTCACATCACCGAAGGCCTTCGGCGCTGGTTCTTCCTCCTCCTCTTTCTGACTCTGCAGAGCGTAGAAGCTCATCGTCTCATCGGTGCCGACCGCAAAGATGTCAGTGCTCGGGTACATAAAACCTGCATGTGCAATGGCGGATCCATGGTTGATGACTTGGTACAAAGCGTCCTCCTCTTCAGCTTGAGATGTGTCGAAGATGTTTACTAGACCATCTGTGCTAGATGAGAGGAGTAGCGTGGGGAGGGTTGGATGTAATTGAAGGGATGTAACTGTGTCTGTGTGTGATTCTAGGAAAGAGCGTAGCGGCGCTGACGGGTTGCGCTGGTCCCTAGATGATGTCAGAAATCAAGGTCCATCTGTGAAGACACGGAATCAGTACCAGACGTAGACAGGAGACTCGTGAGGTCCATCCTCTGGGTTTTCAATACCAGCAGCCACAAAGTTGTTTTGCGCATCACAGACGAGTGATGAGATAAGCTTGTTCGCTGCCCATGTCGTTAGCTTTTGATAGATGATCCTGTTTCTTGACCATGAACGTACGACTTTGGATTTCTAAGACCTTCTGTCTGCTTCGCTGATCCCAATATCTGATCAGTCCGTCTCTTCCAGCCGTTGCTATGACATTGCTTGGTGCATCGTTGGCCCTCTCCAAGCAGGTGATGCTGTTGTTGGCAGCCTTGACAACGCCGTTGACCTTGAGTGAGGCCGGATCGAGAAAGCGCAGAGAGTCGTCAGAAGATATTATAGCAAGCTGATCAGTCTTGGAATAGCTGAGCGGATCTAGCCGCGCCGCGGTGGAAATGATCCTGTAGATGTAGGAGTTTGGCGGCAGCCCAATGTCGGAATTGAAGGTCTGCACCGCCATCGTAGCGATGTTGTATTGCCCACCCAAGCCTAGGGTATCAATGTGGTCTATGGTGGAGTCCGGACAAGGAGACTAAGAGCAAGGTGATAACCACACGTCGATGAAAGTGAAGAGAAAAGTTTTTACAGGCGAGAGCGAGCGAGGTCATCATCACCATCTCATGGCGGTCACCAATCCATTGAAGACTCAAATCTTCGACAGAAAACACACACGATTACATTGATTACAGCGTGCAGTGCGCAGTTCAAGCTACCTGATGCGGCATGTGATGTCGCGTCTTGGAGGTAGTGGGCACGAGAATTTAGTTCGACCAGTCGACTGCCAACGACAGCTGCCATCGCACGTATCAATGTGTAGGAACAATTGAACACGTACTAGACTTGACTTTATTCAAAGTGCAAGCCTCTCAGATTTATATAGTATGTTGCCTTGATATGAAGCTCGTTAAGTTATTATTCAAACAGTACGAGTGATTAACGACGGGCGTCTCTCTCCGATCCCTCAGATCCCAGCCCACTACCATAACGGCAGCGAACAACGAGAAGTCACTCCAACGCCTTCAGCGCTTGCGCTCAGCGTTGGCGATAACGAGGTTCGTGAAGAAGAGAAGCGCAGCAGCACGCGTGCGAAGATTTTACGGGTCGCTTGCTTGTTCGCGCACGGACGATTTTGGAGGTTGAGTAAGCGGAGGATGCTGATTGGTGACGGCAAGGACCTCGGGAGTCGGAGGAAGGAAGGAACGACGACATCGATACGTGAAGGACCAAGACTACCACCTTCAAGGATCCCACGACGGCAAGGTCATTGAGACAGTGAAGGAAAGATGGCTTCTCAAAGAGTGTTCCAACTTGGCCTGCGCCGCGCAGCTGCCCCCAGCTTCAAGATCCAGCCCGCTGGCCGCACCATCCAGAAGAGGTACGTTCTCCTCAGCAATCCTCCACAATATCCCAGCAGAACGCATCCAATGCAGCTGTTCAGCGAGGCAGAACGCTCAACAAGAATAGCTATGATTGTTGTAGCTATCTCCAGCGGCAATTGCTCAGCAGCCGCTATCCTAGTAGCGCCAGCTGCAGCGCCCTCCACAACAAACACCTACCCACATCCCTTGACCGCACGCTAACATCCCCGCCAGGCTCGCAGCCACAGAATCCGCCTCGCAAGAAACCGCCGCCGAAATCCTCCGCAAGCAGCGTCTTAACCGCCCCGTCTCGCCCCACCTGTCCATCTACCGCCCGCAAATCACCTGGTACGCGTCCTCGCTGAACCGTATCACGGGCATCACTCTGTCGGGCTCTCTCTACCTCTTCGGGCTCGCGTACCTGGCCGCACCCTACACGGGATGGCACCTTGAGACCGCATCCATGGTCGCGGCGGTCGCTGCTTGGCCCGTTGCGGCGAAGGTGGCGCTCAAGAGCTTCTTTGCGTTCCCGATGTTCTTTCACTCGTTTAACGGGGTCAGGCATTTGCTGTGGGATGTTGGTGTGGGCTTTACGAATCAGCAGGTCATCAGGACGGGCTGGTCCGTCATTGGGTTGACAGTGGTTACCTCTCTGTACTACGTCTTCTTCCAGTAGACGTGGACGAGCGATTGGTCGCTAAGAGGTTCTGAGGAAGGGAGAAAGACAGAAAGAGCAGCGCGATCGAGGTGTGAGAATGTGTGGGGCTGTGAAAGCGCCAAGGGAGGTGGAGGAGCAGGTGCGAGGGTTCAGATGGACTCGTTTGGGGTGGAAGCACAAGTTGTACATTCTACATGTTTTCCGATACGAATTGTTCGATTTACAAGTTATCTTGCAACCTTGTGCTTGTCGCGCTTCTGATGCGCTCTTGGAAACCATGATTTGCGGTACTGGGTTTACAATTAACTCAGGCCCAAATCTGAATCGAAATCTAGCGCGTCTTGACGGTCTTTTTGTTGAACATCCCGGTTCGATTGCCCAGGGGCCTTGCCTTCCGAGCCTATGGTCGTCACATCTTTTTGGTATCAGCGTCTACTCCTCAACATTCGTTGCCCTGCCAGCTTTAGCCTGTTCTGCTCCATTTTGTCTCATCTCCATTGACCCCATTCGTTCCCTTGGTATCATCCCTCTGCCTCACGGTCCCCGCACCAGGCCCTAGGTCCTCCCCAATCACCATCCCACTAAAGTTCCCCTCCTCATCCACATACTGATCCATATTCTCCGCCGTAATCCACCCACTAGCTCCCGGCGCCGTCAGGTCATCCTCAATATCCTCTCCATTCTCATCAGCATCAGGATCTGGGTGGAGGTCCGCGCATGTGTTCATGGCGCTGAAGATGTCCTTGATGCATGTGCTCTCTGGAGAGGTTGCGTAGTTGGGCGGGAGTACGGTAAGTTCGAGGGTCTGGATGTCTTCTTCATCGTTGACGGTCTCGGCGTCGTTGAGAGAGAGGTTCATGTAGAGCGCTTCGACTGTGGACCTCCACTTCATGGTTGCGTGGAGGGCGATGGTGGGGTAAGAGATGGCGGCGCCGGTTGGTGTGGGGGAGGTTTGGAAGAGAATAAGAGATCTAGAGCTGTATCAGCTTCCATGTGTAAACATTGCGATTGTATGTAGCATACTCTGAAGTCACCCAGATATCAACATCCTTGATCAAGGTGTCGTCGCCGTCTGTTGTTGTGCTGAATTTGGCAAATACAGGATCCTCTTGCAATTGAGAAGGGGGCGCTGAGAGTGTGGCTCCTGAGTAATTCGCGTACGTCACTGGCTTTGCGCCGAAGAAAGTTGTCGGTGTCTGTTCCTGGTGCTCTTGTAGCGGGGTGAAGTCAGAGGCCTTGGGTGCAGTTTCGACGTGTCGAATTGACATTTTGGTGGTTGAAATAGAATATTGTGAGGTTTGCGACAAAGATGCTGTACTTTTGAGGACGTTGAGAGCTTTGGTAATGTGGATTGTAGGAGTGTCACGTTCAGGTAGCTGCCTTCGAAAAAGTGGCCGAGCGTCATAGCTCCTCCCCTTCGAATAGCTAGTGGGGTTCCTTCTACCTCCACTCCACGCGCACTCGCTCGGAAGGGCAGATCTTTGCGCGTCTGGCAGCCTCTTCCAGCTTCACGATGCCTTGAACGGCTTCAGATCTTGCGAAAGCCGCAAACATGTCCGCCTTCCCCACCAAGCCTATCGCCAAACTCACCGGCCACAATGGCATCGTACACGCCGTCGCATACTCTTCTGGCTCGCAGTCATACATTCTGACTGGCTCCTCCGATCGGACAGTTCGACTCTTCAACCCCCAGAAAGCCCCCACATCCTCGGTTGCGCCTCCCGTCTCGAGCGACTACCCGCCCGGTCTCGTGAATAAGTACAGCGCGCACGGGTACGAAGTCCTCTCCATCGATGTCAACACGGACAACGACAAGTTCGTCTCCACTGGCGGCGATAAGACAGTCTTTGTGTGGGATGTGCAGACCGCACAGACAGTGAGGCGCTTCACAGGTCACTCAGGGCGTGTCAACCGCGGTGTCTTTGGTGGAGACGGGGACAGCATCATCGCAACCGGGAGCTTCGATGGCACAGTCAGGATCTGGGATATGAAGTCCAACGCGTACAAACCGATCATGACGCTCGACGATGCCAAGGACAGCATTACGGATGTTGCCATACACGATGCGGAGATCCTGGCCGCGAGTGTTGACGGCAGGGTCAGAAGCTACGATCTCAGAACGGGCATGTGCCAGGCTGATGTCATCGGGTTCTCGTGCACGAGCTTGGACGTCTCAAAGAAGGGTACAGAGATGCTAGTCAGCTCGCTGGACTCGACCGTCAGGCTCATGGATCGCACGAATGGAGAGCTGTTGAAGGCGTACAAAGATGAGATATTTGTCAACAAGGATTTGAGAGTCAGAAGCACGCTCGGACTGAATGACAGTGTTGTGCTGAGTGGCAGTGACGATGGCATGGTTTTTGCATGGGATATCATGGGAGAAGAATGCATGCATCGTTTCAAACACTCGGAGATGCGCGAGGTGCACGGCAAGGGACCGGCAGTACAGCCAGCCAGCAAGAAGGAGGTTGTGTCGGCTGTAGCGTTTTGCAAGACCAGAAGAGAGTGGGTCAGCGGTGGTGGAGATGGCAATGTGATTGTTTGGGGAGCATGAGAACTTCGATAATGACCCTGAACGAGTTGCAGAACAACAACGACACACGGCCGAGCTTCCAATGGCGGCATTTCATCTCTGAATTCGGGCTGTATGCTGTTGACGTTCATGAAGATACCCATCAATGAGGGAGAGTTCCAAGGCAGCACCACGTCCTTCGAACTTAGCACCAAGAATGTCCAGAATGGATCGTCCGTCCGTATATCCTCACGCCCACCATCGAGTTCGAGACGGCAATTCAACGACTCTGCCCGAGTTACAGAAGCATCCTCCGCTTCAACGACTTATATTCGTCTTCCGCCTGGGCTAGGTTTCATTTGATACGCTGGTAATGGCTCATGTGTCACTCCAATCTCTAGCTGCGAGTTTTTCTCCTGCCAAGAAGGCCTTCTTGGTCGCAGGATTGCCAACCGAGACTTGGTTCGAAACCCTCTCTTCACACCATGCTTCCGTTTTCGATCCCAGAGGAACAGAAGTATGGCTCAAATGCCTAGGATCCCGATGAGAATGCCGACAATAATGGCTGCATGAGTGCTGTTGCTTGTTAGGCGGTGCTAAGGACGACCGGATGGCTGAGACTGCGTTGCTGGCATTGCTGGTAACTTCACAAGGGAACGAAGAAGTAGATGCTAATGATTGAGCCTGATGAGTTGGCCCGTTTTCTGAGGAAGTCGAATGCGAGAGCTCAAGTCGTGGCAATGAGGAATGTATGACGAACTGAGGGGGTACGAGAAGCATCATCCGCTACGCAAGGAGTACAGTCCGGCTCGTTTCCATGCACCTATGCACATCAACATCAGAAAACACTCACGGGTCCAAGGCTGCTTTATATACAGGCAATATTGTATGTACCACCGGTCTCACTGAGCTAGAGCCGCAACCCGCATGTTCCACGACAGCGCAGCCTATCAATGTTTTACTGCATTGCTCAAATACATTCACATCTGCAGGTTTCCTCCTTTCGGGTCATCAGATGCGTACTTGTCAATTGCTGTAGGGCTGGAGGACCTGCTCTGACATCTTGGCAGTCTGACAGGTACATTAAACGGTAGGTCAGCATCGTTCTATTCGTACCAGACGGCACATGTGACGCCGTGACGACCAAGGATCAGGAGATAGGCTCACGCGATACCTCGCGCTTCAGCCTTGCTGACTGTCTCCGAGGACTGTGATTGCAACATGGTGTAGGAGGAAGTAATGAAGCGCTCGCTCTTACGTTGTTCGCAGGTTGTGACGTCAAAATTTGTCGACGGAAAGCACCACCTGCGTCAAAGTTCAATAGCCTCACCAGCACTCTCCATCTGTGCTCCCTCATTTACATGTCCTCACTTCTCGAAACTCGTTCCATCCACAAGCAACTCCGTGGAAATCAGTCACGTGCACCTGCATCGGCAACAAATCTGCTCTCCATCCGTTTCGACACTGTCCTAACCTTCAATGCTACCCTTCGATGAAGGCAATTGAATGCGACGACAGGCGGTCATCTCCGCTAAGGTACCGCAGCCGTACGGGTACTTGTGTCTGTCTGTGTAATATGAGGTGGTAATACCACAAATGGTTGGTTCTCTGACAACTAGTACTACTCGGCGCGACCCATCAAACATCAAAGACCTGACATTTGCGGGAGGGCAAGAACAGACTGACAATCAATAGATAGCCATGCGACCTATTCGAAACAGTGTATCGTTGCCATTGTGGCCAAACAATCGCCAACCATTGCCAAAGCTGCAATAGATCTTGTATATACCTTCACAAGTCCAGCTGGAGCAGGCTTGACTTCATTGCTACTCTTGACTGCCGACAGGACAAGTATGGCTCCGGTTGTTACACAGTAGCGGCACCACGCATGCTCGTTCCTGAACATACCGTTCCATCACTGAGTATAGCAGAGCATGTACGGCATGTCGAGTGAGTTTTAGACCCACACTATCAATATTGTTGCTGATCTGTAGATATCGCTCGAATAGCTTGTTCTACACTCAAACTTCCTACAGAACCTCGCTACAACTTGCTCGATTCTGACAAGCTTTACAAAGCTATAGTCATGTACGAACAATCTGACCGATCCTTTAAACACCATCTACCGAGGATGTTATCGTTACTCTCCCCGCCACCGTACGCACCGCCTGACCAACGGGCGTCCACTCTACAGCGCCCCGAACGACACGACGATTACCGTTGCACAATATCTCGACAGGCTGCCGACATCACTATAGTTGACATTTCAATCCACCTGCACAAGCACATTGATACTGACAGGATCCCCTGCTGGCGAGTACGCAGGAAGCTCATCGCGCTCGACCAACCAATCTGCGCTCACAGACGTACGTCCGATCCAGCGTTTTTCAGAGCAGTCCGCCGTCGAATGAACACGTTGTGTATCTCATTTGGCTCCAGAGAATACTTGCCATTCTTCGGGAGGTGGACCGATAGGAGTAGAGCCTGGACGTGCAAAGAAGAGGGGTGCAACATGTCAGCTTGGATCACGGAAGACCGCGACACTGGAAATTTGAGACTCCATGCCAGGACCTATTGGGCTGGCGAGCTAGACGAAGCTGACGCGACTTTGTTGGAGGCTGTGAAAGTGAGGGCTCAGGAGGGTGGAGGGCTGAGTTACGAGTAAAGAAAGGTACGTATATATTAATCGCTGCCTTCCTGCAACTCCACACCAACTTACTTTGCCCAGAACAGCTCTTCGTTCTCCGCATCGCTGCAATGTAGTTGCTGACCGTTCGCGGTCACTACATCTATCATTGTGACATACTGGCATGCCCAGCCCCAGCTTTGCAATACACGTCAGAAAGTGCAAATTCCAGCTTGCAAGCAGTGAAGACCTCCATGATTAAGCTTCGTACAGAGCTAGCAGCACCGAAATCACCGGTCGCCGACGGCAATAGGTACGCACCTTTGATCCAGAAACGAAACGATCACATGCTCCGCACAATCAGCCTCCACTATTCATTACCGTGGGTTCAGGGCTTCGGTTCCACCAAAATACATGCGCAAAACCTCACCGGCAATACTATAAAGCCTGTCACCGTGTCCTAGTAATTTTCTTACAACAATCACTTGTATACCGATCTTGACCCCATCCCCTTCGCAATGTTTGATAAGATGACTTCACCACCGTACACGTCTCGCGCCAATCCCACGCACGATCCAGAACAACATAATCATGGCCGCAAGGTAAACGGTACCGCGCACATGAGGCACAAGACAACCGCGGTCCTAGCGATACGTATCTACAAGAACACTTCCGCTAACGAGATCACCTACTACGATGTCCGCTACCGGCTCTCATCTCCACTTTGGCCTTAACGCCAAACCTCGGTATGTACACATATATCTTCAACCAACTAGAGCTTCCTCGCGGACACATCGCGCCCCCAAAGGCTAGTTGGATTTTTGCTCCTCCAAAATTTACCGGTCCTTTCCAGGAGGAAGGGTGACGCTTCAAAAAGGTATTCTGTGAGGCTTACAAGGCAACGGCGTGGCTCACCCAAAATCGGTATACAGGCGTGCTCATGCTGCACATTGAAAGGTCATGGGACGAGACCGTTGCGCGAGAGAAGAAGGATTGTGAGAGATGGCTACGTCTTGCGACACACGAACTGTACCATTCGACAATCAAAGGGGGGAGTCTGAGAGTGTGCAGGGACGGGCTTGACCAGGAGATAAGCAGGATTGACGGCATAGAGGGTTGGCATGAGGTGACGAAGACAATCGGGACAAATGCTTAGTTACTAGGCCTGCTACTTCAGGTTGCCTGTCTAGGACTTGTTCCTGAAGAAGGGTAGCATAGCTTCAATAATCATTTCCACTCTATATCATAATCTACAAGATGCATAAACGCCACGAATGCAGAACTACAACCCATCATCACCAAATAATTCCCATCCCCACACCCATCGAACTCAACACCACAGCACTACAGACCACAATCGCCGTCCACCCATCACCACTCGGCCTCAGCCCAGCAGCAGCATCCTCGCTCTCGCTCGACCCTCCAGCACCCTCTTCCGTCCCGCTAGGATTACTATGCCCACCACCAGTCTGCTGATCCCTCGTTGTGACACTGCCCCTTACACAAGCACCCTCATTCAGGGCGCCGTTATTCCCCCACGCCACCTCCGCCGTCTTCTCCCACAGTGATGTGACGTTGAAGTACATATCCGGCTCATACCAGATCCTGCAACTCGCTGTGTCATTGAGGAACTGTGTCGGCACACCGGCACCTTCTTTGCCTTTACGGATGTTATCCTGGAAATTCACACTCGCATCGCTGACACTGATCGCAAACGGATTCGGCACAAATCTTGCCCACTCACTTTGCTGCGTCCTACTATCCGCAAACTGCGCAACCACGTACTGTGCCAGCGCTTGCAAGAAATCGCTCGGTGTGACGAGCGTGCCTTTTGTCCCGCCCACGGGAGCCATGGGCCCGAGTTGCGGGCGCCCACCCACAGCGATCGTGCGTACGTTGGACTGCTGGACCATGAGTTCGAGGAATATGGCGCATGTGGATGCGCAGATACCATCACTCAGGATGACAATATCTTCGGCGCGGAAGGGCGGTGTGGTGAAGGAAGCGCGGTCGTTGTAGCCTGTCACTGTGATGCCGATTGCCAGCACCTCGCTGGAGGTTGTGGTGGGGTCGGACAGGTTGTATTTCAGCAAGCTGGTGAACTTGTCGTTGTGGTGTTGCACAGGGGGGTACATGTCCGCCCAGGTTCCGAAGTCATTGCCGTTGGCGTCGGTGTAGGACGCTTTGCTGAAGGGGCTGACGTACAAGTTTGCATTAAGCGCAGTCATTGACCGGAACGATGATATCGATTCGCCGTAGATTTCGCTGGCTGCGTGGCCGCGCCAGCGGGACTGGGTTTGGGGTTCTTGGTCCGGGAAGAACTGCTTGTACATGTCGTAGCCGGAGAGAACTTTGCCGCCGCCGTTTTGGCGCACGTCGATTATGATGCGTGTGACACCGCGGGATTGGGCTTCGGAGATGAATTGCTGCGTTACTTGTTGGAACTCTTGCGCACCGGCTACGTCGTCGGTGTTGAATGTGCCTACGACGAAGACTCCGATTTCGCCGGCTACAGTGTTGACGAAGTAGCCTGCAAGTGGTACAAAGTCAGCCGAGTGAGCTATCGCGGGCTCTGGGTAGTTCAGAGGAGCTGATCCGTGCTGGATCGTGTTGTAGCCTTGTATCTCGTGGTCGCGAGGGTTCTCGAGGTGAAATGGAAGTGCATTCGGATCTCTCTTCTTGGCCTTGGTTCCTGACGAGCTTGATGTTTGTGGTGAGACGTAAATCTGGTAGAAGTCCTCCCTGCTGAAGATCTCAGACCACGTATCTGACTGCAAAACTACTGCGGCATTGGTGTACTCCCTCGTAGTCCCGTTCTGGTAGGTGACACTTGTAGTAGGCCCCGGGTAAAACCGTGGACTTGTGAAAAGTCCATAGGTCTCAGCGCTAGCCATGAAGAACAACGCGTTGTATCTGGTGTCCGGATCGTGGTAGGCGTTCATTGCCGCTTCTGCCTGAAGAAACTGCTGCACGTCCTGCCCGTCGATTTGGGTGATCGGAGACGGTTCGTAGCCTGACTGCGAAGCGTTGTAGTCGCGGATGGACCAGACTTGAGGTACGGCACTTCCGTCTCTTGACGCAGAGATCAATGCAATGTTGAGGTCCCTTCGCCACCTGAAAGCGCCGCCATAGGCCATGCCGTTGAAGTTCAAGTGCCCATCGTGAGCTTTGATGAATAAGGCTGCAATGTCGTTCTCGAAGTCGTACTCGTTTGTGTACGTGCCGTCATTGACTTTGGAAGCGATCTCGTCCAGTCCAGCGAGGATATCTACTGGTTCGTTTGGCCAACCTGTGGGAGGATCTTTAAGGTACGTTATCGTCGACTGAAACTCAACCATCTGCTTTACGGAATTGACCGTGAAGTTCGCCGCCTCCGCAACTATAGGAACGGATTTGAGACATGCGTACGCTAGCTAGGACGGCGTCAGAAGATGATCTCAGCGTAAGAGGGTAGTAGTATCCGGTACGCACCTCAGCTTCGACACTAGGAAAGCGTAACCTGGAGCCCGAGATATATCTTCCAATTTGAGCACATGCTTGCCCTGTTTGTATTGGCCCCGATACTGTCTCTGTAGCTGTTGGTTCGACATCTCCTACTGACGAGAACCGGCGGGTGGTTGTGATCAGAAACGGTTGTGACTGTGCTTGTGCTGTAGCAGCGACAGCTATAAGCGTCGAAAGGACCTGGGAGAGTCTCATATTGGCAGATGCAACAACACAGGTCTGTCGTGCAACTACTGCCGAGCAAATGTGGAAATCGATCTCTTGTTCCTAGCCCTGGAGGTATTCAGGCCCCGGTTCAACACGTCCTCAGCAGGGATGCCCTTCTCTTTACCCACAAAACTTGACCGACAGCACACAGCAAACAGGGACCAACAACAGAAAAAAAAAGGATCAGTATCAGCCTCCAGCAGATGCAGGGCCCAGCGCAGTTAACATCTTCCCGCCACTTTGCCTGAAAGCCTTACCGGATTTCCACCATGCGCAGCCACTCGTATACGTCGGCCGCGCACACCAGCCTTGGAAGTTTTAGGCTTTTAGGTTACAGGAAGGGCCGCCTTTGTCCGCTTGAGACTTAGCGACAGCGATCAGCAAATCATGGGCCTGTTTTGGGCGCCATATGCACGCCTTTAGTGGGATGCCCAGACACCAGCTGAGGCGGCTGCAGAAAGTCGGGTGCAGGCACACTCGGAACCTGGCGATGCAACGCGGCGTTAAGGCTGGCCATGTGTGACGGGTTGTGTGGCTGTGTCGTTTTGCCTGGACGAAGTTTTTGAGTGCTTAGAGATTTGAGAGATGACGACATGGATTTGTGTGCGATATGATGAGTTGGTGATGCTCGAGTAATATATACGGCTGAAGTGCAGGGTTCTGGTGAGGTGAGACTAGTACTGGTTTCTGATTGGGTGTGGATTTTGCTAACTTCTGTTTCAAGGCAGGTACAACCTTCAGCCCTTCCACAACATCGGCCCAATGGCTAAATTTGGAAGGTTTGCAAGAGTTATATGCACGCGCATAGCCATGTTCAACTCGGTGCTGCAGCTTCGATTGACGATCATGCTTTGAAGTAGTTTCGCGCTCCAGGCCTACGACCTTCATACACTACGGAGTACACACATCTCCGCTACAGCCAGATTCCAGAGTTCTCAAGATGAGAATGGCATGATAGAAGACAATTTAGAAAAGGCCACTAATCTCTCCAGACTCTCCTTCGACCAATACTCCTCTCTCGGCCAATACCCCTCATACACCACACTGCCCCCCGGAAGATCAAGCCATCCATGCCTCTTCTCGTCGCCAGCGAAGATATGTGCATGTCCTTCAACCCGCCATTCTCGACATATCTCCCTGCGCATCCATAATGCCATCAATCGTGCCCATTCTGATGATCTTTAGAGGCCCGCCGGCTGCGTAGTGGCTCCAGATTACCGTGTAGCAGTGAGGGCAGCGCACCATCGTTTGTCCAGAAGGGGAGGAGGCGGTGGGAATGGGTATGTGTAGAAGTTGGGACTCAGTGATGGCGGATGTGAGGACGACGTGGTCGGGTTCGTAGATGGCGTTGAGGGCGAATGAGGCCGGTTTCGCGCTTGCAATGAAAGCAGTGGCATACGTGGACGATTAGGGGCACGGAACAGAGGGCGTAGCTGGTTTGCGAGCAGGGCATCGGTCGGTTAGCGGGTAGGCGTTAAATGCTTGTAGGTGTATGAAGCTATTGGGAAGTGAGCGAGAGGAGTATGAGTTGCGCGGAATGAAGGTGTGAGTACGGGTTTGGTTCTGGCGAGGGTTGTGTCATTTTAGATACTTCTGCTGCGGTGCGTTCATCTCTCGCACCTTTGTTTATCTGCTGGTCTTGTTTCAAAGACCGGCACCCTTCGTTATGTACAAGCTACCGGATCATCACGTTTTTGCGGACGCGGATTACGCAGTTCAACTTCATGATCATTCAGCACATCAATATTCACAATATCAAGAGTGCTATTCTTGAGATTATCAAAATTCTTCTCATTTGATTTTGGGTTATTCAAGGAGGTTGTGGTGGTCTTGATGCTGCATTATGAGAGGGACTGGAGCAGGAGCCTCACCAGCTGATCTGACCTCGTACTCTCGCTAGCCCATGCCCGTTAACGCCACACCCACATATCCTGTATTGCCAAGAGCCCTCATTAATGCACTAAACAAGCGTCAGCCGATCCCGCATAGCCTTATCAGGCTGCTTAGACGGCCTGATGACATCTTCGAGACAACCATCTTCCGAACTCAATGTCGACAACTGCGGTTGAACAACTCATTTCCTCTTCTCCTCCATAGCTTTGAGCTGTTCGTCTCTCCATTTGCAAGCTTCACTCAAAGCTCTTTGGGGCTCTCGCTTTCTTGTCAAAAGGTAGCCCTGGATAGTTGCAGGCGAGAACCTTCCCTCTGGTAGCTTGTCCGCGAAATCTTGTGCCATCTGTTTCAAAGTGACCTTGTCGAGGGTCTGGGTAACGGGCTTCTCGAACAGCAAGTCTTCGATGTCGTCTTCGTCTTCGTCGTCATCCAAACTACTGGCGCCCTTGGTTTTTGGCTTTGATAAGGGCTTTGTTTGGTCTGCATCGCTCGACTTCTGTGCATCGTCGTCGGTACCATACATGCGCATGAAGATATCTTTGATCTGAGTGTGCGTCGCTAGTGAGAACGGAATGCGAACATCCACTCGTCCGGGTCTGGTGAGAGCATCATCTAGATTCTCAGGGTGGTTGGTGGTCATGATGAGGACGCGGCCTTCGTGAGATGCGACGCCGTCGATGACATTGAGCAGTCCAGCCAGGCTGATCAGACTCTTTCGAGGTCCAGGAGGCTCGTTTCCAGGCGTCTTTGCACTGCCTGGTGTAGTCGGTGTGGTAGGTTCAATGGGTGGCGGATCGTCGTCGCGACGCAAGCCGGCAGAGTCAATGTCCTCCAACAGAACAATACAACGTCGTGGGAGCTCGGTGAACAGCATGTTTAGATCAGCTTCAGTAAGACCAACCTCACTTAGGGAGATGCAGTAGATGTGTAGTCCGAAAATGCCGGCTAGGGCAAACGATAGTGAAGTCTTGCCTGTACCTGGGGGCCCGTGGAAAAGATAGCCTCGTCGATACGGAATGCCTCGTGCATCATACCAGCGCCTTGTCTCAGGCTGGAGGTACTCATTGATGTCGCTGACGATGAGTTTCTTTTCGTCGCGACCAAGGGACACAGTGCGCATGGGTCGCGATGCTCGATTCGACTGTCTCTCCCATCTGGTTTCGCCGCCGCTATTCTCATTCTTGGGTAGTGGGCGATAGATGCTTGTGGTTTTGTTTTCGTTCTTCAAAGTCCATTGCTTGACGTGGAGAAGAAGATCCTTGATGGGTTGCGTACTTCGACCGATGCAGCGGATGGTCATGAACTCGTCGTACTGATCTCCCCACCAGTTCTTCTTGTCTTTCCTGTCCCTAGACAAAGTGAACGTGCGGCCGTCGTAGACGAACCTGTCTAACCCGTAGTTGGGTTCGTAGCGTGGCGGGACATTGCTAGCCCATCTCCCGTAGTTGAAGATTCCATCATCACCTGACATGTCGTTGTCGTCGTCATTGTCGTCATCGGAGTCATGATGGGTATTTCGCGGCTTTGTGTGTGCTCTGAGATCTCTGCTAATCCTCGTCATCCTTTGCTGTGTGACCCAACCCACAACTTCCCCGTATAGTTCGTCGTCGCCGTCGATGGAGATAGAAGATGTAAAGTAACGGTCAAAGTAGGAGTATACATGTGAGTTGAGGAAGGAAGCAGCGTGTGAGAGACCAAATATGACAACACAACCGGAGGCGACTAGGCCTATGTCAATACCGAACAGACGCAGAATGATCTGCGAAAGGATGCCATAGCCAGGAACGAAGCTATCCAAAAATGAAGAAGGTAGGCTGGTCGCAGAGACATTTGATGCCAAAAAGTCCGGTCCAAGGTGCTGTAGACGTGAGAAGTCCATGTCGTAAACGTTTAGCACCAGCCAGCGGGAAAGAACAAAGAATATAATGTGAGTGAGTAAAAAGATCTTGTGCGCCCAAGAAGGCTGGTAACCTCCAGGCTGGGACACGATGGACGTGAGGTTGCCTTTATAGTGCACAGTCAGCACCGGGGACAGCGAGACCATGCATAAGCGTCCTCTGCAACAGGGCCAACATGGGCAATGGTAAACACTAGCCAGCTGGACCTCAGCTTCGTTGGCATGAGCCTGCACTGTTGCCTGGACCAATGATGAGCTTAAAGGGCGTTGAAGAACTAGTGCGCAACACAGGCTGAATCTGCGCAAAACAAGGCTGAATCAACGTTCACCAGAGCAAACAATGTGTCGCGCGGTCCGACCTGAAGCGGTCGAAGGGCTAGCAACATGCACGGTCGTTTCATTCATTATTAGCGTTTCAGAGAGATGTTGAGGTGATTGCGATGATGACATAAGGCAGAGACTGCAATGTTGTGGGCGGAGTCCAGGGCTGTCAAGGAGGAAAGTAGGGGTCGTGTGGTGTGGCTGAGTGGCTGTGCGACGCCACATGTGCCAGCGGGCAGTCGCGACGGATTGCATTGCAAACAGCTCGACAACCTCCACACCCCCTGTAACGATGTTATGATCTTTAGCGGTTTCTTTGTGTACTGCCACGTCTAGACACCACCATGGATGATCTCAATGGCCTTGACTGGTCACAGCCCGCCAAACAGCCCGCGACCACCCCCGCGGCGTTCCCTCCCTTCCGCCAGAGCCCCACGCAGCAGCTTTCTGGCCGCTCCACACCTCTCTCGGAGTTGTCTACACAGCAGTCCAGAGGCGCTCAACAGCCCAACCCTTTCAAAGCTTCCTCGAAACCCGCGACCCCCGCCAATGACAGCTTTGCCAGCTTGATCTCCAGCAAGAGCTCGAGACCCGCGGGATGTGGCCTCTCGTTGCAGGAACGGCAGAAGCAGCTTCAGGAAGAGAAGCTGAGGCAGGAGGCAGAGCGCAGGAAGCAATATGACGCAAGCTTTGGTGGCGCGGACTCGCAGTTCTGGAACAATGTAGAAAGCGGGAAGAGCACACCGGAGCCCTCGACTCTGGGAGCCATTCCTCTACCTGGCCCGAATAACCCCTTCAGCAAGCAGACACTGTCGCAGACTATCAACAAGCCATTCGCCGGTCTCGACACTACCTCGAAGCGCCCCATACCATCTCCTCCCGCTGACGACCTCCTCGCTGCATTTAACTCAGCAGCTCCGGTAGATAGGTCGAGCCACTTCCCTCCTCCCTCCAACAGCAGCGGCCGAAGTACTCCGGCGCTCATTGCGACCGCTTCGAGGGGCCATACACCTCTACCGCAACCTTCAAACGTATACGCGTTTGCAGACGATGATGATGATATGTTCGGTCTCAAACAAATGGCACAGAAGTCGGCGTCACCCGCTCCCCCACCACCCGCCAACAACGATGATGACGACATACTTGGCTTACTGGGAAAGCCCGTGGAGGAGTTCAAAAGGGAAGAGCCGAAGCCAGCCGTGGAGGAGCGTCAACAGGAAACACGACGTGAGAGGTCTTCGAGTCCCATGAACGCTCATGACAGAGCTGTTGCTGAGCTTGTAGACATGGGCTTTTCAGCGGACAAATCTGCGATTGCACTCGCGACTACTGATTCTGGGCTAGACGTCCAAGCAGCTGTAGGATGGATACTGAACCAGGCGCATGCGGAAGCTAAGCAGCGAACACAAGAGCCCAGCCAGGATCGTTCGCGGCGAAGACCTGGCGAGTCGCAGGAGCGCCCAAGTCGAGGCAACAGCAGACCCAGCGCAAGGGAAGGCCGTGGCAATGAGCCTGTGCCAGCTTGGATGCGGGACGAAGATGCTCGAAGTCGCTCGGGCCAGCGTCGACAAGACGGACAGAAGCAAGAGAAGGACGTCACGCAGGTTGCCTCCGAGATTGGCAGCAGCCTGTTCAAGTCGGCCAACTCGCTCTGGAAGACAGGTCGAAAACAAGTGCAGAAAGCCGTAGCCGACTTCCAGCAAGATGGTAGTGACCCGAGTGTCCCCAAATGGATGCGTGATGCACAGGCGGCGGAAGCAGCACCAAGGTCGAGCAGGCCACAACGGAATGACGCTAGCGCAACCGACGAAGCCATGATGTTGGAAGCTGGAGGACGCCCTACCAAGCCAGCCCGGCAAAGTGAACAACGCCAGCGACATGACGAATTGCCGGTGCGACAGAGGAGAGAGCAGGATGCATCACGCAATGGCGTCCCAGACAGGATGTCATCGCAATCTCCTGCTCAACGTCAGCCCACTCCGGGCTTTGACAAGAGACCTGCAGCGCGATTGACTCGGCAAGATGTAGAAGAACAAAGCGCTCAAGCATACGTCAGTCCAGCGCGCCGGAAGAAAGCAACACCACAGCCTCAGCCGGAGGTCGATTTATTCTCGCCGGAACCCACACCGTCAGCATTCAAGCCGCGCCAGCCAGTACAAGCTCAGTCGAACAATCCATTCCTTCAGGCAACCTCAACACCCAAAGCACGGAGTCCCGCTCGCACACCTTCTCCACCCAGGCCGAAAGCACCGCCTCGAAGAATACCCTCCGTATCTTCATCCGCGCTTAGCACGTCTGCTAGGGACCGTCAGAAGGGCTCAGAAGCTTTCAAGCGTGGCGACTATTCTGCTGCCCATACCGCTTACTCGTCTGCATTGGGTCCTCTCCCTGATACACATCCAGTGACAATCATCGTACTCTGCAATCGAGCTGTGACCAACATCAAAGTCGGTGATCCGAAAGCAGCGATTGCCGACGCCGATGCTGCACTAGCTATCATCGGCGTATCCAAGGGAGAGGGCGAGAAAATCGCTTCAGGCGGTACTGAGGGTGACAAGGACATGAAGGAGTTCTACGGCAAAGCACTGATGCGCAAAGCGGAGGCGCTTGAGCACATGGAAAAGTGGGCAGACGCGCACAAGGTCTGGAAGGTGGCCGTACAGGATGGAGTTGGCGGTGCCATAAGTATATCAGGGCGCAATAGGTGTGAGAAGGCTGCTGCCGGCGGGAGCAGTGCGTCTGCGCCAGTATCTGTCAAGCGCCCGCCTGTCCGGAAGCCAGCACCAAAGCTATCTGCAACGTCAGATCTCGGTGGTAGTGCCCCTGATTCGGAAGCTGTAAAGAGGCTGAAGCTCGCGAACGCTGCAGCTGAGAAGGCTGATGACGAGAAGTTCGCTCTTACCGATCAGGTCGACGCGAAGCTCATAGCTTGGAAGGGTGGAAAGACCGATAATTTGCGTGCGCTGCTGGGATCATTGGACAACGTGCTCTGGCCGGAGGCTGGGTGGAAGAAGGTCGGCATGGGCGATCTTGTGATGCCGAACAAGGTCAAGATCAATTACATGAAGGCGATTGCTAAGGTGCATCCCGACAAAGTACGTTGCACACCCTGAACCTGCTGGATTATGGAAACTGACTGGTCCCTGCAGATTCCGCAATCGGCCACCACAGAGCAGAAGATGATAAGCGCGGCAGTCTTTGCAACGTTGAACGAGGCTTGGGACAAGTTCAAGACGGACAACAACCTTTGATCTCGTGGGCATCGAGACCTCCATCTTCCACAGAGCACCAGCCTTGTGCGAATGAAATATGATCTTCGCTCATTGGATACAATATAGACATTTGATACCTATCACAATCTATTTGTTTTGGCTGCCATTATGTTCGCATGAAAAATCGCACGTGATGCGGCTCAATTCCGGTCGCACTGTGCCTTGCAGCTTACCCCGGATCTGACTTGACGCTTGGCATTACCAACCGCTCCCAACTTTTCATCTGTGCAGTCATCGCGGAGCTATCCATCGACGTTCCATATCCGTTATTTCCATCAGCTGTCTTAAAGACATCTGATTGGATTTACCTCAACCTCTGCTTCGTATACACAAGATATAGACAACAGCAACTGCAAGAGAAGGAAGCTTGGAACGGTCTTTTCTTTGAGCACGCGCCATTTTCTTCAAAGGACACACCCAGCTTCGCATTACCTGGCCAACGCCGCAAACTACTGTTGGAGCTACTTCTCAACGCGTACGGCTCCTGGTATCTCTTAGGAACCTGTGTCTTGACGCGACAGACCGTGACTGAGACAAAAGAGAAGGATTTACTGAGGCTTGAGCGTGCGCATACGTCATAGGCAAAATGTTCCCTCCAACCCAGGGCCTGCGGCTGGATATCGACGCGATCAGTCAGATCTTTGGATCGATCAGTATTGCTTGTTGGATAGGTAAGCCTTTTCACACATCATTGCTATGGATGTATGGTGTTGCTGCTGTATGTGCATTTGGAAAGGCCACCAACTCACACAATTACAGTCGTGTTTTCACCTCAAATCATCGAAAATTGGAGAAGAAGCTCTGCAGAAGGCCTTTCTGTTGTCTTCATCATAATATGGCTTCTCGGTGACTTCTTCAACATCTTCGGCGCCGTCCTACAAGGCGTGCTACCTACAATGACCATCCTAGCCGTGTACTACACCCTTGCCGACATTGTCCTACTGCTTCAATGCTTCTGGTACAAGGGATTCACCCTTCGCGACGTCGTCAACAAGCCCGGAGACGAGTCAAACGAGACTGGTTCGCCCGTAAGCGAAGACGAGCCGCTCCTCTCTGACCGCCACCAAACAAACGGAGCCTCATACGCCAGCATCGTAGCCAATGGCCACTCCAACGGCAACGGCAATGGCATGCCACCCCGGATCTCGAACGCAGATAGGCGCCACTCGAACCACTCCCAGTCCTCTTTCCGCGAGCGTTTCCTCTCGATTGACGGAACGCATCTCTCCCCCGCCACACCGCTCCACGGCGATGCCAACGGCGAAGTCCGCGTTGAGACGCGCTCGCAAACCCAGACCACTGTGCAAATGATCCTCTTCAACCTTGGCACCATCCTCCTTGTCATGGCCGCTGGCGTCTTCGGCTGGTGGCTCAGCGCAACGCAAACCACACCTTCTGACGATACACCTGCCGACTCTCCGGACTCGAAACCCGATTTCAATCTCTGGGGCCAGATTTTTGGATACATTTGTGCTGCCCTGTACCTCGGATCGCGCATCCCGCAGCTGTTGCTCAACTACCGCCGCAAGTCTACGGACGGCATTTCGATGCTGTTCTTCCTCTTTGCTTGTCTCGGTAACCTGACATACGTTCTGAGTATCGTGGTGTACAAGCCGAGGTGCCAGCATCATCACTGCAGAGATGGCGAAGCGGTGGCTATCTATAGACGTTACATTGCAGTCAACTTTTCTTGGTTGTTGGGCAGCTTTGGTACGCTGATTCTGGATGCGTGTGTGTTTGTGCAGTACTTCTTGTACAAGAAGGATGAGGATGATAGTGAGTCGGAGGACGAGTGAGGAGTCGGTCGGAGCGTGGGTGGAGCGAGAAGGTGTACAATACCCAAAAGTTGTTGTGATAACATGTTATGTAGCTATTGTACATATTCTTGACAAGAAGATCGTCATTCGGATCAAATTGAAGTTATGCGATCGCATGTCAACCACTTTCGTGCGTTTCTTCAGCTGCGAAATACGTGCATGTGTACAGTCATGTTACTGCCTTACGCTGCATCAGTCGTTTGCACGCTCAGGTAACATGAGCTCTCGCATAAGACAGTGAGCCTTCATTGACCAAACATAGCCTACGTCCTGCTCAAAGTATGTATCATCCGTTTGCCAGTCTCGGCCATGCATCGGAGCGATGCAAGGGTGCATCTCACACATGCCATATGGGCTCCTCCTATCCATCTCTGTATCCATCATTTCTACTTCACACATGAAAGCTCAAACAACCAATTTACCTCTTTGTCCTCAAGGAAAACACAACGCGAAACAGGCCATCATGCCTCCATCCAAAAAATGCAAGCGTACACTTCTCTTCCCCCTTCCTTCCCACATTTCCTCCACACTGACAACCTCCAGTCACCATCTGGGCCGCCGTCCACCACATTGAACGCAACCTCACAAACAACTACCCGTAACACCTCAAGACAATCGAAGACGCCAAAGACCACGTCCGCAAGATCCGCCGCGAAGCCAAGTTCGACTACGGCTTACCCGCCAACTACAACCTCCGCCGAAACGACCCACATCACATCGTTTGGCTTGTCAAGGACAGAACATGTTTCCTCGTCGCCGCTCGTGCGCACTCTTAGGGCGAGTTTCATCTCGAGGAGGGACTGCCTGATCGGAAAAGTTTGGGAGGTATATTTCTACCACTACCAATCCCACACCCAGCCCTGGAGTCATTCGACACACTGACCAACCTTACAGATGCCGTCGAGTCCGACATCGCCCGCTTACTCCACCTCATCCTTACCTGGCCGACCGAGTTCCAAACCGCAGACGTAACAGCAAAGTACATCGCGGGCGTCTGCGCATTGCAGAAATTCGCATACACGCGCTTCGAAGGCGTGGCGGAGAACAAGTTCAGGGGCTATGTGACCTGGAGCACTGTTCGACGTGCATGGGAGCTCGGCAATTTCGAGATCAAGACCGTTCCAAAGAAGTGGGTTCAGAAGTCCACGAAGTCGGAAGTGGTAGACAAGAATGCCCATACGATGACAGGTACCATACCTCCCTTCTCTATGCTTGAGATGGTAGTGAGATTGAGGAGATGTGATGCTTGCAGACGCCATCGAATCCGACATCGCTCGCCTGACTTCCCTCATCCCGCCCTCCTCATGGCCACCTCGCTTCACCGACCTCAATGAAGCCCGCAACTTCATCGGCCAGTGTTGCTACGGGACGGGATTCAAGTACACGGGCTGTCCGGATGTTGCAATGCATAAGTATCGGCTGTTTGTGAACTTCAATGCGGCGAAGTATGCGCTTGAGGATGGGATGTTTGAGGTTGAGCGGGAGGTGCCCGAGAGGAAGGCGTTGAGGAAGGCGTTGAGGAAGGCGATGAGTGGGGGAAGAGATAGAAAGGTGGAGCGGAATGATGAGGTTAGGGTTGTTGATGTGAAGGGGCCTGCGGCTGCGAGAGAGGAGGATGCACGCGTCTGTGACGGTGCCGACTGCCTCCACGATGTCAAGACCGTGGAGTGGAACGACTACGATACCAGCAACTTTGAGCCTTGGCCTGCTTGCTCATTCTCTTCATCCGAGATAGCCTATTCAGAAAACGGTGTTGGGGCGAAGGCGCTTGCCGATCACAAGGAGGATGTTGTGGCAGCTTCTGCTGTCCTGGAGGAAGCTGCTGCCGTCGACTCTTTCAAGGTAAGTGTATCTCGCCTCATTTTCATCTGGCCTTCTGCTGACTGTATACCTCCAGAAGCTGGTCGCTGATCTTCAACGCAGATACGTCCTCAAGGCCGCCTTCGAATGATTGATCTGCTGAATGACAGACATTTCAGTCATCATACAGCGAGATCTCAACACTAGAAAAGGTGATTGGATGGTATTTGGGAGTGTCTGAAAAGCTTGGTATGTTTTCAATGGGTGTGATCTTTCGAACATTGGTTATTGCTTGATGAAGACCTTCGGATCTGATTTTGAGGGCATATGCTGCTTTCTGGAAGGCGATCTTGGGTTCTGGGCATGTTTACATATCCTATGGCAAGATCTGACCTGTTCAAATGATATACTGTTTGATTCTCGACCACTGGTAGTGTTCTGCTCGTTATACTGGCGGTGATGCTGCTGAATAGAGCGATGGGAGACGTGTTGCCCTCATGACGTCAGTCCACTATTTTCCCGAACCGTTCGGTGACAGCTGCCCCGAACATGTCGATCGAACGAAATGTTACGGCTTCACGGTTCATTATGCCTCCAATCAAGCTTTTCTTAGCATCGCTTGTTTCCCCGCGTTTCCATAGCATGAAGCTAACAACAAAGACCTAATAGCATAAGGCGATGCTATTTTGCTTTATTACGTTTTTCTACTCCTCCAGCTTCCTCGGAACAGTTCGTACGCCAATCCAAGATGAGACTGCTCTCACGATCGCTCACTGCTCTTGTCTTCTCTTGTGTTGTTGCATCAGCCAGCATTAAGCACACCATCCTCCCCAATGGACGCCAGCAATGCATCGTGCATGCGAACGGTAACCAAACCGACGATGTTCCTACTATCCTAGAAGCCTTTAATACATGCGGCAATGGCGGCGACATCGTCTTTCCCGAAAGCGAAGAGTACTACATCGCCACAAGACTAAGCCCGATCGTGGAGGATGTCCATATCCACTGGCACGGCCAGTGGACATTCTCGCCAGACCTGAACTACTGGAGGCATAACTCCTACCCTATATTCTTCCAGAACCACGCCGCCGGTTTCGTACTCACCGGTAACGGCATTTGGATCAATGGCTACAACACCGGCGGCATCTTCGGAAACGGGAACACCTGGTACGTCGCTGAAGCTGCCTCACCAGTCGGCGACACCCAACCCGGACGACCCATGCCCTTCGTCTTCTGGAACGTGTCAGACGTCACTGTATCCAACTTCTACATCCGCGACCCGCAACTCTGGGCGATCAACATCATGAACGGCACAAACATGGCATTCAGCAACATCACAGTCAACGCTACCGCACCCACCGCACCCAAAAATGGAACAAATTGGATCCAGAATACTGACGGTTTCGACACCATGGACGCCAAAAACATCCTGTTAGAGAATTTTGTGTACCAGGGCGGCGACGACTGCGTAGCCATCAAGCCGCGTTCCTACAACATCAAGATCCTCAATGCAACATGCCACGGCGGGAACGGCATTGCAGTTGGCAGCCTGGGCCAGTATCTCGAGGACTCGAGCGTGGAGAACGTGATCATAGATGGTGTGAGGTTACTCCGCAACGAGTGGCTGCATGGCTCCGCGCTCATCAAGACTTGGGTTGGCGTCCTGGTCAACCAGTCCAGTCGCAGCTATGAGTCGGCGTATGTGCCGCGCGGCGCTGGATGGGGGAGTGTGAGGAACATACTGTTCGCCAACTTTCACGTCGAAGGCGCCGAGGCCGGGCCCGAAATCAATCAAGACAGCGGAAACAATGGAACCAAGGCGTTTCAAGGAAGTAGTCTCATGGAGATCTCGAACGTGGTGTATGCCAACTGGACTGGGTATTTGCATCTCGAGGAGGGCGGCAATGAGACTGCTGAAATTTCGTGCTCGAAGGTTTATCCGTGCTACAATATCGACTTTAGGAATGTGAGTCTGATAGTGGCGGAGAATTCGACGGACATCGGTACGGGAGACTGTAAATTCGTCGAGGCGGGCGGTATCCACGGGCTGAGTGGTGCGGGATGTTGAATCTTGGAAAAGAAATCCGGTTTATGTAACATTCAATGAAATATTATGTTAACATGAGCATATGAGAACGTGGAGCTACCTCCACGGGATTGTGTTAATGCTTGACACTGTATCCGATGCACATACTCGCCGTACGTTCTGCCCGGTCAAGATTTTTGAGTGCAATGCTATACAAGGTGAATCTGGCATCTTCCGTCGAGCAGGTCAGCTGCATCTGGGTGGGATCAGTTAAACCGGCCATATGATCAGTTGCCACCGGTACACATGCCTATTCTCCTTCTTCTGCGCCGATGATGTTGCTGACTAGAGCGCGGGGAAGGTCTCAGTCAGACGGCTACCGTCGTCGTAAGCTCTCAGCTAGAGCGAACCTAGACCTGCTCATCTTGTAAGGACTCGCAACTCAAATGACCGAGTCGAACCATTGATGTAAGACGAGTAAGGTAGTACATGAGATTGTACGCGCAAGGTGGTGTTGGGGTTGTGGTCGAAGTACAAGAATAGCCCACGTTGCCCCCCATGTCCGTGCACAGCGGGCGCTTCGTTCGCTCCTGACCAATCGACCATCCCTCACAAACGCCCAACCATCGAGGGTGAAACGTTCATCAACGTCCATTCAATGACCTCAAATCAAGTCTGTAGGCATCCTTACCACGCGGCGAGGATGAATGATGTTCCGCATGCAGTCCTCCCTCGAAGCGCCCACGCGTAGCCATTTCCTACGCATGGTACCTGCGGTGCGCTCCGCAGAGGCGTCAGCAGGCGCCTCCCTTCCCTGATTCCGGTCCTGAAGGCGCCCAGATGTGGGCATATTCTATGAACAGAAGCTCTGGGGATAAGCCGGCCTTCCGGCCGATCTGTGAGTGGTTCGTGCAATGCAGGTTCATCTTAGTGTATCGAGGTGGAGTAATATCAGACCTACAAAGACACCACCGCGCCTCGACTGCATGCGGGACGTTTGAGCGTTCACTTTTGTCGTCTCTTGGCCAGTCCTCGGTGCGAGTACCTTGAGAGATCGTTTCTGCATTGTACCCTAGCTTGCTGGACTCAAGCGTCATCATCCCTATCGACCACCATGCCGTCTCTTGCTTTCTTCGTCTCTGCAACTGTGCTGTTTGCTCAGTCTACAGTTGCTTTCAACTGTTCGACAAAACCTGTTTACGTCGATATCCACAAGCGCGCCGTTCACGATTCACCAGTCTTTCAGTATGGATCTTTCATCGGAGTCGGTACAGGCGAAACCGCGTCAGCAACGTCAGCACAGAATCACAGCTTGTGGCCCTCGTTATCGCAGAACTATATGTCGTTTGGAGCACACAGTTACTGTCAAAAGAGTACGCTCAGCAAGTGTGCTGACTCAACAGGAGGTTTCTACAGCAGTAACCAGTCTACAACGTAAGTTGCTTCTGTGTCAAGGTAGGGCTTGCCGTTGCTTACAATTTCGCTAGATTCATCGAATACAAAGACTTCAAGACACTAGATGCGGACAGTAACAACACCCTCGAAGGCTACTTTGGACAAGACACTCTTAGACTCTATACGCACTTCTTCGAAACGGACGGTGCATCACAGACGCTTGTAGAGAACTCGACTATAGAAGTCGCAACATCAGGAGCTATTGTACCTGGAAGAGTAGGAATGGGTCCATCTTCAACACTTCTACAAGATCTTGCTGGTCGAGAGATGATCGCAGGCAAGACCTACTCCCTCTATATTGGCCAAGGTTTCGACCGCGCTGGCGGTAAGGTCAATGGAAGCAACGTGTTCGGAGGCTACGACTCCGGCCGCTTCACCGGGATACCGCATCAATACCCTATGAACATCAATAACGTCAATCCCATGAGTGTGCGCATTAAGGATATCGTCATCACAAACACCATGAGTGGGACGAACCAGTCTCTCTTCGACACCAAGGACTTCCCTGATATGAAGTCGGCACCACAGACTTTCGAAGCACAGATTACTACCGAGCAGTTTCCGCTGTCATTGCCATATCAAATCACCCAAAACTTCATCAAAGCACTTAATGGCCAGAAAGACAATTACTGGGGCGACAACTCCCTGAAGCTCGCTCAGAACCACAACGCCACTCTCTCCATCGTGCTAGAAGATGGCTTCACAGTCACGTTTCCTCCCGAAGTACTCAGGAACGCCTCAAACATCACCCCTATCCAGAACCGCGACGAAGACGACAACACCCCATTCCTCCTCGGCTCCGCCTTCCTCGGCCAAGTCTATCTAATGGCCGACTACGACTCCAACAACTTCTTCCTCGCTGAAGCAGTCCAGAAGAACAACATGGTCATGCCCGTCACCTTCTGCCCCAAGTCAACACCCGAGGCTTATGAGCGACCCAAGCAGAACCAGTGGCAGAGCCAAGGACTGATTGGTGCTGTGATTGGAGGTGTTATTGGTGGGTTGGGGTGCATTGGTGCGTTGTACTGCCTATATGTTAGTTGGTTGAGGAAGTCGGATGAGAGGAGGCTGAAGAGGGATCTGGCAAGGAACGAGGCAGCAAAGTTGGAGCAGATGGATGTTGAGCCTGCGCCGAGCTTCGAGGGGCCGCCGACGAAGAGTGTGAAGGAAAAGGTTATGTTTTGGAAGAAGGGGTAGTCTCGGGGCTTTGCTTTGTCCGTTATACCCATCGTTTGAACTTCAAATCCATTCGTTCATATCTGACATCATGCAAATTTTAATAAATCAAATCTTGTGGTCAAGCATCTTGAGGTTCGTCGAACTCGCCTGCCCAAATCACTGCTTAGTCGAATCTAACGCGAGCGCGTCTGACCTCGACCATCACAACTTCCTACATCACCACTTTCCAACATTCATCGATTTGACGTCTCGTCTCTTTGACGCGGTCCGGAAGAAGATCAGTACTGTCTCGCGTGATGTCTCAGCCACTGTCAATGCGCCTCAGTACCAGCAGATGGTTCAAGTGTTTCGTGGGGAAACTGCACGTCATCAACATCATGACGAAGCGCCAGTAGTCGTCCGCCAGGTACCTTGTGCACATATGCATGGTATCTGTTTGGTTCGTTGGAGTTAGTTCGTGTTCAAGACATCGATTGGTTGGTTCGGCATACGAAGTCCAAGTCTTATCCTCCCTTTGGGACATCAACCGTGAGCGCGACTGGTGCGCAATACGCTGTTGCACTGACGCAGGATGCTGTCCTCTTTCCAACGCGGTTTGGAGGCAGTGTAAGTTGCAAATTCTGCTATTCGCTGAAAGATCAATTCGCAGGCACGAATTCTTCGAGGAAAGGGCGGACGAACATGTGCCAATAAGGACCCGACCACACTGGGGAGTGTAAGGAGCGGCAAGAAGCAAAGGGACAGTTGCTAAATCAAGAGTGAGCGGAAGAGGGGCGCCGAATGTGAATGTCAGGGCGATGGTTACGGGTCTGACGATGACGCCGGGGAGTTATTACGATGAGCAGGAGTTCTTGAGAGCGTAATTCTTCGTTGGTCGTTGTGATGTGCATTTTGTAGAGCTATGTTGCATAGTATGGCGGGTTTTGCATGAATGTTAGGATCGGTGTTGTGATGAAAGCATGATTAGATAGTATAATTCTTAGTCAATAGTGTGTAATGAAGCATTCGCTACCTTTTCATCAATCTCGGTTGTGTGAGAGAAAGTCATACCCCTGGTGTATCATCCAAATCGAGTCCGTGCTACTAATACAATGTTCGAATATAAAGCCTATGTCAGCCGGAGCATCCGAAATGCGATCAAGACTTGGGCTTCCTCCTCACCAACCCAGCACCAAGCACCTGCACCCCATTCGCCCCATCTGCAGGTGCCGCAGGCGTAGGTTCAACCTTCGCCTTCTTCCTCACTAGCCCAGCATCCAGCGTCTGAGCTCCATTCGCCTCGCTCGCCCCTGGTGCATCTCCATCTTTCCTCTTCTTCCTCACACCCATCACAGTGACCGGCGTCACACTCTTCACCTCACTAGCCGCCGACATATCAACTTCCTTCTTCCCCACTACAGTCCATCCCCACTCAGCAACACCGCCCAGCACCGCAACCTCCTTCTTGAACTGCTGCGTACTTCGCGCCGTAGCAGTGCGGGTAGCGAATGACGAGTGGATGAGGACTTCGTGCGCGCGGTTGTAGTTCTTGGTGCTGAAGCAGATTGTGCCGCGGGAAGAGGATGGCCATGTGAAGTACGGACTGTTCTCTGGGACTTTTGAAGCTGAGGCTGTGGAGGTTGTGGATGTGGTTGAGAGGTTTGAGGAGCTGGTTTTGATGCGTGGGAGGATGAGGGGTATTGGGCCGTATCTCTTGCCTGATTTTGTTCGACGCTTGTTGGTGGTGGATTTCTTCTTTCGTGGAGTAGGGAGGCTTTCTTGGGAGTCGAGTGCTGATTGTTGGGAGAGCTGAGAGAGCTGGGATGGCGTGTCCTCGTCTTCTTCGGGGGTCAGGTCTTTGGGTGGTGTCAGGACGACCCATATGAAGCCTACTATGCGGCCGGATGAGCACTCCTGGCGGAAGGCCATGAAGTCCCAGAACTGATCGAGTGTCTTTACGCTCTTCCACATGCCGTTGCCTCGTGATGGTGTGCCTCCATCTGCTATCACCCCTTCGCCGCGATCAGGGAGTTCTTCATCAAGCTCATCGAGGAAACGCGCCTTTGGGTCGTCTGGGAAGTGTGGTACGAGGCAACGTGGTGGTGCAGCTGGGTGGGGCGCAATCTGCAGGAGTGGGTGTGCGGCAGCCCATCGTCGAGGGGTGCTTGGCGCGGGTGAGGGAGGCACGTATCGAAGTGTGTCGTAAGGCTCGTAGCCTGGGATGACGAGGTAGCCTTTGGCAGTAGTCGCAGATTGGGATGAGGTTCCACTGCTCTCGCTCTCGCTCTCAGCCAGCTTATCCCGGAAGGGCTTGCGCTCCTCAGCCTGATACTCCCATATTATTGGGTCCAAAACCTTGCACCACCACTTCACAAGCCCTCGGTCATCAAGCACGTGCTTGTTCTTGTTGTCGATGCTGGCAGGGAAGAGGTACTGGTCCTGGGCTCTTGCGAATAGTGATATGACCAGCTTCTTCGCTTCTCTCTGCCTTTCTCTCGCCAGCCATGATACGAAAGTGCCGCATATTGACTTCAGTGGTGACCCGCTTTGTGATCGTGGCAGATGTAGCTCCGAGAGATACCCTGTCGAGTCGGCCTTGGAGACGAAGATGGTCGTGAGACGCTTTGTTGTGTAGATCAAGACTTCGATGGCAAGAACGAGCAACTCTGCGGGTAGTCGCGGGTCTGGTGCATCCTTCGGTGTAATTGTCGCAGAGAGGAAATGTGATTCGCAGTACGTTCGTTCTGACTTGCCGTGCGGCGGCGCGGAGAAGAGGGCAGGAGACTTAGAGGGTGGTGTCGAGTAATGGTAGAAGGTAAATGGCACGTCCTTGGGCAGCTGCTCGGCCAGCAAGTCTTTCAACAACTTGCGGTCAGAAGTATCTGCCATGTCCAAAAAGCCTACCACGAATAAACCTCAAGATCGACAAGATGCGCGTTGCGCTGAAAGCTGGGGAAGAGAGCGCGACTGGAGCTAGTCTGCATTCGGGAAGGCGCGATTCGGCCGCAACTTTTCGAACTTCACCATCGTCAACCACCAAGCAAGCATCGCAGTGCTCCGCCCGCCATTACCTGCGCATCTCGCCTCCACCAATCACACACAAGCCACAATGGCATCGAAACGGGCGACTCGAAGTCTGCTCTCCTCAGCTGCGCCGTCGCTGCGGTGCTTGTACGCCTCCAGACCTACGCTCGTGCGGACCTCCGCATGCGCCTTCTCGACCACCACCCCATCACGAGCACCTGAGTACGACACCGAAGCAGCAGACCGGCCACGATGGCAGCAGACACCGCCTCGCATGCAAGCCCCCTTCAGGATACGACCGGCAGCAAAAGGAGGCGTGTTCAAGGTCAATGAGGATCCTAAGAGATTAGACGATGCGTACGTACGGATGCTGGGGCCCGGTGGTGATAAGGTGCTGGATGATGAGGTCAAATGGCTGGCTGTCACACACAAGAGCTTCGACCACGGAAGGCGGGGGTTCAATGACAGACTCGCATACCTGGGTATATACTGGCACAGCTTGGGACGAACAGACAGGAACTAACAGCAGGCAGGACGAAGGATAGTCGAGCTTCAGACATCGCAGGCCTTGATCAACTCCCCGCAAGCCAAATCCTGGCCCCGAGATGCTTCAGGCGAGCCTAAGGTCGACAACTACGGCCGCAGGCCCTTTTTCCATCCCGCGCTGAACGGCCTCGAGGGTCTGACCAACGAGGCAGAACAGACAGTCCTGGACAAGACACGGTTAGCGCAAATCGCAGAACGTTACGGTCTGGACAAGGTCACACGGTGGACACCAAAGCGAGCGGACAACCTGCAAGGGTCCGGTCAGGAGTCTGTCCTCATGACTTCGCTGTACGCCATTGTCGGCGCTGTTGCCATGGAGCGTGGTGGTGAGGAAGCCAACAAGGTTGTGCAGAACAAGATCCTGACACCGCTGGGCTTCACCTTCAGTGTTGAGGCGTAGTGCGGGGAAGCTATACTTTGTACAATAATTGTATCTGGCATCATGGGCGAGGGCTTTGCGCACTTGATAGCGACTGCATTGGGACTTGGAGCTGCATATATCAACCGGACAGGGGCAATGAAAGCATTTGACGATGAACATGTTATGACGCGAAGCAATTTGTATGCGTCAAGTTGATCGTTGAGAACTGACCTGATCCATCCATTGATTGCAAGTGAAAGCGCCGCGGGAAGCTCGGTAATGAACGTGTTTGTTTCACAGATTCACAATCGAACTTCTGCCCAACAAAAACAACAACACACAAGTCTCTGACCACCTCCAGGCTCTCACATAGCTATGATAGTTCTGGTTCTTGTACCTACATTATTGCAGCTTGAGCTACACGTGATTGTACCTGCCAAGCCCGCAAGTCAACTGTCACAGCGCAGCCTCGCACATCCCCCATTCCGCGCCTTCCCTGCTTCCTTGCACATCTAACGCGCATGCGTCACGAGCTCTTCCGGAGCGCCGAGACCAGCAATGTCTCCAATTTGCGCTTCTATGTGGCTCTTGGCAGCTTCATCTGGTTCGTGATAGTTTGGAGTGTCTGCGCCATTGGGTTCACACAATTGTACGCGACCCTGTCGACGTCATATCCTGGAGGAATTCACTGATACAAGACAGATTCCGCTATTACTGGCGAAGACCAAAGCCGGCAGCATGCATAACGTCTATGAAGGAGGAAGACGTGCCTCATGTCACCGTCATTCGACCTGTCTCCGGTCTCGATCCTCGCTTGTATGAATGTCTGGCATCGAGTCTACGCCAGACATACCCCAAGCGCAAGATCAACAATGTCTTCTGTGTCGCCAATCGCTCGGATCCCGCACTACCTATCCTCGAACGTCTCGTCCGCGACTTCCCAGATGCTGATGTGCAGATCACGGTCGAGGAGGAGGACCCACTGCTCAAGAAGGACAGGAATGCGCTTGGACCAAATCCCAAGATCAGGAACATGAGTCGTGCCTACCGAGAGGCCAAAGGCGATATCGTATGGATCCTCGACTGTAATGTCTGGGTTGGGAAGGGTGTTGGCTCCCGGTTCGTCGATTTGCTGTGTGGATACAGTAGGGACAAGGGAGGAAAGAGGAGGACCAAATTCAAGTTCGTACATCAGACGCCACTTACCGTGGATCTGGACTCGCAGAACTTGTCCTTGGAAGAGAGAAAGGAGTTGCTGAGCGGGAGGCCAGAAGAACGAGAGAATGTAACAGCTGCCGCCGCAAGCTTCTCATCAAAATCCTCCGGCAGCGCGTTCAAGAGGCTCTTGCAACGTGGGGGTGGACGCCTCGACGAAGCCTTCATGTCCTCTGCACACGCAAAGTTCTACCAGGCCATCAACACCGTCAAAGTCGCTCCCTGCATCATGGGCAAGAGCACCATGTTCCGCCGCTCGCAGCTCAACTACGTTACCTCTTCGAACCCCAAGTACGCACCCGGTATCGACTTCTTCTCCGACAACATCTGCGAAGACCACCTCATCGGCGACGCACTATGGAAGCAACCACAAGCATTCGAAAAGCGCGATTACAAGCCTGCGCCAGGCGAATCAAAAGTGAAATGGGGAAAGCATGAGATGCTGTTCGGAGACTTCTGCTTCCAGCCTATAAGTCACACGTCTGTGGCTGCGTATCTGGATCGCCGTATACGATGGCTGCGAGTCAGGAAGTATACGGTCACTCTAGCGACTTTTGTGGAGCCCGGCACGGAGAGCATGTTCTGCGGTGTATACGGTGCGTATGCACTGACCACATTGCCGTGCTTCCGCACGTTCATCAGCCCGACCTGGACGTCATTCCTCCTGATTTGGCTGCTGCATATGAGTGCTTGGTGCTTGGTCGACTACGTCCAGTACCTACTTTTGCACTCTGCAAAGACCGTGGAGATCGATGAGGATACACCGGACTTCGTCCTACCTCAACGATCGAACGCGGCATACCACCGCGCTGAGTCTCTCAAGCCACTACTAGGGAATAAGACGCCGGGTGAGCCGAGTTTGCTTGATGGTGCAAGGCGAAACTTCCGCGAGTTCTTCTACGCATGGCTCGGGCGAGAGTTCTTCGCACTGCCTGTGTGGGTCACAGCCTTTTGGGGCGGTGCAACGGTCGAGTGGAGAGGCAGGAAGTTCTACGTTGGGCTGGACACCAAGGTCCGTGAGATCATGCCTAAGGAGAAGAAAGACGTCAATGGCGGTGAAGGCACAATCAAGAAGTAAGACGACCCAGAGGTCATGGGCTCATGATATGATCGAAAAAACACTCTTGCATAGCGTGCGCATATGATATCCCGAACACCTCCAATTTCGTAAAAAAAAAAAAAAAAAGAAAAAAAAAAAGCCCAACGATGTATATGAAGCAAGACATTGGTACCATCTTGTGGTGCAGACAGATGCTCCTTGGCATCAGAGGCAGTCACGGGGGTATTGACTTGCATTAGCGTCACCCTGAACCTCAACATCGTCGCTGTTGCATCCCACCTTCCTATATTTCATTCAACGCTTGTCAACCTATGAACTCGACGCGGCTGCCCCTATCGAAACGTAAAGCGCGGGATATGTACTTGCCTCAGGCACAAAGACATGCTTCTGTGGGCTGTGAAGCTGTTGTGGGTTGCACAGTGGGCTGACTGGCATCAACAAGGCTATTCAATACCGAACAGCATGCTGTGGGCAACGCAGCGTCTTCATCGCGATCGGTCGCTTGCTCTCATAACGATTGGATGGCATGAAATCACGTTCTCGGGCGTGTAAAGCCTGCGTGAAGAGCCTTGCCGGCCGCAACCACGATATCGTTACTTGGAAGACAAACAGTCGTTTGAACGTATGTAATTATGAACATATACTAGCCGGCTGTTCAGGGTCGTGAACCTGACAGCATATGTTACAGACTAAGTGAGTGTGTTTGGAGCCGGCGATACACTTCTCGGGCAGCGCGTCGAACGCAAGCGCTCCCACGCGCCTCTCATGCAAACGAATGCAGTATCTTATAAAATGAACCCACTCATGGGCGGTGTTCGAAAACATAGCCTGTTTTACCAACTCCTCGCTTCGCTAGAATGCAAAGACTCAATTGGACTTTTACGTCCTGACGACACGGCATGTCTGCTGCTCTACTCAAGGTACCTCCTGGTAACTCGCACGGTGAAAGAACTGAAAAAGACGGAAATGATATGCAGTGGGAAGATGGCCCACAGCATGGGTACGCCGCTGCTCTCCTTCCACAGGTTAGTGATACTCGGCAAGTGTGCGAATACCGTCAACATTGCTGTAGCAACAACGATCGTTACGGCTATGAAGCCGTCCGCGTGTTCCAGGCTTTTGGCTACGACCTTGCAATACGCGGTATGAAAGCCGATATATGTTGCTGCTGCAGCGATGAGCAGTGGCTGTGATGCTGTGTCATCTGCTTGGATGAGCATGACTACTCCAGCTGATGCAGCAGCGCCAGCAATCAAACCGCTGTGATCATTATGCCGGTGAAGATACCAGATTATGCCACTCGATGTGGACAGAATGACTGCTGGAACTATCAAGTCGATCAAAGATGTTGCCAGCTGTGCGAGCTTCTTGGTGGCTTCTTTTTTGAACTGGTACTCTTGCGGTTTCCCCGGCAGTGCTGTCATGCTTGGTGTTGGCTTGTTGGAGGTCTGCGGAAGAGGAATTTTCGTGGTATGTGATGGAGAAGTTCTGACAACTACCAAGACGTTGGCACAGCTCCAAGGCTTCTAGATTCAGTAGGTACTGACCTGGTGTTGGTTCACTGCCGGTAGGCACTCGCTTGCGTTTTCGTCCCACCTCATCGCCTTTCTGCTTTCCTAATTCTCCTGATGGTAGACCGTTACCTTTTGGTTGCGAGTCTATCGTGTCTCTTCCTGACAAGCTTGATGTGTCGGCGGTTGGAATGTACAGAGCAGTTGTGAAAGTGGGCAATATGACAAGAGGAACAAGTAGGGCTGCCGGTTTTGTCTTCATTTTGCCCTAGAGTTCTGCGGGAAGTGAACTTTGAAGAGGAGATGGATGGTAATCTTCAGTATGAGAGCTGACGGTGAGGTGCTGAAGGTGAGGTGCTGAAGGGAGAGTGCTGAAGTGGAAGGACAGTCTCGGGAGATTGAGGGGGAGTGTCCTCGCTATGGTGCATCGACCTAGCTGTCAGGCTGTGGTGGCGCAGCCTGAAAACTCACTCCTCTCACCGGTGCATTGCCCCCCTGTTCTCGTCTCATGTGCTGTTTCCATAGTCTTCGGCTCCCCCACACCCTCTTCTCTGACTGCTAGCATTCACCTCTTGCGCATTTCTCAAAGCCTTCAGCATCCCATCGTACGGTATCTTATCTTGGACACTTGCTGCCCTCGTTGAGACTCACTTAACTAATACAGTATTCAGTCTACCGCTATCCTTCGACATAATGCCACGGTCGTCGTGTCATTCGAGTCGTTCTTGTTATTCTCCATCGTCCGATGGTCCTGAATATACAACCATGAGCCCGATCACCCACAATACTGCATACAGCTACGACTACAGTCACGATTATACCAGTGACTTTGGCAGAGTGGAGGTTCAGTCAACACTTCTGCCTCGAGCGGGTGAGAAATACGACTACGTTCAGTATACTGACTGTCCGCTCGATGATAGCGACAGTACGTGGATGGATCTTGACACTTGGCAATCCTCGGATTGCACGACCTCACAGGAGTGGTACGATCAAATGCCGTTCGATCTGTGTATGACCGGAGCTCTGTTTGTCGCGGCTACCGTAGCAGCGGTGCCGATGGCGCAGTATCATCCTACGCATGATCGAAATGGCGGAGAGCCCTACTTCCATAGTGCACCCTCGGAATCAAGCATAGCGCTTGCGGTGAGTCTCCCTTCTTCTTGTAGCTTTGTTCGTTCTTCGTAAAGTGTGTCATCAACGTTCTCCTAATGCATTGCAGCGAACCCGTGTGTCGGAGCAGAACCACGGGACGGGAACAGTATTTTGGTCCTCACTCGAACACCATGTGGTCACCAATCCATCCGCAGACACCTTCTGCATGTCAACACTTGCGTTTGGCGCAGCATGTGGCTTGCTGTGTCATAGCAATCGGCGGAGTACATCTCAGCGGCCGCTCCTATTTATTGGGGTTGGTGCCGCATTGGCTTTGACGGGCTCCCATCAAGGAGAAGGAGGGATACTATGGAACACAACGGTACCAGCGGCTTTGATCACTGCAATGCTGTTATCTCGAATCCTGGACATCATCTACAATTGGCTGAGGGTTCCTGCTACGGATCGATCCATGGATAAGTAATGATGTTTGGTCACTGGGCTGTGTATTTCTCGATCGCCATCTCGATAATCTCGTTCACGATTACCATCAAACAACGGATGCCGACGCCGGGATGACTAGAGGAGGAGTTTCTGGTACGGGGTGTATACTAAGACTTTGATCTATTTGATTGCAGCTAGCCGTGAGGCTTATGGTTACAAGGCGCATGAGCAGTGTATCCTGTCATCGTATCTAGTAATTGAATGATCGATTTGATTGACTCCACGCATGACACTGAATTCAAAACTCAATAGCTCAGATCAGTCACGAGTCTTTGCATCTACTTCAAAGTCACACCTTTCTCCTCATCGTAACCTGAGTCTTCTCGCTTGCCGGAGCTCCTTCATCAAGCCGCTTTCGAGTGCGACGCTATCACTTCTCCTTAACAATTCTCTCTCTTTCCATACCCTTTTCGTCTTCCCATTGTCTTTGGCTTCCGCCTGTACCTGCAATATCCAGTATTCTTCGTAACTTAATCGAGCACGTCTCCATTATGCACGACTGCGCCCCGACAATGGATTGCAGCACCTCACATTGCGATACTGCGATGCACTGCTCCACATCGATGGACTACGGCGATTCAGTGGACCACTCTACCTGGGTGGCTACTTCTCTGCAGACAGGAATAATGTCGAGTCCACCTTTATACTCGTCTTCCTGCAACACATCATCAAGGTACTGTCCTCGCGATGGACTATCGAAGCCCGCGGCCACCGGCTACTAGGACCAGCGCCAGACATTCATCCTTGGATCCTTGCGACGTGGTATCGACAGCCTTCAGCCCCTCAGATGGCCCACCCTATCACTACCATCCGATATCACCCACCTTGGACAGAACAACCTGATTCACCGCCTCAATCCGCCTTACTCGCCACACTTCCGGCGGCAGTCGATGGCATCGACGTTCGCTACAAGCTCAACCACCTCAAGCATCAAGTCTGCCCTCACAGATGCACGTCTGATCCAGCGTTCTCCCTCTGTGGTGGAGAAGAGACAGAAGTAGGACGTGGTGTAAGGAGAAGTTTTGCAACACGTGTGCTTTGATCACGATGGATCGGGATACTGTGCATTCATTTGAATATCCAAAGCGCTAAATGTAGTAAAACAAGCCAAGAAAGTCTACCTGTAACCACTTGAATGCAGTCTCGCCACTACGCCCAAGCGCCTTAAAAACCTGTCCCCCCCCCCCCTCCCCAGATATCTCGAATCCAAACTTGACCGAACCAGCAGACAGCAAGCGTCCGTAAGAAAAGAAGATGTGCCAGATATATATGATGCTTTTGCATCCGTCCCATCGTTTCCAAAAAAAAAAAAACCCCCCCTTCAACACCCCCCTCATAACCAGAGCCCTCCTGTACGATTGGAACTCATGGCTTAACAAGCTCTCTCTTCATCTTCTTAACCGGATGCAACAAGATCCCCGGCAAACACATCCTCTTCTCCTCAAGCCTGCCATCGCTCCCCGGACCACCGTCCGTATGCTCCTCCTCGCCCCATCTCTGCTTGCTAATCGGCCAATTCAACCACCTCCTATACAGATTCCTCGGGAATCTGGATGCATAGTACCAGCTCCACCCCTGGAAGTTGAACTCGCGGTCGTGGTTATACGGTGAATCGGCTTCCTCGCACCACGCGCCTTGTCTCGATTCGACCGGACCGCCGAGTTCGTTGACGGTGGACGAGGCGTCGAAGATGGCTTCGGTGTATGCGGCGGGCCAGTGGCGGTCGTTGAAGATGGGGTGCGGGGCGTATACGGCTTTGAGGCCGTGTTGGAGAGCGACGGTCGACGGCCACATTTCTGCCTGCATACTCCGTCCGACGAGGTTCTCTTCGTGCATGGCCTGGAGCATGCGTTTCGAGAATCGTACGACTGTGTTGATGAAGACGCGGCGGTCGATGTGCTCGAAATCTGGGTGTGTGAACCAGTCTGCTTGGCCGTCTTGTGGGGTGAAGATGGGACGGATGTTGGGGAGGTAGTTCCAGATCTTGTCTTTGTAGGACCATGTTGTGTTGCGCGGGTCCCACATGGGAAGCAGGGTGATGAAGTCGGCAGGCTCGTTGACGCCCCATGTGAAGTCGTCGTCTTCGAAGCTTGTCGGTGGTGTTGGGCCGAGGGGCTTCTGAGGCGGGTCGGCGCGTGCCCAGGGTCGTGGACCCCAAACTGGGTTTGGGATGAGGGAGTTGACTGACGCGTTGAGGACGTCTTTGTGAGTTTGCTCGACGAAGGATTGGTAGTCTCCGTGGACGTCGGGTAGGTAGTAGCGTTTGTTGCGCTCCCAGAGAAGTTTCCTAGGTTGTTTGTCTGCGAATTCGCTGATCTTCTCGAAGAAGTGGTAATGGTGTCCTGTGTAACGTGCGTCTGTCTCCCAGTTCCAGACAAAATCGAACTCGGGATGCGTAAGACTGAACCATTGAAGGCACATAAACTGCTGCCAATAGACCTGCCAATCCATAACCTTAGGATACCAGTTTGGAAAGATAGCTTCAGACCATAGAACGGCGATATCGCGGAGCTCTACGGGTACGTTCTCTTTGAGCACTTTGTCATAGAGCGCCTGGTCTTCGAATATTTTGAGCTCGCGATCCTTGACGTGCACGTAGAGGAAGACCGCGTATTCACCTCCAGATTGAAGCGAAAGCTCAGAGACCATGGCGCGAATAGCGGTGATGTCGTTTTCTTCGTAAGTGTAACCAGTCCAAGCGCGGATCAGAATAGCGGTACGGTGGTGATACTTCTTTTCGTGCTTGCCTCGGTTCTCCAGGTTGCTGTGGCTGGTATCGGTGGGGATCGCGAAGGCTGAAGATGCAGCTGCAGGCTCGGGCAATGCGGTACTTGGGATCTTGACAATAGGCGATCGCGCCTCGGGTCGATAGCGGTTCTTGTTGATCTCGAGACACAGATCCTGCAACTCGCCCCACTTCACCTCCTCCCACTCGGGAACCGTCCCAGGTGCCCTCCAGTCCTTGACCTCCTCAGGAAACTGGTCATCGCCATATCCGTAGGGGCCGTAGCGCGAGTACCGGTCGAAACAGACATCCTCGTCAAGGCCGATGACGTCGTAGCCACCAGCATACGCCTTGGGAAAGCCATGAGGCAGGCCGCGATAAGCTTGAACCTCATCATCCGTACTCTCATTCAGCGCAACGCCTCGGGGTCCAATGCAAGGCACGTACTCGCCATGCCACTTCTCTCGCCACTCAGGATTGTTGTACTTTGGGAACGGCTTATAGGCGATCGGACTATGCACTAAGGTGCTGTTCAAATCGTCGTGCCCAGCGTTGTAAATGCTGAAGTCCATATCGAACTGCTCCCACCGATTGGGATCGTACTCCTTTCCGATGTAGTCTGAGAACGGTGGCCAGTGACCGTCCCAGCTCGGTCTCCCCCACTTGAGCATCTTCTTCATGTACTCCTTCATATTCGTTGGTCTTGTGAACGGAGGAATGAAATTGCCAATCCTGCTCGGCGCCGTTCTCCACGGCGGATGCGGCTTCGTACTCGACACCGGCTCAACTGACGGGCTCTTCACCGTCTGACTCGGACTCGGTGTCGCCGCCGGAACAGCATGCTGCCACGCATCTTCAAGATGTGCTTGTGACTGCTCCGGACTGTTGTTCGGTATCGGCTCCAGATGGTTCTTGTATGCCTCGTTGAGCAGCGACACCTGCTCGTACACTCTCTCTTTCGCCCACGGGCTTTGCTGCAGCACGACTAATATGAAAACAAACGCTACGATGGAAAGAATCGCAAATCTGCGAGGTGATCTGACAAACATGTTGGTGGATGTGTAGGCGAACCCGTATTCGTGTATTCGTTTATCGTCCTAGGATTGCGAACTAACGTATTGTGGTAGCAGGCGTGCTGTATAGGATGACGGTGCGTAGGGTTACCGACGCTGCATTGCTTGCGAGATGGTGTGCATGCAGCGGGAACGAGTGTAGGTGAGGCTGTTTGGGGGTTAAGCTGTAAGGACCGTGGTGTTGACTTCGGTGCGGACGATATAGCACTTGTGAAGTCGCGACAGGAAAGTGCGGTTTGCGCTGCAAAGGAGGGAAGGACTATTTGATAGTCGTCGTCGTCACTGCCGCAGGCCCAGTGCGCAATCAGACAGAGCGAAGGAGTGTGAGGGCTGCAAGGTACTGCAAGACAGTCGCAGACGGAGTCGGCCGGTAGACAAGACACCACTCACGGTGAGAAAAGTTGAAGAGACAAGAAACAAGGCTCACGCGTGCGGCACAGCGCTCACCAATATCTCAAACCATAGAACACGTCCAGCAACTCTTCATCTCCGGCCACCCATCTCTTTTTCACAACCCCCATACATGGGGCCATACACGGCGCTGCAGGGTTGTCCCAGCACGGTGATGACGCGTTACACCCCCCCACTGCTCCCCCGTCACCTCTCGCAGCCGTGGCCACTGGCAGCTTGCACAAGCAGTCCTCCCTGTCGATTCAGACGGCAGCGGTGATTCGCCTCAATCTCAGTTTCGAGTTGGTGGACAATGGTGCGACGACGTGGCTCGAGCCTTTTTCGAAACGCTCATCAAGCTGAGGCGATCAGCGGCTGCTAAGAGCCGCATCCATGTCGAAACCAAGTTCTGCGAGATGAACGATCATCGTCCAAGATGGCGAAATCACAAACTGTGCAGATGAAGCTCCGCTGATAGGCAGGACGGCTGCGCAACACTCCCGCGCTGTCATGGACGCTGTGCTGTCAAGGAAGGTGAGCGTGTTCAGTTCAATGGTTCAGCAAGGGTCCGACTCAGTAGTTACATTTGCGCACATCTAGTTTCCGTTGTCATATGATTGCGGCAATCGACATCATCTTGTGTGCTTGTGCGCGCAAAGATGCTGCAAGGTAATTTTTTGACCTGTTTTAATCGCATGAGAGAGAGAGAGAGAGAGAGAGAGAGTGTGTGTGTGTGTGTATGTATGTGTGTATGTGTGTATGTGTCTGTGTGTGAGACCGAAGAGCAGACGAACGATGTCCATGCTCCATCTGTCAGCTTCCTGCAAGTTTCGAAATGGATCGAGCAGCATCGGGTCAATGCAAAGCTTTGAGCTTGCAGAATCACCATCTAGTTTGTAGACTTTGCTGTTTGCGATTGTCACAAGCATAGGGTTGTCATGCGCTTCACTCAACCACAAAGGCCTCGAGAAGCAACACGAAATCCAGACCATACACTCACTGGCACGAATAAATTGGTCGCGCTCGATTTCGAAACAAAGGCCCAATGGGCGTTGCTTTTCACCGTCCTTGTACGGAACATCCGCCCTGCGGTGCAACAAAGGGGAACATTCAAACCCGTTGAGGTGCGACTTGGTATCTGGCGTCATGCATTGCATTGCATTGCCGGTCCGCGGCTGCAGAACCTGTCCCTGTCTTCTATCTGCTACTGAATCGAGGGCCTTGTCACAAAGAACCCCCTACCGTGAGTCTATCGTGTCATTGTTCGCCGTCTCAAAGGATACCTCACAGGTGCAAGTCAGTCGGTGATTTGGTGGAAGTCGAGAGCGAGGCTGACGTGGTCCCTCTGATCCCGACCCTCTTTATCTGCTCACTGTGGGCCCTCCACAACCCAACCCCCCCTCCCCCCCCCCACATTCATCGCTTCCAACGCCGAGGACCCTTCACAAAGATGTCCTCCGGCTTGACTGTGCGGGTTGCCTATTTCCACTTCTGCACGACCACGCCTCCGCGCTTGAACTCGGCCATGTCGCCTAGAGCCTGAGCCTTGTCTGTCAATTCTTTTGAAGGAAACGTTGTCATGAGTGCATATGCGCGGCCGTCGGTACTGGCACGGTCTACAAAGTCGTAGACGTCGCCGATTGTGTGGGTGGTGTTGAAGCGGGACTGCATGCGTGTGCCGTCACCGAGGCGAATCTGCAGTGTCACCGTAGGCGCGGAAGTATCGACATTGACGGATGGTTGCGCCGAGCCAGTTGAGGCCGAGGCAGATGTCGTACTTGGGGAAGCTGCAGGAGGTGCAGCCGAAGTGCTTGCGCCGGGCGTTGGACTACCGAGTCGCTGGCCAGAGCCCCCGAAGGGAACATACTTCTTCTTCGGCTGCTTGTAGTCCTCGTCCTTGTGCGCGTGTACCTCAACATCGACCTCCTGTCCATGCTCGACATTCAGGATATGAAGCGGGGCATGGCCTGTGTTGATCATCTCGAGGGTGCGCGCATTCGCTGGGTCGTCGTAGCGGAAGAGGGCTCCATCGTCGACCGAGAAGCCGTCGCGCCAAAGGTGAAGTTCGCGATGAGCACGCGGCTGAGGTGCGGCTTGGCTGGCGGTGGGATCAGGAATGTGTCGCGAGGGAGTGTCGTCGCCGCCAAGCGTGTTACCACCGCCTGTGAAGCGCGAAGTCGGCCGCTCGTCGTCGCCACCTGGTCGAGGAGCGTTTCTGTCCCATGTTAGCATTGTCGCCACTCAAGCATTGTCAGACTGTACTGACTGCCGCGCCCTCTTCAGGATGTTGTTGATGTGGTCTCGAGGGTTTGCTTGGTTGGGGTTCTGAACAGCGAGACCAGACTTCTCTCCTCCCGCGAAGAAGTCCTGATTCTCGTCGTCCTTGTAGTCGTCGTCTGAGTCGTCGTCATCGTGAGCGTGAGCGTGAGCGTGAGCGTGTCCGCTGCCGCCACCTGAGGACTGCAGGTCCTTGAGCGTCCTGAGCCCCGCCACACCGCGCTGCTGCGGCGCCTGTCGCTGGGTGGACTGTTGTCGCGAGGACGAGGACGAGGAAGCCTCGGTTGGTGGAACGTATGCGCCTCCAAGGGTGCGGCCGCCACCAGGGGCCGGCTGCTGGGGCGGGTTTGGGGTAGGATCTGTAGTTTGGTCGTCGCCTGCCATTTCCGTGTCTGAGCGCTGTTCTGCCTCTGCTGATTGTTCGTAGAAGAGTTCGGCGGCGACTTGGAGGTCGCCGTTGGCTGCGTCGAGGTATCGTTCAGCCTGCAGGTGGAGGTTAGCAAGTAGCTCCGTGTTCCTACGACCTTGGATTGCACTTGGACTGCACTTGGACTGCACTTGCCTCTGCGGGAGCTACACCAGTCAGGCCTGCAAGCTGTGCAATCTGGTCGTCGCGGTTGGCGGCTGTGCTGGAAGACATAACAAGAGTGGGCGTGGGGTCGCTGCAGTGAGAGGAACGGTGGACGACTAGAAGTGGTTGATGTGGTTTGGTAGAGCTCCAATAACGCGCGGTGGGGTTCGCGAAGGCGGCAACGGCTGACGTGACGTACCTTGCGGAAAGAGCAAACAGATATTCTTTCACCCGGCGACTACTGAGGAGCGGTCCCCATGTTGGGCGATGCGCTCTTGAGACTACTCAGCTACCCTGGAGACCCCGCACTGCAGCATAACCCTTCACAGTCTGCAAGCCCGATTCTCTGATATCACAACTACCCATGTAACCGCAGTGCATCCAAGCTCCCGCTGCCAAGACCGGAGATCGCTCAGAGCCTCAGTAACATCAACTCATCGCACTTCGACCTCGGCAGCGGATCCGCCCTGCACATTTATTCAACAGGACTCTGATCTTGTCGAACATCAAGCAGACACTCACAGTATTCACTCGTGCTTCAGCCGCTCTGTTGCCTCGGATACCACCCTCCCCACAACCTCCATCCCATCCGCAGCCACAACCATGTCCGACCCCCTCGACATCCTCCCCACAGACCCAGCTGCAGCCGGTGGCATGGACGCCTCGACCACCACCTTCCCTTCGGATTCAGAAAACTACGAGTCCGCCGACGTATCGCCCTCACCGCCGTCTAGCTCCTCGCCCTTGATCCTGTACTCGCCGCCCACGCTGTGGGGCCTGATTCGTGGCGCGGCGATCAACCTGCTTTTGCCGTTTGTGAACGGGCTGATGCTCGGGTTTGGAGAGCTGGTGGCGAATGAGGCGGCGTTTCGGTTGGGGTGGAGCGGGACAAAGGTACGTTGTTTCTTTGTTGGAGGTTTCGGGGAGGGACGGGAGGGACGGGAGGGACGGGAGGGACGGGAGGGACGGGAGGGACGGGAGGGACGGAAGGGAGAGGTGTATTGGAGAGGAAGGTGCTGTGGGAGATGCGAGAGAGTGGTGGCGACGTGAGGCTGGCGATGCTGACGATGCATAGATCTTCCCTGCTGGACGGAGCGATTCGAGACGTGTCGGACCGGGTGTCGAGATGCGCGCTGATCCTGTCGAGAGGCGGAGGAGGAATGGGCAGGAGCTGGATATGTACACTGCTCTGGAGTAAGGAGGTCGAGCGCTGAGGCCGAGGACGGCACCAACTAGGAGGCATTCAGGTACGGTTGAGGTACGAGGATCGTATGCACAGGGCGCATGGCAGACGGCTTTGCCTCGTCCAAGTGATCTCAAAATGCGAATCTAGACAAAACACAAAACATGCAACAAACGAGACGGCGTTTGCGTCCAAGTATATGTACAAAAATCTACAAGTACAATGTCCGCCATCCCATGCCTGTGCCCGTGATAACCCCAAACATGCAGTATTGTACAGCTTCAGTCGATCATCTACCTCCTGTTCTCAAACCTCCTCTTCCTCTCAACCTCATACTGCTCCGCCTTCCTCTTCCTCTTCTCCTCTTCCCTGCTCAGGTTGGTACCAACGTCGTATCCAGCCCTCTGCATCATGCCCCTCATGCTGTCGTTCATCCTGCGCTTGACGTACGCCATCTTGTAGTTGCGGCGGTAGTAGTCCATCTTCTCGCTCAGGCTGCCCTTGGGGCCTTCCTCGAAATCGGCGTCGCGGTCAGGGAACTCCTTGTCGATCTTGGGTTGCTCGGCACGCATGTGCAAAGGCAGTGTGGCGCCCTCCTTGATCTTGATGGCGCCGCCAGCGAGGGTAGCGTTGCGGCGTGTGGTGCCGAGGGCGGACTTGGTGTTCAGCTGAGTGGGGGGCTGGTAGCGGATCTTGCCATCGGGGCCCTTGATGTCCTTGAGCTTGAGCTCACCCTTGACGACCTTGGAGAAGACTTCGTTGCTTTCTGGGGTAGGAAGGGCTCGGATGCCAATCATGCGCCTGAAGCCGTTTTGCTTGAGGAGGTAGCCGGTGCAGGCACCAAGGAGACCAGACACCAGGAAGTAAAGCTGCAGAGCGGAGGCCTGGAACGCAGTGATGATACCGATGAAGAAGGCCATACCGGTCATCAACTTCCGCCGTGAGGCAGCCTCTGCGGTTGCGTCTGCAACACCAGTCTCGCCACCGCTCTGTGTACAGGGTCAGCTATGCTCAAGTGCGTGCATGTCAGAGGACGACGTACCTTGAAGATCTTGTACATGATAAAGGTGGTAGTAGCCGGCAGAATGAAGTAGGGATCCCGAGCGGTCAGGTCAGTGAACCATAGAAAACCATCGTGCGCCATTCCAGGAACAGGCAGTTCACCCATAGCTCTGAGGCATCGGAAGGCGCAGAAACCAACAACGGCCTGGACAGCTGTGAAACCTCCCATCCAGAACATTCCTCCCAGATGAGGTTTCAAGACTGCTGCCTGCTGCATCTTGATCAAATCCGCCTTTTGCTTGTCGCCTGCGGCGATAGCAGCGTTCAACTTCTCCTGCAAAGGACCAGTAACTGGCTTCAAGGCGGCCATGGCAGCCATCTTGTCTGAACTGAGGGCCTGGAACACGAACATGCCGCTACGCACAACGACAGTGGTTGCCATGATGGTTCCCGCCCAGCCCCAGCCTGTCTGCAGATACATTGTCTCGATGAGCTTCTCAAACATAGTCGTGACGCCGTAGCCGTAGTCTAGTCCCAGCTCTGCAAGCTGTCCGGGGTGGTCGATGAGCTGTGTGGGATCAATCTCTGCCCTGGGAATTACATCCTTCACAGGGGTGTTGCCGAGGAGCTTATCCAGCGTCTGCGCGTCAAGGGTCGATGATGTGCCCTCAGCTGGTGTGACGGTGCTCTCAGTGACGGCAGCCTTGTCGATACCCGCGGGCGCGATCTCGGGGGTGGCAGTGGTAACCTCTGGCTCGAATGCTGGTGCGGGTGTGGGTGCGGGTGGTGTAGGCGTATTCGAGAACTCGGCGACGGGTACTGTTTCGGTGGGTGCGCCCGGTGTGCTGGAGCGACCCCAGCTCCATGGCGCATACCAGGATCCGTAACGAATTGACGATGCGTTCAGGGCGATGTGCGAGTTTGCGCCTGCGCCAGCTCTCCATTGAGCGGACAGCGGGCTTGTGCGAGAGGAGGGAGGGAGACCGGCGGTGCGGGGAAGGGAAGAGAACTGCAAGCCATATGTCAGCAAGCTTGTGTAATATATAGCAGCAATGGCTGTGCCGCAGACGTGGGCGTGCGCGAAAGCATGTTTGCCATAGCTACGCGGCGGCATGCGGAGGCGGAGGTGTGCTGCGGAGTGAATTCCAGCCATCATGGGATGCGCACCTTTCTTGATGCATTACAAGAGATATACGTTGATTGGCGCGAAGTCAAGGGAGCGAACTGGGCGGGCCGCAGCCCTCTACTTGGCAGCATTGTGAGATGTCGTCCGAAGTTGTAGGTCATGCTCGGTGTCTCTACATCTTTTCGATGGATGCCAAGCACCGGCCCACTCAGACCAATTGCGCATTTCCGGAGGGTTCGAGACACCAACCATCAACGACTCAAATTATCTGGAATGGAACATGTTGAGAGAATGCTGGTTTATCCATTCCTTGACTGTGGAAATACAAGAGAGTACATATTGCGCCTTTTCAGTGGGTATCTCGGCCCCTTAGCCGCCCATTAACCCATAACACCAGTCGAATGCGACAAACAGACCGTTCGAGTCAGTGTGGCAGTACAACAAACACACATGACTATACAACAGTCGTCGAAGAACTATCATACTCCGTAGAATTACCCTCTAGATAATCAGAACGAATACATGTGCAAGAAGAGAAAGTAACGTCCCTGTCGATGGGAAAAGCATGTTGTACAGGGTCGATCTAAAAGTTAAAAGGTAGGATTCGTGCCGCTTTGGTGGGACCTGATGGCGGAGAAGAGCCTGGCATGTTGAAGACGCTGGACACCTAGTCCAGGTAGCTGTTGCCTTCCGTGACAGCCAAGGCTTCCTCCGCCTGGCCACCACCCATCTCCATGGCTTCGCCGAACATCTCTTGTCCGTTGCCTGAGCTTTTGAAGAGATCCTGCATTGGGCTTGTCGGTACCTGCGCAGAGCTCTCGAAAAGGCCTGGGTCAAGCGGCGCAATTGAGGAGCTACCACCAAAATTGAGTGGGGCATTGGTAGCGAAGGTAGGCGAGTTGTTGTACGCGGATGTTGTGTTCGAGGTGAAGTACTCGTTCTCGCCTGACTCACGGCGAGGTTCACCTGGTGGGGTATGGGACGAATCAGGATTCGAGTTAAGACCCTGAGGCTTAGCTTGCTCTCCGTCCTTGCGCTTGAATTGATGAGTTTTGGTACGCAAGTGTGGCGGCAGATCATCTGGGTTTGAGATGCCTAACTGGGTCATGAGTTTCTGCTGCTTTGTCGGTCGAGGCTTGCGGGTGGACAAAGAAACCTGGAGGATAGGCGGTGGGTTAGGCGCAACAGGAGCCCACCTGTGCAGTTCCTGACGGAAGAAGTTGATCTCTTCCGTAAGAAGAATGTCGGCACCCTCAAGCTTGCGCAGATAGAAGCGCTGAGTGGTGAGCTCGTCAGGGCTGGACATCAACGGGTTGATGTATTGCTGAACGTATTCGCGGAACTTGGAACCGTGATCGATGATAGAATCTAAAGTCTCCTCCTCTTCAGGCTGGAACGGCAGGTTTGGTAACTCATCCTGCCAGACCATCAGATCTTCGAGCTTAGGACGCGTGGCATCGCGCGGGATCTTGACTCGGTGGTCACAGATGGGACAGGTGTATTTGTCGTCTTCCTTCACTTTACCACGCGCGATCTTAAGACACTTGCCGTGATACCTGAAACGTGTTAGTGTTTGTCCGAACGAGGGAGTGGTTATCAACTCACCATTCGTGACAGAGCTCACATTCTATCATCATGCCTGCTTCGGGCCTTCGACAGATGCAGAACACGTCGCGACTAGAACCTGAGCCGTCTACTTCCTCTCCGTCCACGGGACTGGCCTCACGTGAAGCAGGTTCCACGGGCATGCGCGGCTGGTCGGACAAATCGAAGCATGATCGGTTGCGCTCGTCAACCGACTTCATGTGTTGGTGAAGGATGTGAAGGGGGGCGTTCGCTTTACCAAAGAGCTTCTTGCCACGACGCATCCAGTCTTCATGTCGCTTCTGTTCCTTCTCAAGATCAATGGTGCCTGCTGGCTTGCTATTGAGTGCGTTCAGTGCCTCCATCGCATCGCGTACTTCCTTGTAAGTCGGTCGTTGACGGAAATCAGGATTCTTACTCCGCTCAAACAGCGACATGATAAGATCCTGCGCATCGCGCTGCTTCTTGAGGATAGCATCCACTGCGGCTCGGGTTTCTGGTGTGACTGGCAAGCTGGTGGCTTGCTTGGACAAGGCGTCTAGCTGCTGGTAGTGGACGTTCTCAACAGCCATCAGTTCCTTGGCCTTCGTCTCCCAGAACTCTCCCTGCTCCTTCTTGCCCTGTAGGAACTGAATTTCGGGATGATTCTCAGGAATGCCCAACTCAACGCCACGAGTAATGAGCTCGCCGACCTCTTGCAGCGTTGTAGCAGGCTTGTACTTGAACTCGTCACTTTCACGCAGCCACTTTAGTTGTTGAACAACCTTGTCCAAAGACTCCAGCTCTGGCACATCCACATTGAATGACTTGCCTTCCTCGAGCAGCTCGTCGAGACGAGCGATGCTTTGCTGATTAGGGCGGTCGCGAAGGGCAATGCGCGCCTTGTCTTGGAATTCAGCAATACTTTGCGCACGTTCGCGCAGTGCGGTGATCTCTGGACAATCGAAGCCAAGATCCTTCGCTTTTGTGAGAAGCTTCTGAATGTTCTCCATGCTGCGATACTCACGGTCCTTGTCCTCAGCCTCAGCTGCTGCTCCCTTGTTGGCGCCCCTGCCTCTCCCTGTTCGTGCATTTTTCTGGCGGGCCTGCTGTTTGCGCGTGGTATAGGCAATGGCTTCTTCTGCAACCTCGGTGCACTTCTCAACAAACTCCTTGAGATCTGGTAGCCCAGGAAGCTTCCAATCAATCTTCTCGCCTTCATTCATCAAGGTGCGCAGTACCTTCAATTGCGGCTGAGGACCCTCTGCCATGAGAGCCTCGAGCTTAGCTTCCCAGGCGCCTGGTAGGCCTGCTTTATCTGCAACCTTTTGGACAATCGATGTGATGGCATCGTTGGTCATGCGATAGATAAGGACATGCTCGCCTCCGTCGCCCTGATAGCGCCTCTCCATGAGACTAGGCTGACAGCATTCGAACAAGCCAGCATGCTGTAGACACAGAACCTTCTTGGTGTTGCGGCAATAGAACCGGGATAGGTAGCTGTATGCTTTGCAGAAAGCACAGATCAGCTCCTCCTCATGTACATCGGAGTCATCCACAACGAACTCAAGCAGACATTGAACTGTCTTGTCTTCGCCAGGGCCTTCGCTTTCGTCTAGCTTGCAGACGTGTGAACGCGACGCCTTGTGTGCTTCAAGGAAGGTTGTCCGTACACGTTCTTCGCGGACACGCATTCGATCGAGGGCTGGACTGAGCCACTTGGCCGTCTTGATCGTTGTATCCTTGCGCCCAGCTGCCGCTAAGAGTAATTCGTCATGCGAGAAACACGGCTGCCGCCTGTACTCCTGGAGACGAAGAACGCCGTGTTCGCCGAATGGCTCCCAATCGCTTGGCGCAAAATTGACGGCCTCGTTGAAGTTGAAACCGTGGTTGAAGCCAGCATGGTAAGCTTGTGGAAACGTAATGACAAACTCTCCTGCACGCTGATCGAGCGCATAGACTCTAACACCAGCCTTCTTCAATTGTTCAGGCGTCAAGAGGGTCACCAACTGAAACAAAAGATCCGGCTGTGTCTCAAACAGCTCCGGAACAGCTTCGCGCATAGCCTGCTCGAACTTTCCTACGTCGTCTGCAGGGATGCCGTACCAGGTCTTTGTAGCGCCGAAGTGCTGGTAATTTGCCGAGTATGTGTAGTGGTCCTCAGCATGCCAGCAGAAGGTTGAGAACACCATGCCAACGTAGAGCCATGGCACTGTCATTCCCGAGATGTCAGACTTGATATGTCTGAACAGCGAGTCCGGCGCGTATGGCAAGATGTTCAAGTTCCATGGGTTAGTTGAGTACGGGTCTCGTGGGTTGCGTTCAATAGTAGGGAAACCACTGCCGTGTGTTGTCGTGTGCACATCGGCGCCATACTCCACTTCGACAGTTTCGGTGAGGTCCTCAACGAGTCGCCAGAACTCCTTCTCAATCTCGTCCTCGGTTGGCTGTTTGTGCGCGTTTGTGACAGGATCAAAGACGGTCTTGCCGGCGAAGTGAGCTTGCTTGAAGCTTTGTGCCTTCTCCTGGAATTGCTTCAACGAGTATACGCCGCCTTCTTCAAAGCCGAACTCGCCTGTGCCCACCAGACATCGTGGACAGTGCCAGTCGTATGCAGGAATACCACGAATCGGTGGGTCGAGACAATAGCCATGGTAGCCATTGTCGCAGCTGTCGCATAGCAAGATGTTGGTGGGGTCATTATCTGTACCGCAAGTCTCACAACGCTGTTATGGTCAGCTAGAGTTTGCATTCCACGCATAGCTGAATTACTTACATCGCCTGGACGCTCGTCGGCAGAACGCGCGCGTGGGTTGATGTTACCTGGCGTTGATTGTCGAGGCTGCGTCATATGCGAGCCGGCTACGGTGGGCACATCTGCAAGTCACATCGTCAGCCAAAGTTACCACCAATAAGATAGCAGCGCGAGCCGAGCCATGGCAAGGATGTGTCAAGCGAGGTGACTCTGCATACGCTTGCATGCATGTGTGTGCTTACCTTTCCTTAGCCGCTTACTGCGACGGCCGTTCGCTTCATCCGCTTCCTCGTTCATGCTGCTCTCTCCGTCTTGGGACAACGTGCGCTTCAGCTGATTGAAAGCGTGTCCGTTGGACAACGGTGTCAAACCATGTGCCGTTGGTCTCAGATCTGGTGTATTATGAGCTGAAAGCATGGGACTATCGCCGTTGCGCAATGGTGTTGATGTGCGTGAATCGATGAAATCCCTATGCAGTCCATTCGGTGTGTTCACTGCAGAGAACGGGTTGGTTGCAGGTCCTGCACAAGGAGCAGACGCTGGAGTCCCGTTGACAGGTGTGAAGCCTCCCGAGTTGACAGCAGTAAAACCTGACGAGATCGCTGGTCGTGGTAGCTCAGGTGGCGTGGGCACAGCGTCGCCATGCAACGATGCGTTCAGCGCCGCGGAGGCCCTCATCGTAGGTGACTCGAGAGTGTTGGCTGTTGGCGTGCCTTGCACCGATTTCTTCATTGGCGAATGCGCGGGCGATGGCGTGAACGGACCGCCGTGTTCATGCTCCAGCATCTGATGAACCCCAGGCTTCACAACCCGCAAGTACTCTTCATATGGATGCAGCCATTTTTGATAGGAGTTCTTCAGTGATGTGGAGAGCGAAGACATGATCTTGCCACTGTAGCCGAGATCGCGGCCAATCTCAGCCCATTTCTTCTGCTTGCAGACGCGCTCGAAGCCACCTCTAGTTTCAACGGCTTTCTTCAGCTTGTACAGATCAAGTGGGCGCTTGTCGACACTCGGAAAACGGGTAAGGCTGTGACCATGTTGCTTGTGGAACTTGGCCAGCTGGTCAAGATAGTTCAAATTAGCACGTGTACCGCCTTCCACGGAGTTCAACTCCTGTCGTCGCGTGCGAAAATGAAAGCGCTCGGTATCAACGGCAAATGGTGGATTCCATGTGTCCGGAGGGACGATTTTGACGATGCCATACTGTTGCGCCTCTTCCCGTATGCTCTGCATATACGTTACCGGGTCCTTGAACTGCTCGGCGGTCGGTCTATACGTTGGAGCCTCTTGTAGGCCAAACATGCGCTGGGACTTGGGCGGCAGGTTGTTCGGCGCATTGTGTCCCCTGCGCTCGACGGTCTCCAGATCCAGCGGCGCTGCCTTACGTGCGCTCAAGGGAATAGTGTTCGCACCATTTGGCTGTGCACCGTTCGCGGGTGTCGCAGCACCGCCCATGCGCGAGCGTGAAGGCCCACCATCTGATATGCCGCCGTCCGTAGCGACTCGGAATGTCGTTATCGTTGCGCCGGTTGGCGGCCCGCCTGGTGGCATAAAGTCGACCATCGTCACGCCTGATGCACCCAGCGCTTTTGTCGAAAGGACGGGTTTTGAATTCGTAACGACCTTCAGGGTGTATTTAAAGGCGCGGCGACCGTTCGAGGGGTATTTCCTCGGTGGTTGTTGGGGCTATCGAGGGGAGATATCTGCAGCAGGCATGGGACCTGCGTATGGGGCAGGCGACTGCCTTTGACCGGATATGTATTCTTGCGATTGAAAGTTGGCGGAAAAGAGTGTGTGGACGCTCTTCGACAGTCGTGTGCGCCGGCGGAGAATGTCGAGCGACGTGGCAGCGGTGCCGATCGAAAGGCGGTGGGTGGTGTGAAGGAGAGGAAATGGCGAGTAGCGACTTGGGGAAGGCCGGGCGAGAGCGTGAGGTGCGATGCACTAGCGTACTCGAACCAAAGAACATGCGGAGCATTACCCTGTAAGGATGACTTTAGTCGAACACCGAACGCATGCAGGTCAAATTTGCATTGTATGCATTGCTCTGCAAAGCATCTTGAGAAAACGTCCAGTATGGCTCTATTGCGCAGCGACAGCTAGGAAGGACCCAGAATCAGGATGGAGGTGGTTGTTGCCAGTGCTCACAGCTGTAGTTGCCGATTGGCGCAAGGCTGCGCTACACATTCACTACACCTCGAGCTGGTGCTGCTATGCCAGATCCAAGTATGCACAGCAGCGCAACGCCCTCTACCACTATAGCACCAGTATCAGACCATCCATCACACTATAACCTTCAGAAATCTGAGGCGCCTCCTCGCTTGCAGCTTTGCAGCCTCGGACCACTCCAAAAGAAACTCCTTTCGCCACCCTGTTACATCACACAACAGACGTTGATTATCCCTTCAAAAACTCGTCAGAGCGTGAAGGCATACTGTTGAACCTGCGTGCCTGGTATCAGCGTATCATCTGCATCTCAAGATCGAACTAGCTGTGCCAACATCGACCTGCGGTCAGCAGCAGCAAGGGTGTCCGCCTCGCGACGTTCTCGAGCCTCAGGCCCACAGCCAATCAGCAAGGACCTCCTTCCAATCCCGGCAGCTGCATGTCCGCATTAGGCCAGCCGATCAACACATCACCAGCACATCAACTCACGATCGGGGGGAACAGATGGCCGAACTGCTGAAAATCGAAAGCAAACCCATCCCGGCTTTCTACTGCTGCTATCTCCTGCGCTCAAAGAACCGCAAATCATACTACATTGGCAGCACACCCAACCCTGCACGCCGCCTCGGCCAACACAATGGCACGAGCAAGGGCGGCGCAAAGCGCACCGCGATGCAGGGAAGGCGGCCGTGGGAGATGACGTGCATCGTCACTGGCTTCCCGTCACACTTTGCTGCGTTACAATTCGAATGGGCGTGGCAAAACACGCATATGACCAGACACATCGACCGGGACGTTAGGGACGCCCGTGCCGTGGAGCTGCAAAAAGGCAAGAAGGCTGCACCTGTCGCAACTAGACGGAGAAAGAGGCCGCCGATGTCGTTGGAAGCGAGACTGAAGAACTTGCATCATCTGCTTGGGGTGGACAGCTTCCGGAGATGGCCGCTGCATCTAAGGTTCTTTGCGCCGGATGTGTTTAAGCAGTGGGAGAGACATACTGCGAAGATGGCACAGAGTTTGAGGGAGAGTGTTACTATTCAGGTTACGCCTGCTGAGATTCCGAAGCTTGCGCCGGAGATCTGGGCGGAAGTTGGGTCGCACTATATTCCTGATATTATACGGAATATTCCAGTTGCGTATGAAGACTGCAAGCCGTACGTTGAGAAATCCATGAAAGCTCTAGGAGACGGAGCAAGGCATACTTGTGGGGTTTGCAAGAAGAGCGTTGATAGCTCATCCACCATGGTCGTTGTTTGTCCTGTCGAGACATGCAACGCAGTTTCTCATTTGGCGTGTCTATCGAAGAGGTTCCTTTTCGAAGACGACGATTCGGAGGGTGCTTTGGTCCCTATAAAAGGCTCATGTCCGGGTTGTTGCACCAACCTCAAGTGGTCCACATTGATGAAGGAGCTTAGCCTGCGCACATACGGCGAAGAAGTGATCGCCGCCCTGTTCAAGCCAAAACGGAAGAAGAAAACGGATACGCAGGACGTCGAAGAGGGAATCGATGAGGAAGACGAGGATCTTGACGAGACGTGGATGAAAGATGTGGATGAGTCGGACGCAGAGATACCTGAAAGTCCGTCTGGATAACGCATGTCATGTCTCCGCGGCTTTTTTTGAGTCCATTGGATTGTGTAGTCAGATCAAACATTCAACCTGAAAATGAGGCTGCTTTCGAGAATTATCCACTGCTCACCACTCCCCCACAGTCCTCAACGGCCCGCTCTCATCCTCAAGTAACCCCTTCGCCAGGTCATAGATACTCTCCTGGACCTCTTCCACACTGCCGCCGGCATCGATGACATTGAAGTCACCACCCTCCTTGCTCTGCCTCACTTCCTTGAATAATTCTCGTACCCGATCTTGCATCGCCTTCTGCTCGTACCTCTCCGTCCCATACCCACCTCTTTTCGCGGCGTCCTCAGGTGAGATGTGAAGGAAGACAACTATGTCTGGACGAGGGAGGCCGACATCGGGATGTCTGCACCATTCCAAAGTCATACTAGGGTTCTGTTTGGCGGCAGAGTAGACGATGCCGGAGTAGTAGTAGCGGTCGATGATCACTGTAGTGCCGGAATTGATTGCTTCGAGGATCTTGGGGCTGTAGAGGTGGGTCAGGAAGATCTGTGTAATAGAATGCTCAAGACAGAATAGGGAACGAGAGTAGGAAAAATTTGAGAAAAGCTTGAGGATGGAAGTCGGAGAGGCTCACACGGCTTCCCACCGATTTGCGCTGAAGAGCAGATGAATAACATGATCTTCCTGCTCACTCTCTCCGCTCAAGTAGCTGTTTATCATTTGTCCAATTGGCGTTGTTCTATCTATACTCCAAATCAGCACTCCTCTTGTATATCAATACGACGCAGGTGCGTACCTGGGAATCGCATAAATGTCACCTTTTCTCCATCCTTCTTCAGCGCCTCAACGAGCATCTGACATTGTGTCGTCTTGCCTGCTCGGTCGAGGCCCTCAAAGACGATCAACTTGCCTCGTGCCATCGTTTTAGGAAAGTGCAATGTGATGATTGGTGATTAGAAGACGGATCGTTGTGAAGTAGCGGATAGGGCTGCTAGCGCGCCACACTAGTGGGAAGCTTGTTTCGCTTCTTACATCCTAAGCATCCGTCACTTGACCATCGACCAACACTACTTTTACAATCATATTCCTACTCCCGCATACACAGTAATTCCATCTACGCAAGAGAATTCAACTGCTCGTATCTCCTGGACAAGCCGGTCTAACATCGGCTACACAACAACATCTACTCCAACAGCCGATCTAAACGGACCTCCCCGACTATTGGATATCGACACACCTCCAACCCTCCGCCATGCCCCGCGACCCCATCACTGCGCAAATCGTCTCCTACCAAACAGAAGTCATACCCATCCCGGACGAGCTGGCGTACGAAACCTACGTCAAGAACGCAACTGGCAAAATTATCCTAGCATGTTTCTGGCCCGAGGACAAGACATCACGGATCCTCATCAACCAACTCACCAAGCGGCTCCCGGACATCAAGAACCTGGAAGTCCAAGGTGTATACAGCCTAGATGTGTATTCTCTGCCCAAGATAGCCGAGGAGCTGGATATCACGTTTGTGCCTACGCTTATGTGGTGAGTTATTTTACAGTCCACATTGAGGTTTCCTGAGGACTCAGAGTTCGAGTTTGGAAGCGTGGCTTTGGTACTTGTGGAGCAGCGGGCTGACGCAAGACAGGTTCAATGATCGGGTGCAAGATGCACTAGTCTGGCATGATGGGGTGAGGATGGAAGGCGAGAAGGTGAGTGGGGGCGTGCAGAGGGTGTTGTCGAGGATTGCGGAGAGCGGGTTGCAGGACGATGGGGATGACGCGTGGGAGGGGATGGGAGGCATATATCGGGGTGTTGGGTCCAGCTGAGTGGGCTCGTATCTTTATTTACTGCATTCTTGGAAAGATGGCAAGGTATCGGGATATTTGAAGCATGCAACTGTTTGCTCATTGAACATGCTCACACAATTGAGCCCATATTGCATTATACAGCCTACGTGGCTACGCCTCATGTATCTATACGCACTGATCGATATACACTATAAGAAACGCAAAAACGCTACAAATCTATATACACTGCCCCAGATGCCCCGTATAACCTGAGTGCCATGGATGTTTTTTAGTGTTCCTTGTGCCTCGGTGCCGTAGGCCCAGCACTGAAAGCCCCAGACAAAATGCGTTTGAACTGCTTCGGCTTAAACCGATCCGCCGCAGTCGGTCTCTGAGAAGACATACTACTTCTCCTACTTAGACCCGTACCCTGCCGTGTCAGCGCCTCAGGCGCATCAAACGCGCCCACCGCCGCGCTATTCCTGCGCATATTCATCCGCCTGGTCGCATCCTCATTCTCTTTCTGATGCAGAGATTCGGAAGGCAGAAGAATAGCGCGGTCAAGTGCGTATGGCAAGCCACGATGTCGACCACGGATCTGCATAGCGATGATGATGAGTTTAGACAGCGTCTTCATTTGCCCCGAGAACGAGGTGTTGACGCCCGGGTAACCCAAGCTGAGCCCGACCGTTCCATACGCGGAGACGATTTCGAAGAGCACGGAGAAGAGGGTGAAAGCATAGTCGTTTGTGTCCTCCAAGCGACTTCCTTCGACAATGGCGATGAGGAAGAAACCCAAGAAGACGAACCACAGATCGAAGGAGAGTTGGCGACGCAAGTGGTGGCCGAGGTAGCTGGAGTGCGCATCGTCGTCGTCGTCGGCCCAGACGCCGAGAGATTTCTCTTCGTAGACGTTGGTCTGGCGCATGGACATGGCGATCGGGAAGATGGAGATGTACATCATGATCAGGTAGCTGACTTGGATGGCGGGGTGGAGGTCGGCAATGTTGACGACGGCGAATCCGGCGGTGCGGGTTGCCGCGGCTTGGAAGAGACCATCGAGAAAGCGGAAAACTGGCGGGAGGACTGTGACGGTCGGATCGTTGAGCTGTATGGGGGTCAGTCATGGCCGGGCAAGAAGGTAAAAGTTGGACTTACATCGAGAATGATGAAGAAGATCAGATCCAGACCGTTCAGACCGACAAGCACGCCAAAGAGCCACCAGTTAGCCTTGCTGGGAAAGAGCAGCGTAAAGCACCGACGAGGGTGATCAAGAAGGAAGCGCAACTCTTCCCAGACACCGCTTCCCTTGGGCACGAATTTGGAGGTGAGCCAGATTACGAACCGGAGCATGCAGGGAAAGCCGGTGTTTCCAATGATGATAAGGAATGTACCCAACAGCAGGGGCAGAACAGCGAACTGAAACGACACCATCGAGTCCGGGGTCAACGTGAAGCCGAGATCGTTGAACATCGATGCTGGCGTGAAAAACCCCCACCAGACGGGGCTGACGTTCACATCCTCGACTACTGAAGTGTAGTGCGCGTCCCGTGTGATCCAAGGTGTGAGGCAGACCATGCCGAGAAGGTGGAAGCCAACGAAGTAGGCGACAAGGATGACAGCCAGTAGCTTCAGCGCACGGTACTCGATACCTCCCAGCTCCTCCCGCTGATCTTCTGTCAAATCGACGAAGTTCGAGTTACGTCCTATTGTAGGTGCCCAACTAAGATATGGCATGGGATCCTCTTCTTCCTCTTTGTCCTTGGTAAAGAGGCTGGCGATTGTTCGCGATCTCGATCGGTTGCGAAGATGCATGTTGGAGTTGGGTGCATCAGGATCCGGTTTTCTGTATACCGAAGCACCAGTGGTCGGCCGCTGAGGGCCGTCAAAGGTGATGTGGTTCTTGAATCTGGGCGCGTCTCCATTCGCTTCCCCGACACTCATGGAGCGAGATCGCCGTCTCGAAGGTCGATGGTCATCGTCCTCGTGTGATGCGCGAGTCACCTCCCGGCTCAGCCCATCTGTGACTCGTTCTGGTACCAGTCCTCGATCGAAATCTCGCGGTCCTGGAATGCGGAGAGTGCCCTCTTTCGGATGCCTATTCCGCTGGCTCTCTACGAACGCAATGCTCTTCTCCTTGTCTGGTCCGGGCAGCCGGTCTGCGGGTGAATCAATTGCATCCGACTCGCGCCGTCGTACTGGGGTCTTGACATTGTCCGCCCACATAATGTTCGAGTTAGTGTGGACAGGGGTCTTCGGTCGCTCGAGCGGGTCGATGTCTTCGTCATCGCCTGAATGCAAAGGTTTGCGTTTGCCAACACCGGCATTGCCGTTGGTATCCTGGAATGCGTGTTCGTCCGCGATCACCCCGCCCTCGGCATGTCCACTAGCACTTCGCATGATTTCGATCCGGCGATTGCCCACGCCGCGCTCCTCGTCGCCCATAACCCTCTCCTGCTCTGCCTTTATCTCACTTTTCCGCCTTGAAAGCGTGCGGGTGCGTGTGGCGCGCATGCTGCGGGCTTCGAGGACCACGCTTTGGAAGCGCTTCTCGAACCAGTACAGGCGGATGAAGACGACGAATGTGTTTATGAAGATCGGGGTGCAGATGCAGGTTATGAGCATAATCGCGACTTGCTGGTATAGGTATAGTGTATTGACATCGATACTGGAAAACAAGTCAGCCATTGGCCCACAAGGCTTCGACTTTGACGCACGTATTCAGCCCACTCTGTGTTGCGGCACCACTCGCAAAGAAGAGCGCATCGATGTAGTCCATGTTCCTGGGGCCGTACAAGATGACCGAGCCAATGAGGGTCATGGCGAGGAGATATGTGTCTGCTTCCAGTCAGTTTTCACCCCATATATCTTCAGCGCCCTACATACAATGCAGCGTTATGAAGTTTAACCTGGGCCTGAACACTGCCAGGATACTGGGCGTGTGCTCTCTAACCCAACGGCCCGAGGCCATGATATAACCGGCGAACATGTTGGCAACCGCTCCGCCCATCGGCCTTCAGGTGGTGTCGATTGTGCGCGCGCAGGTAAGCAATCTCAGAGGTTGGGGGAGGCGACGGAGCTGCAGATATCAAAGATCCAGGAGATGGCCCCGGCAGTCAGCGCCTTCAGCCAAGAACCCAACGGACCGACCCGAGTAGCGTGCAGCGTGAAAGACACAAAAGTGGGTGTGTGTGCATGGCGACCGGGGAAAAGAGGCAGTTGGGAGAAAAGTAGAGCGGGTCTAGGGTGGGCTGTAGTCGAGTGAGTGAGCGCTGTGCGGGATGCGGTCTCGAATCTCACACTTGTCGTCACCGCAAATTCCGGGAATTGTTCTGCCTCGGAGCTTTGTTGCGCATCCCTGGACCACGCGAATGCACTGCCCCAAAGGGAACGCCGCCAATCAAGCACCGACAAGCACCGAATCCTGAAACACAAGAGACGCACGGCCTGCATTCGGAAGGAGTGCTTCTTATCTCCTGCAACCAAGCCGCTGCGCCTCGCTACCAAGTCACTGCACACATCCGCCCTGACTGCAGATCCATAGCGCAACAGTTTCGGCTGACAGCTGTAGCCGGTCCGTACGAGTTTCACATCATTCGAGAATAATCGCGGAAGCATCCGCGGGCACCGGCAAAGAGATAAGGTTCAGAGGCACCGACTTAGTATTGACAGATCTGATAGTACATCGTAACGCGTCGCGGGGATTCCCTTCATGCAGTAATGATGGTGTGAAAGACTTAAAGGAAATAGTAGATGATGGACAATGCAACGTCTCGCACTTCTGCTCCTCCATTATACATCCTTAGTCTGTGCCATTGGCCTTCTCGAGCGTTGGTGTTACGGCTCCTGAGCCTGTGCCCTTCTTGGGTTTGAGGGTGAGCGGGAACTGGAAGACTTCGTCGGTCTCTTCTTCCTCACTACGATCATGTCAGTAACTGTTATGCCCAGTGGTCAGATGTGTACTTACGGAAGCTTCCACGCAATATAGTCCTCAGTGCTGAGGCCCTCACGGCCCTCCTGCAGCGAGGCAAAGTCTCCAGGAGTCATCATACCCGAGCGGTCTCGTGGAGACCCAGGCTCTGACAACGGCCGCGAGATCTTAGCCTCGTTAGAGCTGAAGAAGTCGGGCTCGTCATCGTCCTCGTATGCGTTGGGGTATGCCCTCCTGAGCGCCAGTTGTCGGGCCTTGACGTATTCCATGCCCATTCGCTTCCAGTCGAGCAGATCGCTCAAACGCTCTGTTCGGTTACGCTGGTTGATGCGCTGGCGCTTGCTCTTCTTTGTGAAGTCGAACATGTAGTCCACCAGCTGGTTGACCGAGTCATCTACGCCCTTCATCCTGCGATCGACGATGTAGATACCGTAATCTTGGGCGTTCTCGATCAGCTCCTCCATGTAGCAGCCAAAACCTGACAGGTTGGTTGTGATGCTAGGAACACCCATGACCGTGCATTCGGCGGGTGTGTAGCCCCACGGCTCATAGTAGGATGAGAACACACCAAGGTGCGTTCCGCGAACGAAGTCGTCGTAGTCGAGAGGAAGGACGGGGTTGGCAGAGTTTAAAAACTCAGGGTGGAACACGACCTTGACGCGATCTGAGGGGTGGTTGAAGAGCTGGCATCTTCGCAGCTGGTTCAAGACCGGGTCCTCTGAGTCGTTCGCCATGTTGTGGGTAACGATGGGTGGCAGGTTGTGCCTCTTCATAGCGTACAATCGGCGACGAAGCAGAATCTTGTCCTGAGGCGAAAGCAGCTCCTTATCCTCGGGCAGCTCCTGACCCTCGGTCCAGGTCAATGAGCGCTCGAACAGCTTCTTGGCTACGTTTCCAGCAATGTTATCGACAGTGTCGTGCAGAGACTTGATGACGGCCTGTCCTTTCAGCGAATCGACAGACAGGGAGGTAGTCTGCGCAGGCAGAATGATGAAAGCCACAACTGTCATGTTCGAGTTTTCGCTCTTCATCTTGTGGTTCAATCGCGCCAACGACTCGATGAACATGTCCACACCCTTGTTTCGGTATTCGTATCGTCCGGCAGTGAAGAAGTAGAGAGTGTTTTCAGGGTCGAAATCGTTGTGGCCGTAGAAGTGACCTCGAATGAAGTCGTTGATCTTGACCTTGGACTGTTGGTGCAGGTTCTGGAACTCGTGAGTAGCCGAGAACTTCTTGACATTCAGACCGTTGGGCAGAACACCGTCCGGCTTGCGCTTCAAAAGATGCTCGCTCTCATATGCGGTAATGTGAGAAACAGTCGTGAATACATCAGCCGCGTGTGTTGCTGCGCGTTCTATGCAGTAGCGGTGGTATATACCACGCTTTCCAGCCTCAGCATCGACATCGAAGTATTGGAGGTTGTTGTAGAAATCGACCGAACCAGCGCACAGGTAGCGACCAAGAAGCGTGGCGTGGGTCGTGAAGATTGTGGTCACATCAATGCGGCGCTTCTTGCAAAGCGGCACGGCCACACCAGCGAGCCATTCGTGGAATTGCACGATGATAGCGCGCTTCTTCTCGTGGAATGTATACTCGCCCAGGAACCATGCAATGAGGTAGCCGAACACGATGGCCTCGTTAGTCTCGGAGTCGCCTGGAGGGGAGGGAATGCCGGCTGAGGACCACAGGTCGCCCTTCCACTCGTCAAGCCACCTGTAACCTGTGCCTGTGTCGAACAGGAGCACGCGAGGAGCCCCGTCAATAAGCCAGCGTCCGTACAACGTCTTGATGCCACGCTCGTCCATGGACTTGATGGTGGCTAGCAGAGCGGGGTCCTTGGGCTCTATGGGTTCGACTTCGACTTGCGCCTGGTTTGCTAGTTAGTGGAAGGGTGACTGTGCATTGGCTATGATTGCGCATACCGAAGCCCTGTTCCATGGGCCCAACAGGGTGTATGCTGCGCCATACTCGGCTGTGGTAACCTGAGCTTTAGACTTGAGGACAGAGTAGATGCCACCAACTGCGTGCAAGTCAGTAGATGAAGCGTGGGGTGGTGAGCTCTCCAGCAGCTCTCATACCTCTGTTGGCGACCTCGGTCGCGACCTCAAAGAGGATGTGGTTGCTGACGTCTCTCGTTTCCGTTGCCATTGCGTCTGCGAGGAATGTGGGCGTGAGGTGTGACGGGCTGCGCCGTGGTTTTGAGGGCAAAGCTGAAAGAGAATCTCGGGACTAGCTGGTGAGCTTCGAGCTCGAGGCTGGTCGAGCTACTGCGGGCGGCACTAGACAAGCGCGTGCACTCCTTAGTGTTGGGATCGATCTAGCCGTGCCGTACACGTTGAGGAGCCACAGTCGGATTTGCAGGGGGAGAATGCAGTGTCGTCTCCAGGATTAGAAGAGCAAACGAGGGAGAACACGATGCATTGAGCTGCTCAGTGCCGTCTGCCGTTCGCGAGAGAGGTTGGGGATTATTGGCGTTCCTTCGGGCCCAAGCTGCTAGTCTGACATCATTCACGAGATCGTTTGACTGCATTGCCCAATGAGATTTGATTGCTCTGCTGCTACGCGAACTCCACCTCCACACACTCCACAGCGAGACAAACACCAGCCCAAGCAAGCAATCTTTCCTTTCACCGCGGCCCGTGGGGTTTAGTGATGTGGTGCAGTCTCGAGCAGGGTTTGTCGCCAACAGCTCAACAAACTGCCAGTGGGGATGAAAGCGGAGAAAGGACCGACAAAGCCGGGGTGGGGTGCACTTCATCTTCAGCGGTTCGCCCATCTCGAAAACACCACACGCGCAAACCTAACGAGCGTCCAGCCAATGTCTGCAGAGCTGTACGCCTGCATGGCTCCGTCATACCACCAACGATGCGGGGTCGGGGTGGACGTTTGGCATTGGCAGACGCTCTCCGCCTCAAAGCGAGTGGAGCTGTGGAGACTGGAGGTGGGCCACATGAAGAAATCAGCTCCAGCTATCGTAGCGCGTCGGGTAGCTAGCGAAATCTGGTAATTGGCATTTGCATTAATTCTGTGAAAACGGGGGGGGGGGGATGTGGACTGGTACATAATGCAGGCCGAAAATCCACCCGCATGGAGAGCTTCGTCAGCCTTAACAGCTCCCAAACTTCATCAATGCGCTGTAACCTGTAAAACAACGGACGCGAATACGATCCCAACACAAACAGCGACAACCAAATCCCGGAGGCCCCCAAACACCATTACTCGGGATATCGAACTCCTGAAATGCTAAGAATGACACCGATCCGTCTTCTACCCATTACTCCTCCTCCTGCCGTCCACACGTTGATCAGCCAAACGCTATCTGCCTGATCGATCGATGACAGGCGCATTTGTGCTTCCGATGTTCGCCAGCAGACTGCCTGACTGAAACTGTTTCTCGTCCCCGAAATCCAGCATGGGACCACGTGCCTTCGAACCGTCCATGACTCCTCGACCGACCTTTGCATTCCCTTGAGCATAGCTGGCTTGCGACAACAATCCACCGGTGAAGGCCTCCCTGTCGTCTTGTGGTGCGCCGCTGTGGTTATTGAAGGTGTGGGCTGCCAATGGCTCGCCGCGACCCTTCAGCGACTTAGTCCGCTCGTTTGGCTGGGGAGCATAGACTGGACGAGCTCGAGCGCGCCAGTCTGTAGATGAAGGAACTTGGATAGCTTCTTCCATCGAAGTCGCGCTTTCTACAAGTGGACCTGCGCCAGCCCCGGGATTGTAGCCTTTGCCTTGCTTGGCGAACTGGGGTGGAGGGCGGTACTGCGGTGTCAGGTCGACCAGAGGCTGTGGCATCCCAGGAATACGCTTGGACGCAGTGCGTCGAATGTCGCTCGATGTCCTCCTGTGATGATTGCTTCGCGTGGAAGAGCTGCGATTAAGACCAGATCCGCCCTGTGCAGCCATGTGATCCATGTTGCTAATTAGTGAAGGTCCCTCCGTGAAAGCACCATTCTGCTTCTGCTCGCGGTCTTGCGCTGCCTTTTGGCGAGTTGTGTAGGTCCGACCGAGAAGCCCACCAGCGGCGAATGTTTCCTCGTCTTGCGATCTGTAACTCTGCGTGATGGAATTTTGGCGACTGTTGTCTTCGGGGGCATTGTTCGTTGCAAGCGCAGCAAGACCGCGACTGAGAGGCGGTGGTTGCTTGGCTCGAACAGATCGCCTTCGAGCATGCATAGCTTGCGCACCACCCAACTTCGAAAGCGGTGCATCGTCTGGGTATTCTCCCGGCTTGTGGACTTCGATCTCGTCCAATTTCTTGTTGAAATCACTCATGTCAATAAGTGACGTAAATGCACCCAACTGGTAGTGCGACCCCACTGAATCGCCGCGGCTGTGTGATGATGCTCCAGGTAATATGCCAGGTCCAGCGCTGTCCAGTACTCTCTTCGTTCCTGGTGACTTCTTCAGACCTTCACCCTTCTCATGTTTGAGATGCCAGCTTCGCCAGACTTGCAGAGCCTTCCAGAATGTATTTGCGATGTCCTTGTCGTTGGTGCAGAAGAAATGGACGTACTGCGACTCGTCTGCGAAGATGTTGGATTTCTGTAAACTCTTAACAGCAAAGCAAATTTTCTTCGGTGGTTTTACTCTCGCAATTTTCGCCTGTGTGACGTGGTAGATGTCGTAGTCAGTGAGATGGCACACGTTCTCCTGATCCCTCGCTTTCTCGTTCTTGGCGGTGACAAGTTGGCCGTCTGGTCGTAGAAGGAAGTAGCGTTTCGCCCACTTGCCAGGTCTCGACGAGTAATTCATCATGCATGACACGCCCTCGGGCCTCTTGTCTGGTACTCCATAGGAAAGCAGTTCGTCTTGGTCGATGCCTCCGTCCAATGAGTCAACGATGATGAGCTCGTTCTGATCGTCAAAGTCCCAGGAGTTCATCACGTCACGGACGTACTCGTAGTTGCGTAGTGGTCGCTTGATGTCCACCTTCTTGAACCATTCCATTGCCACAGCCGTTCGAACTGGAACCGTGTCTGTGAGAATAAGGTCGGCTGATTTGAAAAGGTCGAGCGAAGTGGTCGTCGGTGTGACCGGTAGCTGGATGCGCTTCTTGTTGTATACGACTGTAACACGCTGGCATGCCTGTTAGTGTGCTATACATCAAGGGAGGAACATGAAAACGGACCCTTTCGCCGCCATTTACCGCCGAGGTTGGAGCGTCGATACCGAGAACAGCGCCGCCGCCCCCAGACAAAATGGCTTCCGGCTGATTGCTGCTGCTTGGTTGTCTGGCTGTGCGAGGTCTGGCGTCCGACTGTTCGTTGGAGCTGTTCTGCCTCGCAGTTCGAGGTCTGTCAGTAGTAGGGCGTTCGTCACTTGAGAGCGACAAGCCTTCATCTTTCCGCCGCTTGAACAGCCCGAAACCCTCCTGCCGTGGAGGTGATACTGGGGGCGAGCCCGACGACTGCGACAAAAACGTACGCGACTTCTCCGCCAGACGTGCTCTGTTCTCCTTCTCCAGCTTCGCTCTGCGCTCCTCCTCCTTCTTCTGCTCGATCATTTTCTGTGCCTCAGCTTTGCGCAGCTTCTTCCCGCGTTCTTTTTCGGCCTTCTCCTCTTCCCTTTGTAGTCGCAGCGCTTCGGCAGCTTCAGCTACGCGTTCAGCTTCCAGCCGGGCTGCCTCTTCTTCTTCCTGTCGCAGCTTCTCTAGCCGCTCAATCTCAGCTAGCTTGGCTTCCTTCTGTGCGCGTGCCTCGGCCTCCATCTTCTCCTTCAGGAGCCGCTGGCGCTCCCTCTCTTTCTGCAGGACCACCCGTGGGTCTTCATACTGCTGCTGCTGCACCTGCTGTCGAGCGTCTCTAGGGAGAGGAGGCGTAGCTTCTGCGCGGTGTTTGGCGGTCCGCGGGCGGGGCTGGGCATTGTTTGCGGTGTTTGACGGCTGCTGCGGTGTGCTCAAGGCGCGGTGACGGGCAGAAGAGGAGGGTGGTAGCGCGGTCTGGGGTAGTGGAGGGGCTTGTGGAGCGGTGTTAGAGCGTAGAGGCGGTGCGTTGGGACTGGTCGCGTGCGTGGTGGGAGGACGGCGGTGGTAACGGCTCATGCTTCTGCCTATGTTGCTATTGGGCGCTTCGCACTGATCACCTCCAGAAGTATGCAGCTCGGGCATGGCGGGTACCGGGGGCATTGGAGGTATGGAATGCTGCTGCGATTGTTGCGCCTGCTGCTCCTGCGCGCGTCTCACACTGCGGTAACGTGACATTTTCTGTGGCGCCGCAGTCGGCGGCTCTGTTATGTCGCTTGCCATGCTGTGCGACAAATGTGCATCTGCGTTCCTGAGTGTGTGGTATGCAAGGGGCTCGATAGTGCATTAGCTGCTGTACAGTCGCCCATGGAGCCCTGGAGGTAGTCAAGTGTTCAAGATCAGCGAGGGCAGGTGCAAGCGGGTAAACGGCTTCTATTCAATAAATTATACCAAACACCAGGTGGACGGCGCATTGCTTTACATGCCACTCATTTCAGGAGGAAGCGTCAAGGCGGCTCGACCTTGCCGGCCTGAAAATAGCCAGTGGACCCCTCTTTCTCTGGCTAGTGCTAGCCTGGTTGTAAGACCTCTCCTGAACGACATCGTGAAACGAGCCTATTTCACATCGCCACGAGCGCCATAACTTCTTCCCCGCACACATTTATGACCAGGGACTGCTGTGGCCACGAGATGAGACTTGTTGCAGATAGCAATACAGCAAGGTTCTCCCCATGATCTGCCTCTGACCCTTCGAAAAGAGCAGCTTGGTAACCCAGCCACGGCTGAGCAGAATCAAACGAGTTGTGCTTGGCTAGCCGGTGATTGTGGCCTATCAAAGAGGTGGAGGCCACGGAGGACTAAAGTGGTGGTGTTTGACTGGACCTTCGATCGGAACGGAGGAAATGAGAGCTGTTGGTGGACAACGCCATGGGTCATACGAATACGCGTCGTGTCCTTGAGTGCGTTGCCAACACATCGCAGCTTACCTGCTTGTTGGCTTGCACAACTATCTCCGTTTTCACTTCATCAGACAATGTTGACGTCGAGATGCGCCTGCCACTGAAGACGCGATCATTGGGCCTAACAGTGGTGTCTGCGAGTCCACAAAACCTGCTCAGACAATGAACGAAGAGTTGGACGAATAGCATGGGTATGAATACAAACAAAATGCATCTGGGCCGAGTTCAGCAAATCCATAGAGCCGTGAGATACAGTGCTGCTTTCTTCTTGATTTTTCAAAGCTGTTCCTCTCGATTTTTCAAAGCTGTTCCTCTCGATTTTTCAAAGCTGTTCCTCT